AATCCACAATCCGATAACATCGGAGCCTGGAGCGACTACGAGCATGTTTTATTCTTTTTGTACTTTCAACTCCAAGTGAATAAAGGAAATATCGGAGCCGAACTAACGTTTGATTCGTTTGTGTTTCATTCATGAAATATTAATCCGAGCTCCGTACTTCCGCGTACAAAAGGATTCTATGTAAATTGTTCTATGTTGCACGTACGCCAGATCTGCAAAACTCGGAGATAATGCTATGCAGGTGTTTTAAAAATTTAGTAAAGGCACTCTTTTTGCTGTAAAATTTAAATTAGAAACGCAGTCGGAAGCACGTCTACGACCCGGCAAAGTTTATTGAGAACTTCGCAACAAATTACGGATAATTAGATTGTGCAGATGTGGTTTAATTCTTCAAATAAATGCTCTTACCTCAATGTTCGCCATAGTTTTTATCAAGAATTACTTTTACATATAACTAGGTGCAATTTTGAAAATACGACATATATATATATATATATATATATATGGTTAATTGGTTATGCCTACAATGTACAAGTGCCATTACGTTTCTTTATCTTTCATATTATATTATGTTCAATCATAACATTTTTAAACACTGTTGATTTTGTCCTTTGGCGTTTTGTTTTAACCATAATTAATAATAATAATAATTCACAATAATGTTTGTGCTGCAGTGATGATAAATGTACTCCGTATTTTTACTTTACATTAATCATTGTTTCATTTAGTATGTATGATAAATTGACTTTCATACCACAGTATACTAGGCTCACACCTTTATTTCTGCAACGAAGCCTTAGGCATTTAACATGCCTCTTTAAACCAAAAGTTTAACTTGAATAACTATTTTTTGAAAAAAAGTACAGTACAAACATAGTGGAATTGAGGCCGTCAACTCGGGTAAGCGCCTTTACTTACTAAAGGATTCTTTACTGAGCACGGTGTCCGACCTCAATGAATGATTAAAGTTCAACACACAAGTATGATCACTATTGTGGCTAGTGTTCAGTAACCGAGCGCTATTAGACCCGACTGGTAAGCAATTACCACAGAACTGAAAATAAACAATCTCTGTTCTGTGGCAATTACCATCTGTCGGTTGTTTGCATGTAATAATAATAAGTAAATAACTAACTAGCAACACTTATCTGCAGCAGTCAGAATTTCTCTATAATTTCTATTTTTCAAAATTAATTTACTTAAGCAAAGTTTAAAACAGAAAATGTATTTGTATTACAAAAATTAAATCCAAACTCGATTTAAATAACTTTATCATAATAAAAAATATACTTAAGAAATGGCATCTAATATCATGTCAAATAAACAGCAAGATATTTTTATCTTAGAAATTCTGCTGTTGATGATTACAAGAGCTAGAGCCAGCAGAGCAGAGCACTTTCACCAACTCCGAACTCATCGCTTTGCTCCAACTTGCAGTCCCCGGAAGCCACAATACAAGTCCCGGTGATTGCAAAGGCGTCGAACTCGACTTCAAGCGACGTCGACAACACCTGTACGTCGGCAGGGGAAAGGCCGGGCCACCGGTTTGCCTGGGATCCCGAGGCCCATCGGCATCCAATAGGGCCCCGCTATCAGTGGTAATGTGCGTCGCATGAAATGGACTTCTTCAATGAACGAGAACGTCAAGCGAGAATATTTTGTGCTTACAGATTGAGAAACTAATCTCACTGCGTATCGTAATCGTTTACTAACTCTGTTTCAGGAACTTGAACCAACTGTTAACGTTTCGGTGCAAAGATTATCGGATCAAGTGCGAGCTATTAAGCGATGTAATTTGTTGGATAGCTCTGTACTTGAAAGGCAACGCTCCGACTTACAGATAAGCCTTACTTACTTTTCCTCCTTCACAATCAGTTACACATCAAGATCTTGAACTACTACAGGTTTCTCCTACTGAAGGAGGAGAGGAAATTGATGCTTTTTCTGTAAGTACGCAGTACATTGAAATAATAAAAGCGAAATAAAGCACACACTAGCCCTTGATTCTAAATTACCAACATATTTTGAAAACTGTGAAAACCTCTGTGATACACAATCAATTCTGTATTGTACGGTCATTACTGTATGTCGAGTAGCCGGTGTCTAATTCCCAAGGATTGCCATGGCTCCTCATACTCTCGAATATTCAGCCAGGAAGATTTTAAGTCTATTAAGTGAATTTTAGCTTAACTAGATATCGATTATGGTTCTTGTATCAACAACATCGGTTGAAGTGACTCATCGTTATGGATTTTTTTTCCGAATGCCAGAGCCCTGCTTCACTTTTGTTAGTCACGTTTTAGATAAATGTTAACAACTTGAAAACTTTTTACACATATACCGTTTGTATTGATTGTACTGAAGAATTATTTCATGTACTTGCTCTATAGATTTTATTATATATTTTTATTTTGTCACTGTTCACACAAGTGTCTTGACAATGTTTGCACACTCGTACTATACCGTTACCCACACATTTAAACATAACATAAAGAAAAGCAGGAATAGATTTTTAAATTACAAGATAATACAGAGCTTATTTTGATACGTCGTAACTTTTTTGCCGTCCTACGCGAAAAATAAAAGAAGAAAAACTAAGAAAATCTTAAAAGAACTATCTCTAATTACACAAAGTCATTGATACCTAGAGATGACCAGATTGTGAGTGTGTGATTGGAAATTTTTATTATAAATTGCTTCATCGACAAACATTTGAACGTTATCTTATCGTTGAAATATGTTGTTAAAACGAAAAACCTTTTCTGGTAATATTAATAGTACCTAATCGGAAAAAAACTAATCTTCAAAAATGATTGTGTTGAATAAGATTGAGAGTTTAAAGTGTTTAATTGTGAAAGTCTTCTGATACTTGAATCGAAATAAACTTTGCCTGTCTCCATGGTAAATTACGTTTCATTCTTGAAAATAAAACAGTGGATTGTACTATCTCCTAAAGACAGTTTAATAAAAAAAAAATACCTGAATAGATTTGATAGAAGTTAAAGTGTCAGTGTTTTCAGATTTGTTATCGTCAAAGGTAATGTTAATTTTTAAATCGGTTGGTTTATTTATGTTGGATTGTCGTTTTTGCAATCAAAAACAACTATTTTGGTATACCTATACTTAACATTAGCCAGATACTACATTCCAAAAGTTTACTACATCACATGAACATCAACAGTCTTTAATAATCCACTGCTGGACATAGGCCTCTCCTAAGAATCGAGGTTTGGCCTGCTATACCACTCTGGCCGGGTTGGTATAGGGTTTGTGTCAAGTATTCCTTTTTTTTGCAATGCTACTAATGCTAGTGATATTTTTCATAATAATTAAAATTATTCAGTATAATAAAGTCAAGTAGTCAAGTAAAGTTCAGTATAATTCAGTAAAATAATATATAATTTTTCAGTAGCATAAAAAACTGTTGAAATGTTCTTTTATTCACTTTTATGTTACTTTTACAAAAACATCGTAACTATTTATTGAAAGTAGGTAGGTAATTAACAAATTTTGTCGAGGTCTAATACTTCCAAAAATAAAAATGTGTGTTGCATTTCGTTTTATTACTAAATGCTTTCCTGCAATGAAATATAATTGTATGTTCAAAGATAAATATTATGAAATGAATGCCATTTTGGCCAGAAATATTTATAGAACATATTGATAAGCGCATAACAAAACTTGTAGTTCACTAGAAAATACATCTTCTTAACCAAACGACTATGACGTATTTATTGACATTCTACATCACGTCGAATTTTAATAAACTATATTCCTTATTCCTTAATTTTCTACACGACACAATGTTTATATTTCTGGAATCCAACGAAAAACATATACTCCCAAATAAAAAATAACTATTCAAAACAGCTATAAATGTCGCAGCTCTCAGATAACAAACATAAAAACCAATCAACTGAATTAAGAACGTCCTTCTTTTTTAAAATTCCGTTAAAAAAAGAATATCACAAGTGTCTTCTAAAAATAAAATAATTACGTACGAGAGAAAGAATTTATTTAGATTGTGTATACTGCAGTTTGATTGGAGACAACCTTTAGCACGTTAGCACCGAAAACATAAAATAATTAACATAAGAGATAATAACAGATAGCATACAAAGCTTTGCATTTATCTAAATACTTAGATAATACGTATATATTTGTAAGAAAATTGACACCAAATAACACACCTCCAAGTGAGCGCATATCGGCAAACAAATCTACTCGTGATATTTGAGATACGAGTCTTATGAAATATCTTTAAGCAACCCACTCACTAGAGCGAACTACAAATTTCTATTAGAACAGTTTTAAAATCACCCCTACAAAAACAGAATCATAAATACGCAAAAAAAGGACAGTTGTATCCAACATTTTCATTTGGTTAGCATTTCACTCACACTTTTTTGTGAAATGATTGGAAGTGCATACCGCTGCCCATGAAGACCTGCTACTCCAGACACACAAGTCCGTTGTCCCTTTGACTGCACGTGATGGTTTCAGTTCCCGGCACCTCGCTCACTGAAACTAATTTAAAGTAACGAAAGAATTACCTAACACTGGTTTTCTATGAGGCCGTAATATCATTCCGATCGAGTGGGCCCATGATATATTGCGAAGCATGGCTCTCTCAAGAAGTCTCAAGATGTCATAAGATACATTCAAATAAAATAGCGATCATCCGCGTGTCAATAAACAACAGTTTTTTCCATTACCAGATTGAGTCCTTACAGGTGAGCATTTTTTCAGTTAAAGATGAACAACACAACACCGCATTTAAAAAAAAAAACATACCGGCCACTAAATGAAAGAGGATAACATTTCCACGGTCTAATAGTCATCTACCTTTAGGATAAACTGAGTGACGCTGTAATATTATCTTCTACGTCAGATGTTGTCAACTCACATTAGTGCCTCGGCAAAGCAAACAGACTGGTTTACGATGTATAAAACGCTTTGAATCACGACAGTCCGTAACAGTGCGCGAGTTTCCGTCGAGAATGTACGACAGAGTACCGAATCACAAACTGAGTGAGTTCATTTTTTATGCACATATACGTTAAAAAGGAACATAAATTCAAAGAAGTTAAAAAAAATGTGATTTACTTAAAAGGGTACATTATCCTTAATCTTTTCGTCTGAAAATGTATTACTAAAATGTAAAAAAATATGGGAATTTATTGAGTTAATTGTTATTTTTACCTATTATTCGCAAGTTGCGGATCTCTCTTAAACTCATTTCTATAATACTAATATATTAATCCCAAGGGTCTACTTGTCCTTCTGGGTAGCTCCTTCGAATGACTAAATAATGACGTACCTAACTTGAACTGATAAAATATGCCGTTTCCTCCAAGATGATTTAAATTTTTTGCTCATAATGTAAGTAAGTACCTATATTCTAATTATTAATTATTTTATACATTTTAGATTTTTTTAATGTCCTAGTTATATTATATTTCATTTGTAAATACAACCATCTTGATAATAATGACCAAAATTTTTTGAAAGCACATAACGTTACTTCTTTAGTTACAAACTTTTTTGTAACTGCGACTTGACCATAATTACACAAACATTGGTACATATGTAAAGGAGATTACATTATTTATAAAAGATCTTACAGATTATATAAATCCAAAAAATGAAAAACGAAATGTAATAGTGCAAATATACAAATATACCATGTCATGTTATGGAAATGACCAAGGAAATATAATTAAAATTTTACACAATTAAATAAATTATTCCATTCTATATATTTATAATAGCGACCTTAATCTAGTTTGCCAGCAATACAGGTGCGGTGCAGAAAAAATCCAATGTGTATATATATTACTATGTATGTATGGTATGTAATACATTAATAATATGTATATTTCATGTACATTGTAATCAACCTGTCCTATATGTTTATTTATATGCACATTATATGCACATATGGATGATGCCTTATTTGGTATTAAGTTTGCCTTGTACAATATAAAGAAGTACAAGAAGTCCAAATGCTGAAGTCTAATATTTAAGTTATATAAAAATCTATATTTTAATTACAAAAATAGAAATCTAACATGATGCCGTCGTGGCATTCTTATTTTCTTCGGTATGTTTTAAAGAGACAATATATACCTACACACTTATATGTATAAGCTGTTTAATATGAGCACAATGTATACGTCATGATGAGCCAACCTTGAAATGTGTCATTTACTGTATTTCATATTGATAAACATCGCTAACGAATCAGACACACCTCCGCAGGAGCACACAAACGAATAGCAGACACTAAACACACACAACTCAAAAGTCAACATTTAAAACATCGTGTTTACCCTTTACAAAGTTTAATCCGAATAAATAAAACTTATGCATTATGACAAACAGAAAGGGTACAATTTAGTCCAATTCGAGGTTTTGTCAAAACAATGGCTACCGCAGTGCGGCGGGAACGCAATAATTCGACCACCCCTTAAAATGGGTGGAATCTAACTGCTTGCTTAATAAGTAATTTTCACGTCCCTCCTGCGAAGATCTGGGCCTTGTAATTTATCGTGATGTGGAAGCAAACCTGAATTTAAATTACACCTGAATTATGTCGTGAGCCTTGCTGAATTCCAGTACTTTTTACTGGTAAAAGGAACTAATTTAAAACCCGACTAAAAACGGAATTTATAAAACCAATTAAGGCAGTTTTAATCAAATAAAAAGGAAAACTAATAGATTCGAGATATGAGTCTGTGTTGGTAAAAACGCGTTTTGGCAAAATTTAAAAGAAAATTAAAGCCGATTATTTTATACCTTAATTCCACTTTATACATTTAAGTACAACTTGTCTTAAAATTTTGCCATCCGAAAAATTATGATTAATGGCAATGCCGATTGCGTTGCTGAGCCGATGTTTAACCTTAGTTTGACCTTTATTATGTTATAAGATTTTAAATGTCCAAAACATATCGCAAAAAATAATTAAGCTGTTGTGGATTAGGTTGAGTAACATAACTAATGTTAGTTTTTTAATGAACAAAAAAGTGTTCCTACGTTTTAAAACAAGAAAATTAAAACAGTAATGTTTTAATTTTCTTGTACTCTGTGCGTCAACCGAACTTAATTTTAGCGATTTACCATAGTTTAGAGAGTTTTGTAACAACAGAATCGGCACTATTTGTTTTTTTTTTATCTAGGAACAATATGTTTTTTTTTGTAAATGTTATTGACTTTTGCTCATGTTAAAATTTTAGAAGAACCTTTACTGATAACAGCATTAAAATAATTGGATACAACAGAAAAATCGGTCCAAATAGTCTAAACAAGCAACGGAACCATAAATTTTGTTTTTTTTTTTTAATTTATTCTGTTTTAAATATTTGGTAACATGAATACTTGTGAACAGGTTTTATGTTATGTCCGGTGATGGTTCAATGACATGCGGATTTTCCTGCGCTAAAGAGATGTACATTTATTATGTCAAATTGTTCCAGTTTATTTAATTGATGTTTAGTCCCAGGAGTTTTGTTTACGAGCTATTAATTTAAGTATACAGACAATAACAAATTTATTCTCCGAATACGTCGGAGTTTAGAATTCTTATATTTATATTTACTTGAATTTTTGTGGAAGAAGAGTGTTAATGAGATGTAAATTTGAAAATTTGCATGCATTATGTTGAATTCTCTGTAGAAATCCAAGTTCAGGCTGCATACAATTACACTCCTGATGTAGAAAGTAAGCTTACTTATCACGAAGCTATCTAGTTAGGTACTACTTACTTACAAATTTATCTATATCTTCGCTTACTTCTGTATATTCAGATAAATACGTATTTACTTCTTATACAAATAATTTCTTTTTATGCACTGAGATTACATAAATAACTAACAGGTAACTGGTATTACATAAATACATTGTCTCTGCAAGTAACAGCAGTCTTTCACCAGTCTCCGTTGTTTTTACCAAATGATTGCGGTTACCGGAGTATCAACCCTCCATCTAACCTGATTCTAGGGGGTCACTTACCATCAAGTGACCTGAAGGCCAATTCTCGTAATAAAAGTTCAGTCACAATCCAGTTCCGATCTACTCTCGATTTCGCAACTGTTATAAAAGATATTTTCGTAGTAAAATATTAAAGTATTACTAATACCTATGAACTTAATATTTTATATGTAATATATCCTCTCACATAAAAAGTTCTACAATTATATTGTGACAATAATTATCGATCTTACTATCTTAATAAATACATATAATTTAGTTAATTTTTAGAAATTTACACCTACTTTAATAGTATGTAATGAAACAACTAAATTACTAATAGTTGATTGAGATTTGACGAATGAGATTTTAATAATGATGTACGTTTTAGTGAATATCTCTGAAGCAGAAAAAAAGAATAGCTGAAGCGAAACTCTTTTTCAGTATATTAAACGTCTTGAACTAAACTCGTTTTCTACACTTTGTTGAAAATTAACATGATAACATACATACCTATTTATGATCTCATGTCTTGACTCACGTAGCACAGCAGCATGAATCATCTGTTGCCCATTCTTGATTACTTTCTGCGTAAAGAAATTCCTCATTTATTATATTATATATTTATAAACATTTTTAGGTTATTATGATTTTCACGATTGAACTAATGTAATTTTATGTTTTTATTCGTGAAAATTACTTCACTTTCTTTGTTTTACTTTCTTAAATGACACACACCCCAAACTGTTAAGATAGTCTGAGAACCTGAAACTAAAAATGCCGGGACATTCCACTAAATTCCTCGACGTCTCCTTTTCTGTCAAAGCGGTTCGGTTGTGGAACGCCCTACCGGTTGCAATTACACGTGAACAAACATTGCATCCTTCAAGAAACAAGTGAAAGAATATTACCTGGGAGACAGAGACATCAATGTCCTATAATTATTAACTGTCTACTAAGTCAATAAGGTTACATTATTTCTTAAATTTCAAGTATTTAGTACTTATAAATCACACGTATTTATTTAGTTGTATCTAATAACACCACTAGCCTTGTTCAGCGCATAGGACGAGTATATTCCTTCTAGTACATACGTCATATACTCACCAAAGTCCAACAAATAGATACTATTTTGTAATTATCATTTTTTTTTTATATACCTATGCTACTTTGATTTCCTCTTCTTATCTAATTCCTAATACACCAGCCCCTACCATTTATTTTTATTGTACATTTATAACTGGTGTACAATAAAGCGATATTATTATTATTATTAACATACCATACATAACATCATGTTGAATGTAACTTACAATATAAAAACATTTCCTGCCATAATGTTCTCGTATATATTTCAGATTTATGAACTAGACTGTGAACGTGTCACGAACTACAAAGCACATTTGAAACAGCTCCAAAAACATTTTCAATGAAACGAAACATGGAGCGGAGCTGTCGGAAATATCGAACTTGAATTACTTCAATATTCAATACACATGAACAAAAATTCACATTTCCATAACTTTCAGAGACGTTGGTGTACTCTTTTGTCCGCCGTTGGAAGCAATCTAATTACATATATTCTGTTTTCATATTCTGGGGCGAATGGGGGAAATCTTTCGGGACGAAAAGTCTTCAGTTATTCAAGCGTGTCTAGGCTCTCCCGAAGGATTACTTCGTCCGTTATTATGTCGGCTATATTACCAAAATACTACTTCTCACTAACGTAAACTTCTTGGTATATGTAGATAATATAGTAGGACCAGACAAACGAGTCCATTTCGTTATTACAAAAGTTAAAGTCGGTAGGAATACAAATAATGCGGTTTGTTAGAGATAAGTATACACGGACGATTCATCTTTTATTACTGAAAGACGTGACTTTGACTAAGAAAAGTCTTTTACATAACAGAAAACAGGAGATTACTAACAGTAAGAGCACAGTGTTGTATTTTTGATTGTAAATGATTGACTTTAACAAAAGTATCATTGATTTCAATACACCTACGTCACGATGAAATGTAATAAGCTGCATCCTTCATTCCTTAATTTTCTAACATTAGGGGCGATTTTTATCCTTTAAATTTAAATGGAACGTAACGAAAAGTACTATATCTCCAAATTGAATAAGAATTTTCAAAAAAAAACAGAATTGAGAATGTAGTCTTAAATTTGGAGTCGGTTCAAAAGTGTAGTAGTATTGCCAGAATGGAAAAGTGTACGTTACGTGCAGGTGACTTGACTGATATTGTAAATGACTTTTGAAGATACTTATTTGTTTTTTCCTAATAGATATGATGTCCACAATATAAGCGAAATGTGACATCTTATAAATGTATATATATGTATTTTTATATAAATGTTTATATATTGTGTGTATTAGTATCATTATTACTTATTGTATATGTATCTTTTTTATTAAAATATATTCTAATGTAAATATTCTCGGAGTTCACTTCACCGTTCTGCGCCCGTACGCTTAGAGAATATGATTATTTTAAAAGTACCTACATAATGACGTATGTATTTTTACTGTATGGTGTTAATTTATATCAACTTTGCTTGATGTAGCATCTGTTGCATTTTTACTAATATATAGAAAAACTGCATTATATTGTAAATCAAAATAGTCTGTTCGGCAGTGGATTTCGCGATGCTAAGGTAAAATAATTTAAGTACTTATGTCACGACAGTGTGCACAACTTTGACGTAATACATAATTATACCTACATTGAATGTTATGCAGAATAAAGATATTATAGTTATCTATAGTATCAGGTTCCTAATATTTTACAATTTTATCTAATTAATACTCGCATGTTATCTTTTTATCCATATGTTAACTTCTTAAATTCTTAAACTCACATTTTATAATCATTTTATGTAATTTATTGCTTGCTTACAACCAGAAAACGTTATTTTAATCATGGTAACAGTAAAGTTAGGACATTTATTGCAAGATTTGCGAGACTATAGCGTACACTCGTTACGTTTATAATAGACATAGCAGACTCGATAAAGTAGACGGTTGAAACGTTTTGAATACTTATAAGAGAGTGAATTCTGAAGAGTTTCGTTAGCGTGATAATTTCTTATTTTCGTGTTCCTGACTTTGAAAATGACGAATTTCCATACAACGAATCATCCCTTATTTTAGCCCCTTAGGAGTTTAATTTCCAAACATCCTTTCTTAGTGGGGTTTACAACATAAAAAGCATCAGCTGCCAAAATTTGTAACCCCAGCGGTTTAGACTGCGCTGTCTAATCAGTCAGTTGGGGCAAGTAATTTTTATATGTAAAGAATTTTTTTTTATATTATTTTTTTAGAACATATTATTCTTTTTCTAGAACTTTCCGGCAACAGCCAGATCTAGTTACAAATGTGCAATCCTGACCTTGATTTTACTAAAACTCTCCATTTTTAAACAATATCCCTTTTTATCCTTTGCCTTCCATTCTTCATTACATACGTACTTTTTTTTTGACGGGGTGGAAAATTGCTTCGGATCACCTGCTCCTGATCTGGCTGATTACCCGAACTATGTTATTTCAGGTCCTCTCCGAATTGACACCATGTCTAATCAGGCCCTATCCCAGGGGAAAACACTACGCCTCTCAGTCGCGGAGTGGCGGCCCGATTGCGTCTTAATGCAATTAGGCTGCCATTCTATCTTAGCCGGATGATTTAAATGTCACTCAGAAATGAATCAAGTTATTATTATTATTGTTGCTCTAGATGGAAAAAAAAACACTATATCCTACTGTCCACATTAAATCCTAGCTCCAATATACGATACATAATTTACATAACCGTCCAAAAAAGACATGTCTTTATTATTATGCTTTTAATAACAAAACTAATCATTGTTAAATAGAAATACGCCAGAAATTTTAATTTTTTTTATTGTCATAGCAACGTGGGTGAACCGCTGCAGCGAAGATTTAGAATGTCTGGACCTAGAAGAGGAACAACCGTTAGCAGAACTGAGCTCCATGCAGACAGACAAGTTGACCTTATTCTTCACAGAACTGTTGGACCACGACCGCGATGACGTCATATGCGACCAAGACTTCGACCAATTCTTCGAGGTAGGAAGGTATCAACCTTGTGATATATTGACTATTCTTCACAGAAACATAAACTATTAATAAGGAGAAACAACAATGATGATAATTATATAATATTAATAATAATATTTTCACACTTTACACACCAAACTGTTGATGAACATACATATATATTTCTAAATTCATACATATAGCTAAAGTACACCCAGACACAGAATTGTCCTGGGTGGGAATCGAACCCACGACCCAGTCAGGGTCCCTAATCACTAGTCCAACAGGCCAGTCAGAGATAATTACTTTGGCAATGATGCTACCAGACTAACATTGTTTTATGTTTGGTTTTCTGTGAGGCCCTCTTATCACCCCGGTCAAATCGCCACATATGTGCCGAAATAATGCTCTCCCACGGCTAACATATTTTTTGCACAGGATTGTAGAGTTAAAGATGTAGATTTCGTACCTCATTTTAATTACCCTTTTGTTCCGGTCGCTAATTGTAAGCTATCGAGCCTGGTTGAATCCTGAATCTGACTAATTATTATCGGCTGTTAGGAAATTATTAGTAGCACAACACAGTTTGGAAACGTACCCGTTAGACGGAGATATGTTTCGGGACTTAATTGAACATATACGACTTTGGCATCTAGTTTGTTATACTATGGCTTATTTTAAGATCTGTGGAGTTAAACAAAAAACAGAATTAGTAGCGCAATAAGTAATTTCCATTATTGAAACATTTAAATACACAGTTAAAACTGATCAACATTACAACATTCCTCGTGTAATTCAGAGTTATTTGCAACCAGAAAAAACAGATTTGTTACTATTTACAAGTGCTTTATTATTTCAATTGTAAAAATAAATAATAGTAAAAGATTTGAAGATGAAAAAGTATTACAATACAAGCAGTTATTTCATAAAAGTTTCATATAAAAGAGAATCAAAAAATTTTTAAGCGGACTTATATATAGTATTTATAACTACTAATAGATATGTTTATACCTACCTACTCATATCAGAAGTAAGAATAATTTATTACATCATTGTATAACAGGTAAACATTTAACAGCTAATTTAAAAATTAATCGATTTAATGTTCGAATGAAGTACCTTTACAATCAATATGTTCACGGGATGACCTAATTACTATTAAAAGGGTTAAATAATACTTAGAAGTATGCCAACGTCCATACCATGTTGAATTCACCGGTTCTCGTCCGATCACCGAAGTTAAGCTAGACATTACTTCAACACAATATGAAGTTTGAATAATAAATACAATGTACAGTTTCAAGCTTAATCGATTTTAAATTGCCATCATCATATATATGTATATTCAAAGCCAAAAAAAACACAGGATTGTAAACAACTAGTTCATAAGATAGAAGCCTCTGAGAATAAAATATAAAATAACAGCAACTGTGGGAAGTTAAAGTATTTTCCGCTCCACCTTGCAAACACTCAGGCAACTAAAGCCAAATAGAACAAATTACCTCTTAACTCAACATTAACTCATTTCAACCTCACATAACTAACACCGAATAATGAAAGAGTATAATTAAATTCGTTTTACGTCATAATTTACAGAGGTTGGCGCACTTCGCCGACTGGTCGCCAAACTCGTCGGAGTTCCACATACTTCTCGAGGTGAAGCGAGAATTTATAGACCACTTCATCAACCCGTTGCCCGCCAAGTAAGTCGACTAATCGGTCTAGTAAACAAAAACTAAGAGTTCGTGATAACGAATTATTATAATTAATCAACCTCAAGATTCGTTTTTAGCAATTAAGAGATATAAAGTAAAGTATAATATAGATCTAATATTAAGAAATACTTTGCTGCTCTAAATGTATATACAATTAGTACATACCTACATATTATTATGGTGGTATACGTTAAAATATATAATTCTACCAAATGTGTCACATTACACAAAGATAATCATGTTCCTTCACTTGTTTTTTAACCGACTTCAAAAAAAAAACTTCTCAATTCGACTGTATATTTTTTTTGGCTCCTCTGATTTCCAATTGCAATTCTTTCCACAGGCACACCGCCTTCGCTGTGATGGAATTGTACTAAACTTTTATAGAATGTGTTGACAAGCTAAGATTCTCAAATTACCTCAGGAATCTTAAATGCGTGTTATGCATAATTCGAAACGTTTTAAGATAGAATCTGACATCTGCCTAATTAAGTAAAAAAAATTACTGCCATTGCACACTACAATTGCATCTGCACACGACAAAATCTACATAATTATTAGATGAGATAGATTAAATATTACTAAGATTTATACGGGCAATATTACAAAAAACGTAAATTAACAATTTTGGTTACACCAAGATCTCATTACTTTTTAGGGTAAAAAAATGCGTTGCGAAACTTGCATTTTTTTACATGTTGTGTTTTTGATGGGATTAGCCTTTTAGGAAACTTCATTATACATAGAAGGTATGGGGATATCCGTATTGCTGTTTAATTAGGTGCTACATGTTAACATACACGGCCTTCTTCGCGGGTAAATTACTCCTTAAAATTAGTTATGTAACCGTCATAATATCCCATAAAAATAAATTGCTGACATTTCATGAAAGTGCTCCAAAAATACGGGCACTTTGTAATGTAATATGCAATTTTGTAGGCGATATATTTTCACAAGTGACGTTTTCATGTAACGTCGACGGTTTTTACGACTGGTGCGATGCGTGGGTTGGAACTTAAAGAATGCTGTGTTTCAACCAGAGCCTAAAGATAAATAGTTTACTGTAAAGGCTGGCTACAGTAGCGTTACAAAAAAACCCATACTTAGGAAGAGTCTGATTAATGAATTTGAGGATACTCTTAAGTGTATTTCTTAAAAAATACATTATTATGTATCAAAATTAGTATATGCTTCTTTGTATTTTGTGTTTTTCCCTACCGTTCATCAAATTATCGTGAAATTGGTTGACAATTAACTTAGAGTACAAGTACAAAAAAGTACCTTATTGTTGTTTAAATTTAATTTTAAAACTACAGAAAAAAATTAAAGAAGTTTTATGCTAGTCCTTTTAACATTCTCTAGCGTTAATTACAATTTAAGACGATAAAGTACATTCATATACTGATGCTGCATTATTCTGGTGTAAGCACAACAAAAGAGCTTCTGCCATAAAGCCCACACGCTTCGTCATATATCGTAAAACATTTTATTTAAGTAAATTGGTTTCATGGACTTCTGACATGACTTCATTAAAACTGGGATATTAAAAATATTTTTAATTAATAAAGAGGATTGTTTATAAGTATGTAGGAGGACAGTACTTATATATTTCAATACGTAGATCTTATGGAGAAGACGAAGCAAGAAACTCCAAGAACACTAATTTTCAACATGTTTTTTTATAATTTTATGAATCAAAATCCATTTTTATTTAAATAAAGTCGGTATGGCAACAGAGGATACTATTCATGTATCACAATGTATCTTTTGGCTTTACACTAGTTTATTAAGTTTATGGTTTTGCTTCATTGTCTAGGTTTTGTAAAGAGGTTTTGCTTCACATACTCTTTCAGTCGTTGTGCTAGAAGACTGTCCAATATGAATGCAGACTAAGCGACTTCACTACATGAGAGAAGACTCATTTCCTTTGCGATCATGTAGGTGGAAGTTGGGGATATCTAACAAATTAAATCTTTAAACGCATTATTTTCTTAACCTAGATTTGCTGAGCTGCCATACTACAGAAGGGTGTGCGGTCCAGAGGCAAGTGGTATCAACATACCTGGTCGCACGACTTTAGAAGGCTGGCTGGCTCGATGGGCGTTACACCTAAGTACAATGAAGCGGTTCACGGACCTGCCACTATACCTGCAATACCTCTGCAAAATACTCTTCCACGTGGTAGATAGGACAAGTAAGTGTTTAGCCACCACAAATGTTATGCGAAATGTTCTATTTAATACGCGTAGTTATGAAAACCAAACCTGTAGAATTATTGTAATATAAAAAAAAATAGATTAAAATATATGCAAATAGCTTGCTTATCAAAAAACCAACTATTATAAAATAGCGAAACCCAAGCCCAAACACAAACTAGTTTGTAAAATTTGAGTTTATAGGTAGAATATCTAGGGAAACACAATTCCGTATGGTTCATCAAACATGTATAAAACATATATATATATATATGTATAAATGGTAGTGTGGTAGTAAATAAATAAATAAACCAGTGATAACGATTTAAGTCCGCGCGCTGATTGACAAGCGCGTAACTCCAAATTAAATTCCCTTTGTATAATATTATGAGTATGAACATTATGCGGCGCACTTAAATCATGAGCACCCTTTATTAACTTTGAGTTTACTTTTAATGGAGGTATACTCGCATATTTAAGTAAAGCCGGAGTGCTAAGAGCGTGCCGAAACGGTTTGATGTACGGCACTATTTGACACGAGCAGGCGACCGCGGGACGCCGTTTTCACATCTCTCTGGGACACTGAATCACGTTAATCTTCCACATGATATGTTCTTTCGTGTGCAGGCTACACTCTCAATTTTTTGCGATACCGAAGTTAATTATTGTTGTAATTTAAGTAGGAATGTTTTTTTTTTTTAATATTATGCTTGAAATATTTCTATTTTAATTATCCATTATATTGAACTGTCTTCGTTCGGACCTGCTACTTACTATCCTTCAATTATTTAAAATCAAATATGTGAAATATATCTAAACGTAAACACAAGAAATAATAGGATTCAGAGGCAAATATAGCATTTAAACTTAGGTTTAGCTGGAAACTTAACTGCGTACCGACGTACCGTAAAATGTAGAACACTGGCCATGTTGTCTCCGATCCGTTTAATATTGATTTTTCTCTCTAAAAAAGCAGTTAACAAAAGCACTAAATGCGTTGAACTCTGTTATTTTGTAAACATTTCATGATTTACTCTTTGATAACTGCAGTACTAATGCTCTTTCCGTAGTAATAAATCAAAATAAGTGACGACTTTTCGTTATTCACAAAGATTTAAAATGTTGGCACCTCACACAGGATTTGTAGCCAAAAGCAGAGCGGGTGTTCGGTGAAGTGAGACATAGATCGCCCGCCTCTAGCCTCCTTACTTTCTACCGAACGACTTCTATTTTAATTTTTTAATCTTTGCTCGAAATTCTCCCTGAGGCCGGAGTTATTGGCATAATATTCCCTGTCAACATAAAATGTTACTTACGAACAAAGTATTGTAGGACTTTGGAAAAAGTAGACAGCTAGGTGTGATAGGTATTATTTATGTATCCAATCGGTGACTCTGTCGGAACTTTTTAATGATTTTTGTAATTTGATTTTGCCAATGCCAATTTTGAGACAGGATTGTCAAGTAGCTAGAAATTTATAAAGTTTTTTTGCCTCAAACTATTAATCATGTCACTATCTTTAGCTTTATAATCCTTATTTCAACTCAATAGTATAAATCAAAATGTGAGTTTGGTTGTTTGTCTTTCTATCACACCTAAACTATCATGAATTATATAGAAATTTTGTAGTTTTGTCAATTATTTTTTTAGGCACGTATAAAAAGTCGGACACAGTCTCGCTAACAAAAACCTGTGTCACTCATAGTCGGACAGCTCGCTGTACGTACAGGCCGGTACGCACACTTACACAAATTAGTCGGCCATTACGCTCGCAAATCATCAAGACAGCGAGACGCATTACGCAGCGAAAACATACAAATATACACCATGTTTTGAGTAGTTAAATACTGTAAAAACCGTACTGTCCGAAAGAAAAGCTATCCAGGCTTTACGTTTCATAGTCAAATGAATAATTTAATCACTTATTTTTTTTTATCAATCAGCATTCGCTAGAACAAAAGAATTCATTATAAGCACAGTGTTGCCATTTTTCAGGTGTGCAAATTACCCGAAACAAAGAATTTTTTTGGTTTTTTCAAATCCATTTATTAAGGTTATTTATTCATTACGATTTTCGAAAAAATAAAATCATTTTATTTATTAACTATGCTTTTAAGGCATAAATTTGGGTAACTTGGCAGCCCCAAAATTCATTGGCACACACAAAGCTACCACCATTCCGGTGCCTCAGTTTTGTGTTAGCGAGAGTTCTGTCCGAGTTTTTTTATACGTCTATGGGCAATACATATAACCTAAATAAAGTGTTGTTCCTTAGGAATACCTGAATGGATTATCAAAATAACATTAACACCCACGAAAACAACCTGATAAAATCTAGCATGTTATAAATATACAATAATTTACATATTACTGCGATCCACACATAGTTTTAGTATAAGTATTCCTTCGTATATGATGTAATATGTGGTACATTATTCTCCCAGGCACAGGGGCGATAACAAAACCAGCACTTGCAGCGTTCTATCGCTCCGTAATCGGGCTCAACACCAACCGCGTGGACGAAATAATAGACACAGCATACGATAGAATGACAAGCGTAAGTACGAACTAAACCATTAAATTCAAACATGAGAATACTCGAAATGCCTTAAATTCAAGAGGTGAAGATTAAATGATTAAATTTTGGAGCACAGGCTGTGAACTGTGTTACTGGCAGGCTACGGCGTAAGTGTATGGTTGACAGGTCACGACTGTCTCTGCTGATGAAGCTGTTTATTAGGCACCGATAACGGCTCATCATCCAGCTGACGGACTATGTATGTCAAAACCAACTCTACAGGACCTTAGAGTGCAAGAGCTTCTGACTTAAATTCGTGTCACCCGAGGGTTAAAATATCTCCACTTTCACACTAGACTGCTAGTGACTTTGATCACCAGACCTCCAAGAGAGACGACGAAATGCATAAACCCCATTCGTGGTATTGCGAGCATTTATAGGAACTGTACATCGCCGGTGTAATAAAAAATGAAAAATGTATTTGAAGTTCCAATCATTCCTACATCACTTTTGTTTTTAATTATGACTTGGTAAATATATGTATAACGTTTTCTTAATACAGAACGGCTACCTAATACTTGACTACGGGACATACGTGCACTGCTTCACAAACTGGCTGATGGGGAAGAATCCCAACGGCCCTGGGCAATGGGTTCTCGTTCCTCCGAAGGATTCCCTTCCACAGCCGCCCTTCCCTGTCGACTACAGCGCTCTGAACACAGAACCCGCAAAGCTGGAGCCTTACGCCCCCGATAAGAAGACAAACAGACATTCCGTTATAGTTTAAGTTTTAATCAAAAATCGGTTAGAAAGAGTTTTACAGGTAAACTTTACTAGGTTGATTTGACTTGTACAATTCGCATAGTAATCTCACTCTTCAGCTCAAATTAAAAACCGCATTGGAAATCGGTGATCTGCTTGTGTTATAAAAATCCTACAAATGAATGATAACTATTTAAATCAATTTTTAAAAAATGGTATCAGAGAAATGTACAGATTTCGTTAATCCCTAATACGAAGTCAATTGATGAATTTATGACTGCGTTAAGTAAACCAATACTAAAATAAGTATCGATTTTGTAAATTTGACTTATTGGAAGGACTTTTGTGGTTGGCCAACGTCAGCTTTTGGTAAATTGAGACCTTGTTTGAGTATTTACTAATGATTAGAATCCCGAATTTTGTAACCAGCGTCTGTACATAATTTATTTCTATAAGTTTTCTTATTACGTAGATTAAACTCATCGAAAGATCTGTATTAACAGGTCTTAGGTATATTACTATCTGTAGTCCATATACCTATCAATATATTACTTGATTGTATTAAGAAAGTTTGTTAGATTTAAGACATAGAGAGTTAAATAAATTATTTTATGCTAACTTTTTACTATTTATTTTGCCTTTCTGAATTACGTACATACTTTGTAGTCACGACAATTCAGTATAATTCAAAATTATGTAGCAGAATTGTCTTTTGTTTCTTTGATTGGAGGTAGCGACTGAAAATAAAGAATTATGACGAAATATACATTGAAAGTGGTTAAAACATTATATATTTCACTCAAAGTTATCAAGAAGCACAGCACAGATAATATAGAAACAATGTGAATTTTTAAGTTAGGATAAATGTACGCAAGCCTTCAAGTATATAGCAATCCTAATAATTAATACATTTTTTTTAATTTAATAAATGGCTAAAAAAATTTAACCGAACCTTTGTAATCTTGGTCTCAAGTATAACGTCAAGTAATTAAAAATATAAAAAATATTTTAGTGAACCATTTAAAAAAATATATAAATTACTTCAATTAATACAAAAGTAGTCAAATAGGTGTGCGAATTCGATTATAACAAAAAGTACTAATGATATAGTCTAGGGAAACACTTCAGCAGGAAGTTCACAAAATAAAATTAATGTTGTGTTCAAGTACCGTGAAGGCTATTTTATGTAAGCAGGACATGAAATTCATAATTTTCAGCCTTTTTGTGTATATACATTATACGCATGATAAGACATAAAAGTGTGGCTTTTGCAATCTAAAGTAAAAATTATGGTTGCGTACAATAGATTCCTCGCTACTGAATCGGCGTATACCTAGGTAGGTACTACCCACCACCCTCATGGCATCTATCAATATTATTAACTGAAATATAACAGAAAATTACACGTCATGTATTCTAGCAATGTGAATTTCTATATAAAAGTAGGTTAAGTATCTTAAAATGAATAAGTAATGTGGAGTATTTTAGTTAATTCATTAGAAGGCGGGCTCTATTGAATCACCAGAGCTCGCTAGTGTTGTGACTGTGTAAAGAATGGTTGAATATCGAAAATCGTCACGCAGGATGCATAATTATTATGTTAACTTTATTTTAATAATAAACGAAATGACAGATAATCTCATCGAAGATTATTTTAGTTGTAAAATCTCGCTGTAACCGCCTTAAATCGATTTCTTTACCGATTCGATAGATTTTGCTTCGACGTAAATACGATACGTTTTATATATATTATAATATCGTAAAACGTGCAATTTGACCAATTCTTCTCTTAAACATTCTGTAGTGTAAGTCGATGTAAATAATAGAGTAAAAATGCACGATATGCAAAGAAACTGCCTTAAAGTAAGCATATTCACGTTTCACGATAGCCTTATTTTGTACCTTAGATATAATATAGGTATTAAGTATAGGCTAATCTAAAGAATATGTTAGAAATCTACACTTTGACTCACTGAATAAACTTTTTCGTTTGATAAACTGACTCTTATTTCCTAAATAAAAGCACATCCCTCAAACTGCGTACCAGTCTGAAATTATTCATAAAGTAGGAAAATATACTTTTTATTATGCATGTATATAACACGTAGGTAATATTAATACAAAGATACACCAGTAGTTCATAAATGTATATGTAGTTGTAACATATTACGTGCGTGTGCGAGTGTCCATATGATAGAATAGCTTTTGCTCACGGCTTCGCTCACGTAAATGACAATTTTGTCATTAAATTTGGCCGGAATAACTAGTAGCGTCTGTGCTATTCATGACTATAATCTATGTTCCAAATGTCGTCCAGATCCGGAATGACATTATGGCTTGATTGAGTAAGAAACATACTTACATTTTGAAAAGTTAAACAATAGTTGTCTAATTATTACTAGAAATTTATGAGCCCGGGAATATGCTTGCCCCCCTATTAAGTGAGTGGGAATAGAATTATAGTCATCAAAATGTGGGCGTTTAATACGACGCTGCAATCTGACGCTTTAATCTACCCCTTCGGGGATTAAAAAACGTGGGTGTATTTCTATGTCTAAGTATGTAATCAAAACGAAGCTGAACCAGATTTTCGAACATACTCGTACATAATTACAAGTCATTGGACTCTAATGGTAATTAAAATCACTGTTATTTGTAAAACATGAGGAAACGCATCGGTTGGTCGCTCGCTGATAACTAGGTCTCAGGAACAGAAGGTCTTTTCAAAAGCCCGCTATGATTGATGGCGAGTTAAAAAGATCGCTGCGACGCTGGATACCCTCGCCTGCTCCACAGCGATTCTGCGTTTTGGACATTTTCGCAAATTATCATTAATCATCCTATGGTCTGACAAATTATGTATTCATGTTTTTAGATGTTCCCTGTCTTTATTTAACGGGCTTTTATAATAAAGTAATAAACGACAATATTAATGAAAAGGAACAAAAGTATCATTATTATTATACACGTTGATAAGAACTATTAAAAATCTGTCAGATACAACTAATATTTAATATCATATGGAGCTATAGTGAATTTCTGTCAATAATCACGTTTGAATTATTTCCCTCTTTCCACTTAACACTATTCTACTTCGATCGCCCAGGGGATTACACAATACTTAACATTCCACTCCGATCCCCTTTATTTCTGTGCAGAAATTCCCTCGTATACCACCTACTGGTGTACCAGGTTTAACCCTAGGAAGGAAGTCCTTGGTACAGCTTATAGATGAACAGCTCATGTGTGGGAACCACGTTGTTCCCTTTTCACTCCGTAAAGGGCGCGCGAGCTTCACATTGCGCACGTAAACGCAAATATCTCAGTGGGTTATTTCATATAAATATTTAAATAAATTGAACTATCATCATCATCAACAGCCTTTAGTAGTCCACTGCTGGACTTAGAAAGGAGGCTAGGCTTCCCCTTCTCCTTAGAAAGGAGGTTTTGGCCTACTATACCACGCTGGCCAGGCTGGTCGGTAAACACTATTTTTAACCGACTTCAAAAAAGGAGGAGGTTCTGTGTTCCACTGTATGTATTTTTTGGATATTTAATTAACCTTTTGTTTTTGGTTTGTTTTGGTTTACAAGGAGTGTGAAAGTAAGTTTATGATTTATTATTTTTAGAGGGAATTTTTTCTACGAGACAAATGATATGTCACACATTTGATGATCAGTTTTATATAGAAATGTGAATATATTATGCTTAACTATTACCTTTGGTTGAAATTAATGGAAGTGAATGTAGTGGAATCAGTACATCAAAATTACGGTAATAAGTTATTCGTATCAATCAGTTTACTTTTTGACGAAAAATGTAACTAGAAATAGGTTCTTTTTTCGCCCTATTTTGCGCAATGAGTGAATAAAGAAGATGTGATGCAAATGAAACGGTATGAAGCACAGAAGCGTTCATAAAACATGTAAACAAAATGACGCAATTCTACCAAGTACCAAAATTTTTAATAATATATATAAACTAATAATATGATAAACTGATGTACAATTTGCTTATAAGTTACATCTGCTATAATATATAAAATATCGAAAGAATTTGACACTTTTAGATTTATAGGTAAATCTAATTAATTAATTTTTTTACTTACGTATAAATACTTAATTAGTTTTAGTTGATGAATATGGCAGTCTTAACTTAGCAAAAAATCAATGCAGTTAATAATAAAACTCCACTTAAACTTTAAAGGTTTTTGACTTCGGATCATCCAATCAATCAAGTAGTCATTAGTCAGGTGACGGACAGGCGTTTCAGCCACCTAGTCCATGTGGCTCAAACGCCTGTCCTGTCCTGCACTGTACTGTGATTTTAGCTACTGTTAATTTAAACGGATATTAGCTTCTCTATAGCCATAGGTTTAATCTATAGTAATCCTGTAATCGCAACCGCAAAATAAACTTGATCAATCATCATCATCAATCTCAACATACATTCCTTATGCGGACGATAAGAAAAAAAAGAAGGTATTTTTTACAAAAACAACTTTTCTCTAACACCTAAACTACCTACTGAATTTAAATTCCATTTCATCAACAGCTTGCCTATTTCAAGTAAGCACGGTACGTACCTAAACAATTTATTACTTTTAAAAAAACCTCTTTACGCAGCTCATTGCAATTATAATGGGATCGTCAGCTTCGTCCTGATATTGTTTCCCAGACTAAGTAATAGCATCATTAAACGAGAGCGGGCGAACCGACATTTTTCCTCTGAAATATATCGCCATGATAAATGGAGAACAATATTTATCGATGTTTGCAGAGTACAACGCTGCAGTTTTTATTTTTGTGTGGCAACGTCATATAGCGGTAATACGTATGCCAATCGTCCGTACTATTTTTTTTGTGGATAAAACCCATGAACAGAATGCCAATATAACTGTCCCTCATGATACAGTTTTATATAATGAAGATTATTCCAAAAATAATCCTATTTTTTTTTAAGTAGCTGTAACAGTTAAAAGGCAATTAATAATACATTTATTTTATCCAAATGTAAGTTAAATCTTACTTATGAAAATCATTATACTTTCATCTAATCATCGGTAAATTTTACATATTCTTTGCCCAAAATACTGTAAAGGACAGAAGGTACTTTTCCTCCATTTTTTATCCTCGAGGGAGGGAGGAAAATATTACTCATACTTGAGCCCGGTCTCGGGCAAGAGCTAGGATATTAATAAAACAGAAAACAAACAATACGCCTATGTATTAAATTTCCACTTGGTATGAGCTCTTGCGTTCAAAAAATTCAATTCAAAGTAATATTTTACCACGAAAGTATAAAATCACATCTGCCTATGAATGTTGAAAGGTTAAAGAAAAGGTATGGCATGTATGGCATGGAAATCTAGTCTAACAAACGAGTCAGTAAGGACTGACTGGAATTGGGCTGGGCTCTAAAGAACTAAGGTTCAGTGTCTAAATAATAATCACGACAACTCCCGCATTAGGAATATATCCTGTGTCGCGGGGGACTTTACAAACATACATGAAACGGACACAAAGAACACCCAGACTCAGAACAACAATTTATGGATCACACAAAGTGTCGTCCCATGTGGGGATCACAGAGTACATTGTAATATGGGGATCAGACCCACAACACAGCGTAGTAGTGAGCGGCGTGGCGACCGCTTAAACCACTACGCCATCCGTGCAGTCGGCCGCTCTTCCTGCCTTAACAATCCAGGATTTAGTTTAGGCAAATTTGACTGAGATGGATTGATTTCATAGGGAGAGCTCAAATCTCAAACCTATTAACCTTGACTGCGATAACTCATTTGGAGGACAAATATTAGTATGACAAAATGAAACAAGAATGCTCATCAATCATTTATTTCCATATTTTTATAAAATAACAATTACCAGCTACGCGTGGAAATCTATATTTGTTGTTACACATATTAATTACATTTTAAACATATATTACACTGATTGAGTCCTAGTAAATAAAACTAAAATTATTTATATTAGACTTGCAACGAATAGTATATTCGGCAGTATACCGAATACCGAATATTCGGCGAGGCCCCTGACCGAATAGCCGAATATTAGGCAAAAGTATTCGGCTGGATTTTAGCGCCAGAAACTTGTACAGACGTGAATTAAATTATGTACCTGTTTTATGTACCAATGACTACTTAATAAATGATTATAAAGAAATGAGAACCTTACCCTTCTAAATTTTGATTACCACAATAATTCAAATACATAGAATCCTCCATTTTTCCTATTCAGAAGATGATTATGTACCTGTGTTATGCACCAATGACTACTTAAATGATTATAACAGAAATGAAAATATGAATATATACGTAATCAATCGATTTTAATTTTTCATTTTACCAATTATTTCTCAATGACAAAATATATTATTTAAGTATTCGGTATTCGGCCGAATAATATGTAGATATTCGGTATTCGGCCGAATATAATAAAAGCAGCCGAATAGGCCGAATACCGAATAGTAACCGAATATTCCTTGCAAGTCTAATTTATATGTTAAATAACCTACCTATGGTCACTCCCGGCGCAAACGCATTTACACGCTGTAAATTCCAATAATTTTCGACTCAGTTTCGTGGTCTGAATACACTATTTCAGTATTCGTTACGATGTCCCGATCCCCACATAGGACGACACTTTGTGTGATCCACAAATTGTTGTTTTAAGTCTGGGTGTTCTTGGTGTCCGTTTCATATATTGTTTGTAAAGTCCCTTGCGGCACAGGATATATTCCTAATGCGGGAGTTGTCTTTTTGAAAAAGAAAAAAGAAAGCTAAATTTCTTTCATCTTTTTCACTATAATTTCGTCTGTAACATAAATATGTTCACTATCACTTGTACCCATCCTTAAATTGTGTTCAATTTGAGGCAAATATCGTATTCGTTTACAAGAACTATGTACAATTTTGCATCCCATATCAATAAAACCCTTAGCATTTAAGAGGTTAATTCCTGCTCCGGGCATTATCTCTATTTTATCACCATAATCCATATATAATTTCTTTATAAGTTGAATTGCATTGGCGTTATCAGCTGAAACTTCCTGACCACTTGTAAGTAATCTACTGAAACCAATATCTATGATTGAAAGAATAGTCTTCTGGGGATCCCTACAAACGTCAAAGGCTCTATGAAATGTGACCGGAATAGGATGAGCCCTACGTATAACCTCAGTACAATTGATTTCATCTATATCCTGCGTATTCGTGAGAGCGCCGAAGACAAATCTATCCACTCCGATAACTTTGAAGACGTCAATATCGCTCAACATTGTGTCCATTTCCTCTTTGGAATAACAAAAATCAGAACCTGTTCGAGATCTAATCATTACATTGACTTTGGGAGCCTGCAAATAAAAAATATTATTGTTTAATCCATATATATTAGAAAAATAATTTGGTAAAACTGGGAAAAGAAAGTTCTTAATACACTTTAATGTGACTATCTCATTATTTTCTTAAAAACGCTAAGCAGCCTTTATGAATTAATACGTCTCTGTGCATGTTGTGCATAAAAATAAGAATTAAAAAAAAACGGATTAGCAATGCATCCACCCAATTACTATTATATTGAAACCAAGACTTGTATAAGACAAAACAGCAAAATTTCAAAAGAGGAATTCTCGTAATAAAATTCGGTCAACATTCAGTTCTGATTTAAGCGCAGGCCACACGGCCACCAGGCGGGCGACGCGACTCGAAGGAAACTACTATAAACTAAGCGAAGCTAAAGAACGTGTGTTCACACCGAAAGCTACGAAAGGACAGGTGAGTGAGCGGGCGAGAGCGTTCCTTGTTACGTTAGGCGCAGGCCACACCTCCAGCTAGCGAGCTGGGCGAGCATCCTTTACCTCTTTTCACACTTCGGTTCACACTGCGAAGTACAGAGCTAAGCTACGCTAACAAAGTCAACGACTAGCATCGCTGGCATGGTCGGATATTTCATTCGCAATGTTCACATAGCTTGTCTCTGTAGTTCGGGGTGTGAAAAGAGGTGAAACGATGCTCGCTCGATAGCTAGCGGTGTGGCCTGCGCTTCTCGACCTCACAAATGTCATAAAAGGTATTTTCATAGTAAAATATTACTAAGACAGCAGATTACGATTCAACTTTCAGTCCCAATACGGTATAATCAGTAATCACGTTACAGTCAACGTTGGATGTAACGTCAACGTGTAAAGTCAACGTTACCTGTTCCGTCCTTAACGTTCCGATCTACTCTTAATCTTAGTATTAAAATACTAAGATTAAGAGTAGATCGGAACTGAAATTTGACCGAATATTTATTAGGAGAATTGGCCTTCAGGTCTTCGAATCAGATGCGTCAAAATGTTTTACACTTTCCTTTATGCCGCCCGGGTTTGCTAAATACAACACATTCTTTACGTTTGTAATTACTGTAAACTTACTTCACTTACTTAAGTACTATACCTAAATGAGTACCTTTTTTTAAGTGTGGAAACTCCCTCGGGCTGTAACCCCACCGGGGTTTGCGGCGGGGTGGTGTGTCGGAATCAGACCGACTAAAACCACACGGTGTGCCACTCTACGCCTGTAGTAGGAGGGATCCGGGAACTGCTCTTATTAAGACATCCGGACCCCTCCTAGCGCCTGCCCGTAATTGTGCGGGCACCAACTTCGGGTACATTCACTATTTAGGTGACGTCCGGTACACGCGGATGTCACCTCCTCGCGGCTGGCCATTATGGCGGGTGGAGAGGAAAACCCGTCCCGTCCACACGCAGCCACACTCAGGGCTGCATGAGGCGCTGGTAAGGCGCCGGCGGCGAACTGGGTCAGAGTTCTTCTGCGAGATGACGTCTTTGCAAATGGGTGCGACCGCGGTAAAGCATCTATCACTACCGGTCATGGAGCGTACCTAAATGAGTACCTACTGTAAACTTACTTACGTACCTATTATAAATGATTGAATTATTAATTGGTTTACCTACCGTTTTCAAATTACCGCAACTGCAATTATCACATGTTTTACGAATAGGTATTTTCTTCGGTATGTTGTTGACCTAAGGGGAACATAAATGATAATATACAATACTCGTAGTAAGTAGTAATTAGTACTATTCTAGAAATTAAGTCTAGTTTCGTTACAAAAGAAAGAAATGCTCAAGGGTTTTATTATTTTTTATGTGGATCTCGGGCCCTAATCGTGACACTATTTAAAGCTACAATACCTTTCTTGGTAAACTAACATTTCGATCGAATTGAACAGACCGTAGTCATGATCGTCCGTGTCTAGTACAAAGTAGAGAAAGTACTAATTTGTTTAGATTACATTAGTATTAATTATTCAGGTACTTATTTACAATGAAAGAGTCAGTCAATATTCGGTGATCGTTAACTCATTAGCATAGTCAGGCTGTAAGTAAGTCTATGGACCCCCGGCCGGAACGAAGTTCCTTTCGCTTTTTAGTAGTCATAGCGTTGGAAAAAAGTTTTGTTACACATATTTCGGTCTCGCTCCCATCCGCTCAGAGCGTATAACGCGCGATAAGGAACTTCGTAACAATTGTAATTGATAGAAAGACAACTCAAATACAATCAACTCTCACTCAAAATTAAAAAAATTGTATATCTTTTTTTTACTCACAATGTCCCGAATTAGTTTTACCAACCCCGCGGAAGGTGTTAGCCCACCTTCTGTGAGTGAACTACATACTTCCAATTCATCTGCGCCTCCGTGGATGGCATTTATGCAGACTCCAAGCTATCAATGCAGACCTCCAACATTGTCTGCGAAAAAGGAAGCATACTATTTATTTGTGATATAAAAATCAATACTAGCAGCCAGAAATACATCAGATATTGCATTAAACCATTAAGTAACAGTACTTAGTATCCATTAGAATACCAGATACCCCGGCATTCAAACTTGGACCGTTTTAAAATGAAAAACAGTTGAAATTAGAAACAAGATAATATTCCAAATTGAATTAAAAATCTTCAATATTGAATATTTTGTTTCATTAACTTGAAGTACCATTGATGAATCATCATTATGAAAATTATAAAATTCAAATCGCCAGCTTGTAAATTTTATGTAGGTATTGGGTACATTTTCTTGCAGTCGAGTTGTTTGCTTTTTTTCAAATAATCAGCTTGTTCAGTGTTATTTTAGATAAATATTCTTTACCATATTGTCATAACTTAGTTTATTATATCATAACTTATACTATGGCATTGTTTCCAAAATAATTATTTGCCACATGCGATTTCGGGACCATCCATTAATTACGTCCCACGAATTTCATGTTTTTTTTATCCCCACCCCAGTCCTTGTAGCAGCTGGTCACATTCGAGAGCGGGCAGCTGACTGTTGTGACATCATATATTTTGCAATTTTACATATAGAAATTATTAAATTAAAATAGCAGTTCCAGAATTAGTTTTATTTAAATTTATTTTTTGTGAAATAAGTTTGAAAATGAGTTGTTGTATTACTATAATAATAATTCAAATTTCGCGTTTTAATACTTAGATATATTAGGTTTTGAAATGTTACGTCACAAAACTTAGGATCCCCCCCCCCCTTGTCGCACAATATCACAATTCGCCGCCCACCTCCCCCTGCCTTAACGTGTGACGTAATTTATAGATGGTCCCTTCGCAGCTAAATATATTTAGATGTACGTACATTAACAAATCAACAAACTTGCTGTAGATAGATCCCCAGATTGGAAGTATTAATATTATAAAGGACTAAAGTGCGGCTGTACACCTATAAAAAAATAGTGATGCCACAGCCTCTCAGAAAACCGGTTTTTAAAGCAATTCTCTCGTTGCTTTCCACCGAGCGAGTGAGGTTACTAGACATGGAAATTATTGCTACTTTTAAATCATATTCGTTTGATGAAATGATTAGTTTTAGTCACAGTGATTTCACATTGATTGTGATTTGGTCATTATAATAATAATAACCTTATAACATTTTACACATCCCACACACGGTTGTGTGATCCCAAACTAGGCAGAACCTGTAATATGGGAACCAGACTGCTGATAATCATACTTATATATTTCTAAATACATACATATTATAGATAAATTACACCCAGACAGAACAAACGATCGTGCTCATCACACAAATATTTGTCCCGGGTGGGAATCGAACCCACGACCTCCGGCTTAGCAGTCAGGGTCACTAACCACATCTAAATTCTTTTTATCAAAGATTACGACCTTTTTTATTAAATTAAATCGATTATATGATTTATAAATCATATGATTTATCACAGTTGATTTTGATTTTATTCTTGAGTTAAACTCCATGAGCGCAATAGTCACTTACCATCAAGTGACCATTTGCTCGTTTGGATTAATACCAAAAAAAATGTCTGGTATATGGAAATGTTATGGACGTTTATCTGTTACCGAGTACTCAATCCCAGACTCTTAATTCAAATCTTGGTTTTAAGCATATGAACTAAAATCGATTCTCCAGCAGAATTTAGTAACGGACTTTTTACCACTAAAGTTCATGCAGAAGATAAACCCTGAATACAAACTACCCTTTTTTTTTTCCTGTGCGGAAATCCCCTCGGATATCACCCACCGGGGTGATTATGTCGGACTCGAACCGACCAAAAACCGCACGCCGTCTCGGGTACCAGTAGCCGGGGAACCAGGTGTACCCTAGAAAGGAAATCCCTGGTACCCCGACGTACCTCGGGCCATCCACGGCGTGTAGATGGTCCACTCCTGTGTGGGAACCCCCCATGTTCCCTTTGCGCTCCCAAAAGGGGCGCGCGCGCTCGGCAGCGCGTCTCGCCGCCATTCCGGCCTGCTTTCTGCTCCTGCGTCCTCCATAAACGCAGGCCTGGGGGTGACAGATGAGGCCATCTGTCACCCCCCGGCCTGCGCTTATGCAGGACGGAGGTCGTTCTGCGACCTCCGACGCCTGAGTCGTCTGCAGTACCTGGTCCGTTCCCGGGCCTGGCGGGCCGGGAGAGTTCTAAACCTCGTCCGGTCCCGCTCCGCCATCTCCTTCGCAAGCATAACTTGCTCGCAGGAGACGGCGGAGTTCCACGCACTCTCGCTCCGTACCATGGCGGCAATCATACTACCGAGCGAGAGGACTCCCACCCCGATGGCCACCACGAGGTCACGCCTCTGCTCCACCCACGCCGGGCATTCTGCCAACGTGTGCAGGGCCGTGTCCACGGTCCGGCCATCGCAGTGGTGACACTCAGGCGTTGGCTCCTTGCGAATCAGACACAGGTGATCTCCGAAACAACCTTTCCAGGTGATCACCTGCGTCAGTCAGCCGTGACGCCTCTCGAGCCAATCCTCCATAACGGGTCTTACCGCCGCAATAACGGCGTGCCCGGCGCTCGGTTGCCCAAGTCGTTCCTTCCACTCCTCTACGAGGACCTGGCGGAGCTGGGATTTCTGATCCTCGATTTCTCGAGTCTCAGGACTCAGACCCAACTCCCGCGCCTCCTTGCGCCACCGATACAAAGCCGCAAGGGCTCTCACCTCCAGGTCCCAAGAGATATTTTAACCCTAAGACCAGAGGGTTGTCAATACTACTGTTTACTAATCTTATTAAGAGATATTTTAACCCTAAAACCACACAGAGTTTAATTAAAAACAGAGTAAATCATTATTTGCCAAAGACTTAAAAGATAACCAATTAACTCACAACTATGAGAAAAAATGGGTTTGAAAACTATTTTAACAAAAACTAATGAGGAAATATATCATTATTTGTTTATTACTTTCTAATTTCAACTTCATAATGTTATTCAATTTTGCATCAAGTTTTTTCCCTCCCTGGGTCTTCTGCAACAATGGGCGTACCCAGCGTTTACTTAAGGGTGCAGCAAAATTAAGGGGCTTATGGCTAAGTTGTAACCAAGTAGGTTAAGACATTGCAAAGTTAAGCAATCATAGCCAGGTAAGTCTATGGATGGGTGACCATTTATTATGAATTACAATGGAACCTGTAGATACTTCATGAAACGTTTTAAATTTTTCGTCACATAATTCGACTGCACGGATGGCGTAGTAGTTTAAGCGGTCGCCACGCCGCTTCCTACTACGCCGAGTGTTGTGGGTTCAAACCCCACATGGGACGACACTTTGTGTGATCCACAAATTGTTGTTCCAAGTCTGGGTGTTATTTGTGTCCGTTTCATGTATGTTTGTAAAGTCCCCCGCGACACAGGATATTTTCCTAATGCGGGAGTTGTCTTTTTTATAAAAAAAAAAAATAAATAAATAATAATAATAAAGGTGTGTAAGTCACGGTGGAGGGTGGGGAAAGCGCCCATGTCTACAACTGTTTACAATGACTCTCTTTTTAACTGTAACAAAAATAAAATAAGTTAATCAAAAAGAATATAAATATGACAGAACTATAATAGCTCAGAATAGTAGCTTTGAGCAAGTTTGAAGTCAGAGAAATATTGCATATATGCATGTACTGTGGTACTGTGTATATGCTACTGAACTGTACTAAGGTTTTGTATCTGTCATAAAAGCAGACCTATATAATATTAACATAAGTACACATAATGACAATATCTTGGCACTGGTTTTTGGTATGGGAATATCTACTCCACTTCCATAATTTCATTCATTCAGTCATTTCTCAGTATTTTAATCCATTTCCTATCCATCATAACTACAGTCATCAAGGGCACTAGACATAAATGATTGATAACAATCTCCACTTCAACAGAATCATTAAAAAATACAAAAATCTCTTCTACTGTATTTTGCAATATTTAACTCTTACATTTCATAATTGCCACACTTAATTATAACCGTATTTTAATTTATATTTATTAGCAAAGCTTATTTTGATTCTATCACTTTTAAATAATGTTGTATTTGGAATCAATTGTCTTAAGGTTTTCTTTATTGCTATTGGGTTTCAACAGATACGGTATTTTTGTGTTATTTAAACCCCATCTTCAATTTACAGCTAGCATTCAAGTCCTTTAATAAAATGTTTATGTATTCTCTTGCAGCAAATCCTTGATCTTCGTTTTGCCTTTACCCTAAAAACAACTAGTCATAAATTGTGGAACTACAGTGTAGTCTGTATAAAGAAAAGATGCAACTCTTGGTTTACTAAAATTTTAAATAATATATGCACTAAACAGGTACAGATCCATGATTACTTTTTTGTAGTCACCTGAAACATAGTTTCGGTACAATGACATGAATCCCATTTAGTATAAAACAATTGTTAGCGGTGACGGTCAACCGAAAATAATGACTTTATAAAAAATGTATTTATAACTACATATTTTACAACTATTTTAAGGATTCGCCTTATTCCTAATAAATATCAATCCATCATACCTATTTGTATAAGTATTTGTTTATAAACTTTCCAAGACAGGAAAATATTGTTGCGGTTTTCTTTTTTTTTAATAAACCTTATGGAAACCGTCTTAAATCATAGGTTTTACAGTCAACAGTCTTACTTACTTTAGACAATGGGAATTGGCTTTTATAATAGAAATTTGTTAGTAGTGCTCTTAGAAGACCCTTTCAAACGAAATAATTTCGTTTTATGATACTTCACCATTTACCGTTTTGACAGCAAGTGTAGCCATAGTAATAATAATGATGAGAGATTGTCGACATGTGGGATGTTGATTCGGCAATCATTGTACCGTCATAGTCATATCGGCCCATGGATTTATTGCTAAGAGTCTCTACCAACATCTTGAGAGGCTCACGTTAGGCAGTTGGATTAAGGGCCTGATGCAAATGGCAGTTCTTCTCGATACGGCACGTATTGTGAGGAGGTTTCTGTCTTTGGAGTCCTAACCACCGATATCTTGGTCCCTGTACCTGATACCGATGGGACACTATTTTTTATATTTTTAAATGTATTTTATTTTGTCCATAAACATATTTAAAAATGTAATTTAAATGTATATTTAATGTCATAAAGAGAATAATAATATTCTACCACATTCACACAACGCAATCTAGTCCCAAACTAAGTGTACTATGTGTACTAGACAACTGATATAGTACATATATACTTTTTATACATAGAAACAACCAGACGAAATCAAACATTAAATGTTCATGCACACAAATGTTTGACTTGAGCGGGAATCGAACCCGCGACCTTCTGAATGGCAGTCCGTTACACAAAACACCATCCGGTTGTCACTAGCGATGGGCGATAATTACTAAAAAAATGTAAGAATAAAAATAATTTACTTGCCATAGTATTTTAAATTCAAGGTGAACATGTTTCTAGGTATTATAACCATCTTTTTGCCCCGCACAACCAACATGTGATTCTGTGGAACGGGTCGTCTGCGGTATTTCCGGACCGATACGACCTTTAAACCTTCATGAAAAGAGCGTACTCCTTCCAAAACGGCTGGCAAACGCGTTTGTGACTCCTGAGTTGCAGACGTTCATGGGCGGCGATAGTCACTTTCCATCAGGTGACCCGTCTGCTCATCTGCCCCTCTAACATAAAAAAAAAACTCATTATTGCATTAAACTTTGGTACCCAAGGTAAGATTAAACTGGTGGTATAGGTAACCAGGGCTCTCGCATAAACATACATAAACATGCAAAATACTATCTTAGCGACTTGTTGTTACAATTTTAGTGCATTTTAAATTAAAATATTTTACAATCATAAAAAAGGTTGAGATGTATGTGTGCGTGTGTGTGCGTGTGTGTGTGTGCGTGTGTGCGTGTGTGTGTGTGTGTATGTGTGTGTGTGTGTGTTTGTGTGTGTGAGTGTCTTTAAATTGAATTATTCGATTGTTCAGTTCAGTTAAAAATGTGGAAAACAATTGATGTCAGTCGATTGTTATCAACGGCACGCGGTACGTAGTCATTGTCAACTGCGTGCGTATCAACTTTAACTAGCTACTAATTCGTAGCGCAGCGCACTCGTACTACTAAATAAGTAATAACAGGTGCGTGCGGGCGATGCGCTACAAATCAAGAGTTAAAAGTACGTGCGCCACCACTTCTACTGCAGTTATTTTACGATTCGCGAATTGGCACTAATAGATTATTCAATTTAGGAAACGTCCATTTGTAGTGTATTTTAGTACTACCTATATTAAGAATAGATGGATAAGTAACTAGAATAAAAATTGAGTAAAAAATTTATAATTATTTAAATTATGTTTTTCACAATGTAAATACTTAAATTATTTATAGGTTTAAAAGAGATCAATCAATTTATCTAATTCTAATCTACCTTACCGATGTAGTAGGAACTTAGTTAAGAAGGTATTGTCCAATCCAATATAAGATTAGTACAACTTTGTTAAGTAAAACAAAATTTAAATGATCTTCTCAAATCAACCAGCTAGTAAAAAAATGTATGAACCAAAAACAATCAGTTTCTTATCCTATCTATCAGTCAACTTTATCTTTCTATGTCTAAGTAATTAAGCACGTTTTGGTTCACCGAGCGCGCGCATGCATAGCAAATTGCGCAAAGTAGTCGATTGTTTTTTGCAACAGCCATACCATAACCATACCATTATCAGCACTTTGGTTATAGTTAAATGTTTATAAATCTTTCCGCCTCGAATATTTTACCAGTTTGAAAAAATGCCACTACTTTAGCTTAAACTGCATTTAATTGTCATAAATTCGTAATTTACATCAATTTATTTTTTCTATCCTTGTGTATGTCTGACCGAAACAGGTTTCTCAGCCGAAACCGAAACCAAACTTTTGGCCCTTGATTGAGTTTTGGTCGAAACCGCAACCGAAACTCAAACTATAATTTTTAAATTTCGATTGTTTACTGAAATCTAGTGTATTTGTTACCATTTACCTGTTTATACATACCACCTAAAAGCACTGTGATAAGGTAAGGCATTAATTCTAAATAGTAGAAAATGTGTTCAGATAGGTAGATAAAAAAATACGTAAGTAGGTACTACGTACTAGAAATTTAACTGCCCAAATTAACTAGATAGGTACCTCAATAGACGGGAAATAACGGTGAGAAACAATTTCGGAAGAAAACTTTAATGGTACAGAGCCAAATTATTTATATTGCGTGTCGAAGGGAATGTAGGTCTCGAAAGGAGCCCCTTTACACTTTTTTTTAGTATACGACACAAATACTCTTCATAAAAACAAATGTCTAGATTTCACGTCACGGTAAGTGCCTGGTTATTTGAGCTACAGGCTCACGCCTAATTCAAACACCGTCCGATGCGCTGTAAGTTAATATTATATTGACTAGTGATTGTGAGAAGAAAGTAAAGGATTATTATATTAACTTACGCTTATCCGAACACTGGTAACATTTTAAAACTTAAATTGAATCCTAAATCTCTTAAAAATTGACTTCTAAAATATTTCCTTTTTAATCGCCTAAACGAACCTTTTAAATGAAATATTAAATTTCATCAGCCATTGAAATGTTCTTTGATATTGATAATGTTAAATGTTAATACTCACGTATTGTAATATTTAATTTTCTTCTTTTTAAAAGAAGAAAATTAAAGATTAGTTTATTTACGTTAAAGTTTAGTTTATTTACGTTTTGAACGCACTGCCACTTGGTCAAATGTTGCTAGATTCACAATGGTTTGGTTAGTTCCTTTTGACATTTGAGTTGGATGTAAAAGGACACGCGAACGAAGGCATAGTTTCGCCAAAGTTCGCCGTATTCTCAGGTACATAAGTTTTTAACTACATAACTGTTAACATTTACTATGATAAGTGTGAAATATAAATTATTCTTGTACTTACTTTTCATTGTAATTTAAAAAAGATGTAGTCATTATTGAGGTTATATCGATGTCTGTGCCACATATCGAAGGAGAATTTTCATATTCCTTTATAATTAATTTTATTTGTTTAATTTAAAACTTGAGTTTTTTGCATACAGTTATGTCACGAAACAAACAACATGAAGAGACCGATAAACTTACGCGTATTGCTATTGTGAACGCGGATCGCTGTAAGCCTAAAAGATGTAGGCAAGAATGTAAAAAGAGCTGCCCAGTGGTGCGTATGGGTAAGCTCTGCATTGAAGTCACTCCCAATGACAAGATAGCAACTATATCTGAAGAGCTGTGCATTGGATGTGGTATATGCGTCAAGGTAAATCAACTTTTTATTTTGTTTTTAATACTTGGATGACTTTAAATTACTACAATATTGAACAGTTATATAAATTTAGTTTACTCAAGTCAAAAGAACTTTTAACTACTGTCTACTGTACTGCTTTCTGCTGGTCTAGGCTGAAAAAGTACCATGATGTTTATTTAACCTTTTACTTTGGTTCTTTAATTTGGGAATTCAGATAGATATTACTACAGCAAAAAATCCTATATTCGTTAAGCTAAAATAAATTTTAGAATCTAATAAAGTTCTGTTTTACAGAAATGTCCATTTGATGCTATCACCATTATTAACATACCTTCCAATTTGGAAAAGCATACTACTCATCGCTACTCCAAGAATTCTTTTAAACTCCATCGGCTACCAATTCCTCGTCCTGGGGAAGTCTTAGGGCTTGTTGGGCAGAACGGTATTGGCAAGTCCACAGCATTGAAAATTCTTGCTGGAAAACAGAAGCCTAATTTGGGAAGATATGCTGTAAGTATATATTATAAATATTTTGTCAATAACATAACCCAAACAGTTATTATCACATGATATAGAACCTAAAAATAGGTCAAGGATCTTAGGGTTAACTATTCGATCATTTTCTCAGATGTTTTCCTCAAGAAACATGTAATCAACACATGTATTTAAATAGATAATAATTTTTAAAATAAATGGAACTAGAAAATTCTGTTATGGCATATTAAAGTGTAAATGTTTGCATGAATAATGCAAGTATTACTTTATGAAATTACTTATTATTGTAAACAAGCTGGCCTGACAGATGTTGTCTTATTAAAACTTTAAGACAAAAATTATAATTTAATTAAACAAAGCATTTCCAATTTTACATGAAATTTTCCCCATTTAATAATTAACTTTCATAAATATAACTATATTAATATACATATATTAATTAAAACAATTTAATCTAATTGGTCCAGCTTTTCTTAAATCATGTACTTAAGCAAATGGATATTTTTTTATTTATTAAAGAAAACAATGTTTTACAATAAGCATTCCAAAAACCCCTATGGGTATGTTCAGAACAATATACATAAATACACATGAATCTTGGTGTACATAAATGTGTTGAACATAAGTACGTAAAACACACACAACACACTATTGTCTACACCCATGACTGAATGCTGCATGTCAACGTAAACAAAAAATCGGTCTTGAAACAAGTATCTGCACCTATCTACAGGTTGTTCAACAAATAGGCTTTAATTTATATTAGATAATATGTTTTGTAATGCTGTGTACAAATGATGGGTCAAGGCTATTAATTAGCCGAGGAGTCATATACTGAGTAGTTTTATGTAATATGTCTTAATCCATAATCCACCAGATGCAAGATTATATTCAAGTTAGTCTATTGCCTACATTTATTTATTTTCTTCCCAGGATCCTCCAGACTGGCAAGAAATCCTGTCTCACTTCCGTGGGTCTGAGCTACAAAACTACTTCACGAAAATTCTTGAAGATGATCTAAAGGCATTGATCAAGCCTCAATATGTGGATCAGATACCCAAGGCAGTTAAAGGCACTGTGGGTCAGCTCCTTGACAAAAAGGATGAGTTAAAAAATCAAGTGGAAATTTGTAAAATGTTGGGTAAGTTCACTTCAGTTTTATAGAACTATCTAACCTTCAGAGCCAATTGCAAACTAAATACCTTCAGGGCAAATTCCTTGTTTGTGGGAGAAGTGTTCTATAAACTTTACAACAAATACAGAATAATGAATAGAAATTTGTATTAAACTACAGATAATGGTTTGTAAATGTCTGTCTATCAGTCAAGCTTAAATAAGAGATTTAAAGTAAGAGAATGTAAATACAGGGTATACTGTCAAAAACTAGAATCACCCCTTAAATCTATATTAATTTTTTTTTAAATTTTCAACTCCACAAACAAAACAACCCCACCAATAAAGATATTTTTAAGGTGTAAGCTAGATATTGATTACAATGTGATAAGAATCGTCTTTAGTATATAACTACATTTTTTCTGAATAGATAAGATACCTGTATGGTGCATAATCTTGCATTAATTAAAGAGTAAACAGATTTCAAACAACATGAACACTTATTTACTTAATAGATATATAATAATAACAGTTTCAGTACAACAAATACATGGTCAATATTATGACTACATGGATGATGATGTAAAAAAATGTTCTATTTAGATTTATCACATATCCGTGACCGAGAGATTTCCGCATTATCTGGAGGAGAGCTGCAGCGTTTCGCCTGTGCTATGGTGTGCATTCAAAATGGTGATATATTTATGTTTGATGAGCCCTCATCTTATTTGGATGTCAAACAACGTCTAAATGCAGCTCGGACAATAAGATCACTCATACATCCTGATAAGTAAGTTACCAGCACATGAGTGAGTTGTATGAGCTTGATAACTCAGTAGCAACTTTGTTTGTTTACATGTTCATCATTGACATATCTGAATTGAGAAAACAAAACACAGTTATTAAAACAAAATAAACAAAAAAAAATATTTGAATTATTCCAAATGCCATTAAGTTTTCCTAACTGCAATGCATTCCCGATGCCTGTCAATTGCTATAATAAAACCCGACTATGATGTGATGATTTCTCTTTTTTTAAACTCAATATAGTAGGTAACCATTTCTAATTCTCAGTAAAACTAATCTATTTTAAGTATTAATTTTCACAATTTTTTATTTCAAAATATTGTCATATATTTCATAATTTCAATGGTAATTTTGTAAATGGCAGATTACCACTATTGTCCTATCTAAGAGAATGTCTTCCTAGTTAAACCAATTAGATTGACAAACCTATTGTTTCAATAAATTAGGTGCATAAGAGAATAGCCATTAATAAAAAATATATTTTTGGTCCAGGTTTATCATCGTGGTAGAGCACGACTTGTCTGTGCTAGACTACTTATCTGACTTTATTTGCTGTTTATATGGTATACCTGGTGCTTATGGAGTTGTGACTATGCCCTTCTCAGTAAGGGAAGGTAAGATTTTTTTCATTTATATTTTAAAAAGAAATAAATTAAAGTAACAAAAACCATTCCTGTATTCCTATTATTATTTAATCATTTGTGCACAACAAACTTTACTGTGTTCCTCTTCCAGGTATTAATATATTCCTTGATGGGTTTGTCCCTACTGAAAATATGAGGTTCAGGACTGAGTCTTTAGTATTTAAAGTTGCTGAATCTGCTAATGAAGAAGAAGTAAGTGTTTTTAATAATTTCTATTTTACAATAAAGGTATAACTTCAGAGCAGTATACCTGTACATTGATTTATTTTTCTCACACAGATCAAGAGGATGAATCATTATGAGTATCCTGAAATGTCTAAAAAGATGGGTGATTTTAGCTTATATGTACAAGCTGGCGAATTCTCAGATTCTGAAATTTTGGTGTTGCTTGGAGAAAATGGTACCGGTAAAACCACATTCATTAGGATGTTGGCTGGCAACTTAGAACCGGATGATGGTAATAATTTTTCATTTTTAGAAACTCATTTAAAATATTGCATATATGCAATACAAATCAGCTGTTTAGTTTTTGAAATTTGTTAGTTAAGATACTCATCTTCTAGAGCAAATAATCATCTGGTCTCGTCTGGTCTGGCTCGAAGACATAAATGACATGAAATTCAATCTTTTCGTTTAGACTGACATTTGACAGACTCACACCCTTCCTCCATCATCCCCCGTTCCTCACGCCACTTAGTCAGAGTAATAAAAGTGTGACATACATATTTATTGACTGCACGGATGGTGTAGTAGTTTAAGTGGTGAACTCAACACACAACACACAACACTGTGTGATCCACAAATTGTTGTTCGACACAGTACATAAATAGGAATATGCGGAACTCCCACACCAGGAATATTTATGGAGGAGTATTTATTTATGTGTAATTATATATATTTATTTATTATGTGTAAAATCTTTTAAAAAAAACAAGATTTATGAATAGCACTTTGTGAAATTTATGAATTGCAGCAGAATTATATATTACCATTTTCAATCAAATCGTTTTTCTATTTGTTTTCTGTTTCAATCTCGTTTTTTCTATTTAACTTAGACGTGTATTCGAACAAAATTACCTGACGTATAAATATTTAGAATGGCAACACTAAGAGTAAATGTCAAATTTGTGAAAGTTGTCAAATTACTTGAGCTTCGGTTTTGTTGTAAAAAAATTCCTCTTTAACAGGATTGTGTTTAATATTAACAGTTACTGTGATATATATCTTGAAAAGATCGTATATATTGAATCTCTAATAAATTCACGTTATATAATAATGTAGTCATCCTTTGCAAAATGAGGTTATAGGTGTATGCAATAAGTGTATTTTAATGAATTTAGAAATATTTAATCTATTATAATGGCTAGAACTGAGTTATTTGATTTATTCTTTCATCCTGTATTTCAAAAATGTTTGAAACATGCGGAATCATGCACGACAGCGGAAGGTATAAAAAAGCTTTATTTGCCAATAGTAGTCAATATTTGTATAAGTCCATTGTCTACCCAGTTTATTACTTTTAAATAATAATCAAACAGGATGATTTTGCTCTATCATAACTACTATCACAATTTTTGTTGTTTTATCATAACTAGAAGTAACTGGTACAAACTAATTATTTAAGTGCAGTTTATCTCTGTTGTTCATTGTTCGTAACCTATTTATTTTATTTTTACTCTTGAAACATCAAGGGAATTTAAATGTATAATAAATATTCATATTTCTCTGTTATGATTAGGTTCCGGACAGCTGCCCCAGTTACACATTAGTTATAAGCCACAGAAGATATCTCCTAAATCACAAGGTCTCGTGCGGAGCTTGCTCCATGACAAGATCAGGGATGCGTATGTTCATCCGCAGGTAAATAACAGATTTATAATTAACCAAAGACACTTAGGACTTAAACTTTTCTCATAATTCCAGCATAAATGATTTATAATTAACCTACTTGAAATTACTTTATGACACGACTACTATTCAACTATTTAGAAGTTAAATGGTCATTGATCTAAATATTAACCTTTAAATGTATTTACAACAGATGGTATTTGTTTATTACTAAAACTTATTGTACTTATTTTATATCAATAATTAATTAAATACTTAAATATTTCTCTAATATAAGATATAATTATTGCTGATTTTCTGTATTTATCACTTTCCTGTAAACAATAATAAAGTGAAAATACCTGAACTAATATGAGAAAAAGTACAGATTTATGGGTGAAAAGTGTTACAAATTAACATGACTTTAGGCATATACTTTTGAAACAGAGATTTCAATTAAGTTTGTTATCATAAGACTTTATTTTGTTGGATATTTTATCACTACATATTAAGAAAATGATAAAATGTAATATTGGTTAAAGTATTGTGATGAGTTTAAATAATATCTCATCATCATCATCATCATCATCATCAGCCTATCGCAGTCCACTGCTGGACATAGGCCTCTCCCATTGCACGCCACTTAGATCGATTTTGGGCTTCTCGCATCCAGCTCCTGCCAGCCATCTTGCGCAAATCGTCACTCCACCTGGCCTGTGGGCGTCCTACACTACGTTTGCCGAGACGCGGTCTCCACTCAAGAACTCGTTTTCCCCAACGGTTATCGGTTCTGCGGCTAATATGGCCAGCCCACTGCCACTTCAGCTTGCTGATCCGGTACGCTATGTCGGTGACCTTAGTTCTCTGCCGGATCACCTCATTTCTGATGCGATCCCTTAGAGAAACGCCGAGCATAGCCCTTTCCATAGCACGTTGAGCGACTTTGAACTTGTGGACCAGCCGTACCGTAAGTGTCCACGTTTCAGCTCCGTATGTCATGACGGGTAGGACGCACTCATTAAAGACTTTCGTCTTAAGGCACTGTGGGATCGACGATGAGAAGACTCGACGTAGCTTCCCAAACGCTGCCCAACCCAACCGAATTCTTCTGTTCACCTCGTCCTCGAAGTTGTTTCTACCTAACTGCAATGTCTGCCCGAGGTACACATAATTTTGAACAACTTCGAGAACGGCACCGTGTACCGCAATCGGTTCCGGTAGTACATGTTTCGTTGAACATGACCTTGGTTTTATCCAAGTTCATCCGTAGGCCGATGCGTACAGAAGTGTCAGCTAAGTCATTCAGCATTTGCTGTAGGTCCTGCAACGTCCTCTGCCATGATGACGATGTCATCTGCAAATCGCAAGTGAGAGATGTATTCGCCATTGATATTGATGCCACGCCCTTTCCAGTGCAGCGTCTTGAACATGTCCTCCATTGCATTTGTGAACAGTTTCGGGGAAATAACGTCCCCTTGTCTCACTCCTCGATGCAATGGTACGGGCCTTGTTTGCTGATTCTGTACTTGGACGGACATGGTGGCGGCTTCGTAGAGACATCTCATCACTTGGATGTATCGCCAATCTACTTGGCAACGCTGCAGGGACTCCAGAACAGACCAGATCTCGATCGAGTCAAAGGCTTTCTCATAGTCCACGAATGCTAGACACAGGGGCTGATTATATTCTTCGGTCTTCTGTATAATCTGCCGCACTGTGTGGATGTGGTCTATGGTGCCATATCCGCTCCGAAACCCAGCTTGCTCCGGTGGTTGGAATTCGTCGAGTCTTTGCGCAAGACGGTTCGTGATGACTCTCGAAAACAGCTTGTAGACGTGGCTTAGAAGGGATATGGGTCGATAGTTCTTCAACCTGGTCTTGTCACCCTTTTTGAAGAACAAGACGACCACACTCCTACTCCACGCTTCTGGAGTTCTCCCTTCAAACAGGACAGCGTTGAAGAGCTTTTGGAGCTCCCTTAGTACGGGTTTACCCCCGGCCTTCAGCAGCTCTGTTGTAACGCCATCCTCTCCAGGGGCTTTTCCATTTTTCAGCTGTCCAAGAGCCATCTCGATTTCGTCAATGCTAACTTCTGGCAGGTCTTCGGTGTAGTGACGTGTTAATGTGGCTCTAGAGTCCTCATTTTCGGGATCAGGTCGAGATGCATGCGAAGCGTATAACCGGCCATAGAAGCTTTCCACTTCCAAAAGGACTGCCGGCTTCGAAGCAACGACTTCTCCACTTTCTGTAGTCAACTTTGTCAGGTGGCTTCTTCCAAGAGATTGTACGAACACTTTTGACCCCCGATTTTGCTCGATCGCTCTTTCAATTGAAAGAGTATTGGAGCACCGGAGGTCGTGTCGTACGAGTTTACTGATCTCTCGGTTTAGAGTCCGCTTTGCCGACAAAGTGACAGGTGGGTTTTCACGTCGTTTCTTCATCAGCCCTAGGGTCCTTTCTGAAAGCTTCGACTTCCTGCCCTTACGCTGCATTTCACAAAATCTCATACCTTCTTCCCTGAGGATCTGAACCACATTTTTGAGGTTCTGGTTTACGTCGATTGTGGTTTCCACGGCAGCGAATCGGTTTGCCAGTTTTGACTGGAACGTTTCAGATCCTGTCATGGCCTGGAGCCGAGTTGGTCGGAGCCTGGATTTCATCAAACAGACACGTTCCGCCTTAAAGTTGATATTCAGAGAGCCCCGGACAAGTCGGTGATCACTACCGGTATTAAACCTATTGATCACTGAGACGTCTCTGAATATGTGCTTTCTATCCGTCATGATGAAATCGATCTCATTTCTAGTCATAGCGTCGGGGCTTTGCCACGTCCACTTCCTTTGGGGCTGTTTCTTGAAGAAAGAATTCATCAAAAACAGCCCCTCCCGTTCGAGGAAGTTGACCAGCATTTGCCCCCTATGATTCCTGCTTCCAAATCCATGGGATCCTACTACCGATTCGCTGCAATTCTGTACTCCCACTTTAGCGTTGAAGTCACCCATAACAACGTTGTAGTGGGTCTTAGTTGTGAAGTGGAGGGCCCTCGATATGTCATCGTACATATCCTCCACCTCGTCGTCCGAATGTGCCGAGGTCGGTGCGTACACTTGCACAACCTTGAGGCTATACCTCTCGGTGAGCTTGATAATGAGGTACGCTACCCTGTTCGACACACTGGAAATTTCCACAACGTTGTCAGATAGGGACTTATTCACCAGAAACCCAACCCCACCTTGGGATTGTTGGTCTCCCTCGCGGAAGTACATTAGGTGGCCTGACTCGAGGGTTATGGTGTCCTCCCCCTCTCTTCGGACTTCACATAGCCCTAGGATATGCCACCTAATCTTCCCAAGTTCCACCTCAAGTTGCGCCAGATGCGAGTCTAGCCGTAGCGTGCGTCCGTTGTACGTAGCCAGGGTCAGTCGGTTGTGGTGGCCTCCCGTAGCCCGGAGATTCTTCGCACCCCCTGCCCCGCCTTTACCGTGGTCGCCACCATGACCAGGAATAGCGGGGCCGCCGGGAACTGGGGGCCGTGGCCTTTGTTGCGTCTGCATGAGAGGGGTTTGCCCATAATCGCCACGCTGGGCAGGCGGGTTGGCGATCGCAGGGCGTAGCTTGTCGCACCGGTAACGCTGCTGCCCGTCACCGGCCTGTTATATTTAGCTACGCCTATTGGGATGGATATACCGCCATCGGTCGTCGCCAGAGCCTCGTTCGTCGTTCAGCAGGATGCACCGCGGGCAGGTGAGGTTGGCTTGGGGCGAAAGATGGTGGTTCGCCCCTCACACCCCAAATAATATCTATGGGCATATAAATATGGGACACTGCAATAGCAATCACAATAACACTCAACACCAGCTGTGTTACATGCATGCATTACCTCACCAACCTATGCATAGTATTACCCTATTCACTACCATAAGTAAACTATGCTAAGCCACAATCTTTTGTAAGGAAGAATTTGGAATGACAGAACTGTTTTATTCCAGCTGAAACTAAACATTTCTCTAGCTTTTATTACATTATTAGTAAGACTGCATGGATGGCGAAGTGGTTTAAGCAGTCACAAAGCGGAGAGCTTTCTACTGAGCTAAGTGTTGTGGGTTCAATCCCCACATGTTACATCCATAAATTGTTGTTCTGAGTCTGGGTGTTCTTTGTGTATGTTTATGTTAACGCAGGATATATTCGTAGTGTGGGCGTTGTCTTTTTCAAGAAACAAAATCTTCATTTATTGCTTTTTTTTGGTAATCTACAATTTATTTAATATTCTATCATTACAGTTTATCACAGATGTGATGAAGCCAATGAAAATAGAGGAGATAATGGACCAGGAAGTGCAAAACTTGTCTGGTGGTGAATTGCAAAGAGTGGCTCTGGTGCTCTGTCTTGGCAAGCCAGCTGATGTCTACCTTATTGATGAACCTTCTGCTTACCTAGATTCTGAGCAGCGTCTTGTAGCTGCTAAGGTTATCAAGAGGTAATATTTACAAAATTTGTTGTAATCTCTTTGCACAATAATGTTATAGAAAACTGTTATTGACTATAATTGACAATAAAACGCCATCTGCAGATCCACCTGCATCTCTTTTATTCTATATGTCGTAAAACACACTAACACAACACAAACATATAGCCATCATTTCCAACAACCTTAGACATCTATTGAAATGTAATATAACACTTTGAGTAATTATCGTGTATTATGCTTTTACCAGATTCCTACTTGGGTAGAACAAAATTGAATCAATTCAATACTTATTTTGTTTGTGTTTGGTACACAGGTTCATCCTACATGCAAAACGCACAGGTTTTGTAGTAGAGCACGACTTTATTATGGCCACATATCTTGCGGACCGCGTCATTGTATTCGAAGGCACGCCGTCGTCGAATGCTACTGCGCATGCACCACAGTCCCTACTCAACGGCATGAACCGGTTCCTCGAATTGTTGGGCATTACCTTCCGAAGAGATCCCAATAACTTCCGACCAAGGATAAACAAATATTCTTCTGTTAAGGTAACCTTTTATTTTGTGTTTTAAACAAGTTATCTAAGACTTAGTTGATCTCCTAATACTGGATGCTGTTTGGTTAAAGATTTTATCACATAAGACACACATTGTATTAACCTCAAAGTAAAATTACTACTCAAAATGAAGATCTTTTAAAGATAGACAAATTATAAAGACCATGTCCCAAGACCAGAACTTTTATTCTATCAAAAATGGATATCAGGCAAAAGAATATATGTAAATAATACTAAGATATGCATATAACGGTTAATTTTTGTGATGTTGAAATCACAGCGACATTCTATAACATTAAATTTGCCAATATATTGGCATTGATTTTATTAAAGTTTATTTAATCATTTGTGCTAAGTGATAGAGAATGAACTTTTGGTTCAGGTTTTTCTTTCTGATTCAAAAGAACTCAGTCATTTATCATTCATCCGTGCAACCGAATACATCATGCTTTTACATGATCTCAAAGTGAGCAAAACTTCATATTATATTAGATTTTACTACTCTACGCTCTTCTTAATTTTTTTCTAATAAAAAGTAACCTATGTGCTATCACAATACTATAATCTGTCTCTGTGCCAAACGTTGTCCGGATCCGCTAAGCCGTTATAGCGTGTTTTGAGTAGCAAACATCTATACATACATTCTTGACACGCCTGTTGGTCTAGTGGTTAGTGACCCTGACTGCTGAGTTGGAGGTTGTGGGCTTGATTACCACCCAGGACAAATATTGTGTGATGAGCATGGTCATTTGTTCTGTGTCTGGGTGTAATTTATCTGTAATATGTATGTATTTAAAAATACATAAATATGTTTATCAGCAGTCTGGTTACCATTGCACAAGCTCTGCCTAGTTTGAATAACTTTGCATTTGTAATATTAAAATTGTATTTTGTTACAGGACATTGAACAGAAAAAGGCAGGCCAATATTTCTTCTTGGAAGACTAGCGTGGAACAACAATTTGTATTTATGTATATGGTATTTGTCACAAGAGTTGTGGCTTGCTACGTTATGTATTTCCAATTAAATGTATTACTGTAATAAATCATGTTTTATATAATCACGCTTTCCATTATGTTATTTTATGACAATTGTTTTTAGAAAACTGTTTTGCTACAATATTGAAATATTTTCCATTTTCGCTTTTTTTTCACACTAGGATCTTTCAAACTACGCAACGGATTTAAATGCGGTTTTCACCAATAGGGATAGTGATTCAAGAGGCGTTTTTAAATGTAAAATACATGCATATTATAGGAGAGGAAGTCCGAGAATTGCAAAGATTTGTAATGTGAAGTCGTAAAAAACATGTTTTTGTGCGCTTACATTGCATATGCTGGCTAAACCAAACGAGATAGATCACAATAATGTGCTACGGAATTGTATATCTTAAAAAGGTCCACAATGGTATGTCTATCTCCTAAGGATAACCATCAGTAAACATTTTTATCTTATACATCTTACAAAAAATAAAGGGTAATTTACGATATGATCTGGAGTCGATGCTGGATTCAGAAAAAACTAGGGTACCTAGCGAAGATCTGTTTAAATTAGTCGAAATTTGTCGCCAAATATCAGAATTTGTCGGGTTTTAATTTAGTAGTTTAATATTAAAGGTAGATATAGCCTAAGAGCTAGATCGCAGAATTTACAAAACAGTATAGTATTATGTATGATACCTATTTCTAATTTAGGATATAGGATTTTTGACTGCCTCGGTGGTGCAGTGGTAGCGTATGCATGAAAATGTTTGTATGATGTGCAAATATTTGTTTCGGAGTTTAGGTGTTTTTTATTTATAATATTATGTACTAGCTAATGTATGTAGCTAGCTAGCTAATATTATGTACTAGCTATTGCCCGAAGCTCCGTCCGCGTGTATGTCGGCTATCGCGGTAAAAAGCCTGTGTCCTTTCTCAAGATTCAAACTATCTCCATTCTCCATAGCAAATTTCATCTTAATCAGTTCAGTTATTATTGATTCCTCGTACAAACTTCTGTCCCCTTTTCACCCCCTTAAATGATGATTTCTTGGATCAAAACTATCCTTTGTCCTTTCCCGAGACTCAAACTAGCTCTGTACCAAATTTCATCAAAATCGGTATAGCGGTTTAAGCGTGAAGAAGTAGACAGACACTTTCGCATTTATAATATTATATAGTATGGATGTATTTACAAAAAAAAAATGAATTCTATCAGTCAATCTGGCTTACATAGTACAAGCACTGCTTAGTTTGAAACTAGTAGCGTTGTATGTTTGACAAGTCATGACTGACCGAAAATATTCCATTTTTCCATCCGCCATCCGATTTCTTTGTGTTATCCGTCAAACTCCATTCCGGACAAGATTATTGACGAACCGAAGTAGTCATACCATATGTGTAATAAATACCAGTGAGTCAACTCTTTTCATAGACCGCTAAATACCTACAAGACTGTCTCGACTAAAAATGTGCAAAGGTTGTCACAAAAACAATCACGATCTTAGATAGCTAAGTAAAAATAGTATTTGCTTATTTAACTATATTTTATAGCATATCTCGCAGTATCTAAGTATATAGCAGTATCCCGGGTTCCTATTCCATTTAAAATATTGGATAAAAGTTTAAAAAAAAAAAATTGGAGAATATTTTATTTCGTTTCGTGATTTTAGTATTTGATTGATAATATTGGGAAAAGATTTTAGTAAAATTGAATTCTTACAACCTCGTGATTGCTGCAGCATTCCATCACGATATTAATATAATGTAATTAAAATAGTTTTATGTAATATATAAAATAATTAAAAAAATATAAGGTCGTTGTCGACGGTGCATGCTCCGACTTGAAATTCGTAACTGCTGGTGTCCCACAAGTCTGTAGCATACAGACTTGTGGGACAATGTATGCTATCACTTACACTGTTTCTTCTCCATATCAATGACATGTTGTAAACTAATAGCATTCATTGCTATGCAGATGATAGCACGGGAGATGCCCTCTACATTAGCCGCCCCAAATCTTGTTTGGGAAAACGTCATCGAGAGTGAAATTGAAAGTTCCTTAGCGGAGGTTTCAGATTGGGGCCGACTAAATCTAGTCCAGTTCAACCCAAAAAAAATACAGGTCTGTGCGTGCCTCAGCCAGCATCGGAATCCAATTCCAGAAAAGAGCGTACTCCTTCCTAAAAGGCCGGCAACGCGTTTGTACTCCTAAGTTGTAGACGTTAATGGGCGTCGGTGCTCACTTTCCATCAGGTGAACCGTCTGCTCGTCTGCCGCCTCTAACATAAAAAAATATATATATAACCCAGTTCAGTCCGAGATTTCTAGATCCGTATTTTGACAGATTCGGAACGGACGTAGTGCGTAACCGCACTTACTGTTTCCTGCAATCACATATCAGTGCCATTATCGTACACTTCAGTCTGTAGTTTGACCCTAGTAAAATTCATGACAAATATCGTTTTTTTTTCTCTCAAAAATACTCAGAAGACCTATCTTCTATTGACCAACAACACAGCTTATAAATTTCAATTCTGACTCTTGTTTCCAGTAACTGTATGGCCTCATTGGGTATTACAACCACAGCCGCATCATTTAAAGGGGTTCGCGTGAAAACATCGTATTCGAATAAATGTTTACACATTAAATTGTTACTTTTGCAAAATGCCACCTTTGGTAATAGAATAGAATAAACTTTGTACACCAGTTCAGTGCATCATACATTTTTTACATCAAATTAATGACAAATGGCGGCCTTATCGCTAAAAAGCAATTTCTTAAAGGCAACCTTTGCATGGACTCATAGACTGTAGATTGACGAATTCATGGGTAGTTTTGGTGTGAAAAAATGTAAAAACTACATAAAATGCTTTTACAGCAAACAGCGTTAGATTTCGAACGAAGCTTGGCATGATTTGAGTTCGTAATATAAATAAGGACACTGGATACCTTTATTACGAAAATAAACTTGTGAGCTTTCGCCTCATTTTTCAAGAAAGACCCTAGTGATAAGATTTTGTTTGAGGCGCAGAATCTTCGCTCTTTGCCCTAAATCCTCGCTCAGCTGCAACTGGGGGTAGTAGGCACAAGGGGGTGTGTGGCTGCAGCAAGTTCTAGGGTGGACGAGTAGGACATGAATAAGGCGGAACCACACAAACGATCTCACTACACGAGCGATCCCCTCCAAGACCATGTCAAGACTTCTCATTTAGGTATGGAGGTACCTACCTAAATTGTTTTGTTGATCAACTCGTCTTCGTAATTAAATGGAAGATTTCTACTTAAATAATAATTATTATCGACACACTTTTTCACTTTAATTGGCATACACAACAAAAAATACAACTAGGTACGCTAAACCGATTCCCGTTACTCCTTACTGAATCCGATATAAAATTTTGTACAAAGAAAAACACTACATCTAAATAATAGGGGAGCCCTAGAAGGGATTTCGGGATTTACTCGAGCGTGTCAGATTAACACAGGAGAAATACCTTACACGCAGTTGAGTACCTCCACCATACATGAGCAATACATATAGGGGGGGCCCATCTGGGGCAGCCCATCAGTTTAGTTAAAAACAAATACTCGAGCGTGTAAGGTTAAGGTTAGTTGAGTCAATTACATGCACATTAGTGTGTATTTAAAAACATCAGATGATTTGAGCATAACATAAAGCAGTGGGCGGGTCACAGTTCCAAAACAAAAAACACATGACCTTGACATTTCCTTTTTATTTTTAAACAAATAATGGAAGCAATCTACTTTAAATGTCTACATAATTTTTCGTACCTTTATTTGTCACATTTTATAAAAAATAAAAAAGCCAAATAATTCAAACCGTCAGATATAAATACTCAGCAAAATTATCGTCAGATTTTTGGCTAGTATGATAGGAAAATCAAGCTGAATCGTCTGTATAAAATCTAGCACGGTCGGGGTTACATAATTCGCTACCAGCTTGTGTCACTTTAAAAATCGTCAGACCTTTGAATGGGAGCATTTTTGGTGTCCAAATAACATATCCCCAAAATATCTGATGCGCCCGAATATTTTTATTCCATTTCCTCCGAGTCGAGCCGAGAGTCCTAAAGATAAGGATGAGGCGGTGGTTCGAGTGATTGTCCATCTGTCCGTCCATCTGTCTCTTCCGTTTAAGTCCACTATCGATTACAACATCCAGGCAATCAACACTGTCAACTCGTGTACGTGTTGTACAGGTGTTTAATAATCAGGTAAAGACGTTACAAGGTTTTCTTAAATATTTGTAGGTACTTATATCTTATATGTTCAATAAAACAACTGTAGTTAATTCTGTTTGGACTAGTCACGTTTAGGTTAACCAGATCCCATTTTTTGTCACATCGTGAATTTGCAAACCTGGATGATTTTGCAAAATGTTTGAAATAGTGTACGTACGAGTATATAGCGCTTGAAACAATTGTTAACATGATGAAACCACCACATGCTGTAGTCATTCACATCTATTCAGGTATGAAACAATAACCCTGGCGTACTGTAATATCTATATGACTTAAGTTCTACCTCACAAGCAAAAAAGAAAATGAAGGAAGTTTAAATTTATATTTGAAAGCTAAATTACTTTTTGGATAATTGAATTTATGTGATGCTTTGAAACGAAAACGTTTTGTTTTGATTGTACGGATGATGGTTTAAGCGGTCACCTCATGTGCTTTCTACTGTGCTGAGTGTTATGGGTTCGATCCGCTGATGGGACAACAATTGTTGGTAATCCACAAATTGTTGTTCTGGGTCTGAGTTTAATTCCACACCTACCTTTGTACGAAAAAGGTCTGTCACATGTAAATATAAATTTTTGTCATAATTAATGTAGTAGGTATTGTTTAAACTTAATAACAGTATACTACTTTTAGTCACAGGTACGATAACATGTATGTTTGTAAAGTACTCCGCGACACAGGATATATTCCTAGTGCACAGATTGTCTTTAAAAAAAATTAAACAAATTTGTGAAATATTGAGTAGATTTGACAAACAAAAATTTGAAATCACAAATCGACGTTAGTTTAACCTTGTCGCATAAAATGCTACAAAATCTGGGGTTGTGATACACGTGTGTGTTTATTGTGGGTGGTGTTTTTTCTTCTTATTTTGAAGATCCTGTGTGGTGACGGATTTAGAATACGGAGTGTCACCACCCCTATTCATCCCCGGGGTGCCGGCAGAGCCCACTAACGAAGCAAACTATGCAGGACAACAGCACTGCAAAGAAAAAGAAAACTTGAAACAAACCCTATACCTTCCAACCCGTCTGGCCAGTGTAGTATAGTAGGCCTAAACCTTCTTCCTAAGGAGAGGCCTATGTCCAGCAGTAGACTGTTAAAGGCTGTTGATGATGATGAAAGACTCAGAAATTACTGGATATTAGATATAGTAGGTACTGACAGACAGAGCACGTATACAGTTTTAGAATAGGTTTTATTTACTGAATCGATTCAGTAAATATTTCATAGACAGTTTTGGTAGGTATATCGATTATTTAAATTTGCTATTGAATGTTATTGAAAAAATTAAAGAGCAATACATCAGTTTGCCATCGCTTATTAAAACTTAGCAAAAGTGTTATTAGTTTCTTCCTTCCTAATAATCATTCCTTTCAAGGTTTACTTAGACTATCTCTAACAGATTTTGAATAGAAAAAATCATTTCTTAAAACCATACTCAAGTTTTTAAAAGTTAAAAGAAATTCTCTATCTATCTCAAAAATCTTAACTTAAGTTTAAAAAACAATACTACAAAACAATAATGTTATAATTTTTTTTTAATTTTTTCCTCGCTGTAAAACTTGTTTATTTATATTTTAAGTTTGTTCATTCTGTATATACTCACATATAAGTAGGTATGACAGTACCTACTACATAACGAAATCAAAAACTTACTAATAACTCCTGTACCTAGGTACCAAGACAGTGTATGGATTGACACATTAACATGTAAAAAGTTCTAGGTCTAGGTTAGTGATCAGACTGCGAAGCTAAAGGTCGTGGAATCGATACCCAACCAGGACATGAACAGTACGATCATTAGTTCTGTGTTTGGGTGTTATTTTACTATAACATGTAGATAATATAAATAAATAATAGTTTAAAATCAAACGGGCATGTGTGAGATGTGTCAAGTTATTATTACTAATATTATTAGGTTAAGTTTAAAGAAGATATCAACTCCAATTTGAGCTTTCTTTTCTACAGAAGACCGAGAGAAGACAGTACGAGTGTTATTAGCCTGATATTGCTTTAGCTGTCCGCAAAATTGTTATGAATAGGATTGTCATGCATAAATGACATGTCTCATATTATTATTCCTAGTGTCTATTTGCAGACATCAGTACTTTCCATAATGATAAGATACTAAATATATGTTAGATAGATAGATAGATATATGTTGATATCTAAATATATGTTGTTTGTTATGTAGTAAATATATTGTCAGTTATGAGCTGATTATTGAATGAGTAGGTATATTGCTATAGTAGGTATTCTCGTAGTGTGATAATACGGATGTATGAATCACTTCGCTTCCTACTAAGATGCTACTTATTACACATGATCTCACAGTAACCTTACTAATCACTTCACGCCAATATTGATAGTAATTAGATAGCATAGTACCTACGGCGTTTTTTCTCAAGGCCCTGACTGAATCCATAGTGTTTTTAAAGGTAATGGTTACTCTGTTACGGTTATACAATCGTTAATACAATCCTCATTTATAGGAAGATGGATTATAATATACAATATATCATATTTATTGTTTTCTTATATTGCTAGGGACAATAAACATCACGGTCACATTTAACACGGTCTTCAATGGTTTCCTAATTAAAACTTTCATGGATTTCATAGTAGGGGAGTTTCTCAATGCGAGAGTCAATGTACAGAGCAGTTATGCTCGCGAAGGAGACGGCGGAGCGGGACCGGGAGAGGTTTAGAACTCCCGGCCCGCCAAGCCCGGGAACGGGCTAGGTACCGCAGGCGACTCAGGAGCCGGAGGTCGCAGAACGACCTCCGTCCTCCATAAGCGCAGGCCGGGGTGGCGGCGAGCGCGTTGCGAAGCGCGCTCGCTTCCAGGGAGCAGAGGGAACATGGGGTTCCCACACGGGGGGGGGGGGGGTCTTCTACTAGTCTGTAGATGGCCCGAGGTATGTCGGGGCTCCAGGGACTTTCTTTCTAGGGTATACCTGGTTCCCCGGCTATTAGTACCCGAGACGGCGTGCGGTTTTAGTCGGTTCGAGTCCGACATGCCACTATAGGTGGTATCCGAAGGGATTTCCGCACGAAAAAAAAAAGGGTCAATGTACAAGTATCATGATATAAAGCATTAAAGTATGTTTTGGAAAGATGTTTATTTAAGCCAAGAAACTCTTTATTATTTTAATGGTACGACTATCGTTGAAAAGTACTAAAAGACCAATCAATATTATTTTAAAGACAAAAAATTGAGATAAACGTAACAAGTTCTTATTCATATAAACCTTACATATAAAATATTTGCCGCCGTATCTGAGTTCTATTTTCAAGCTTCACAGCGATAAAACTGTAAACTACGAGCTGCAAACCCAATATCAAAAGGTCAGTGTTTGATGTACATTGCATGTGTCATACGAGGTGACTGTTCAATAATCACTAGATGATGAAGTCACTCTCACTAAAATAAAAGTTAATGTATGAGACTGATTAAGTAGAGCTGTGACGTCGCGTCATCAGCTTGTGTGTAGCTGCGTCATACACTTTAATATCCCAGCAATCGCTTTAGTAGTTAGGTATCTATTTATTTTTAGAACGATGATGAAAATGCTAATAAACCATTAATCATCAAGCCCTACTGAGACTGTACATAATTTTTTTATATCTACTTAACTTGGCATCCAACAAGGGATTCTCAGTTTTTTTTAATATTAAAAGAAATAAAGGGAAGAGACTCAGAGCCATTCTAAACATAGCAAGCAAACTCGATTATGTGAGAGCCATTGGACAACGTCCTTTAGGGGTTGCAGTGGAGGTCCTCTTTTACCTTCGAATCTGTCCTCGGTATTTATGGTTATAAATAATCCTAGTTACTATTCTGCTATACTAGAAATTGTAGAACTGGTACTTAAATAGATAATAATGACCTAAATTAGTGTATTTACGTAGGTAAGCTTCGCAACTATGAAATAAAGTCATTTGGAATTGATATCAAGTCTTACAAAAGGTAGGTATTATCGCAGGATAATACCTACTAAGTTTATAGTTACGTATCGTTAGTTCGTAATTATGTGTTATTGAAATTTAAAAACTTCCCCCTAACAATTGTATTTCTCTCGAAAATTGACTTTAATTGGGAAAAAAGCACGTAGGTTTATATTATATATTTAAAATTACAATATCTACATTAGGTTTACCGGGTTTAAGTATACTTAGAGACGAGAAGCGCGTGAGGTGTTTTTGCGAAGAGTTTTTGCGTCAAAAACCTTGCATAGCATACGACACAATTTAACGCGTAATTTGACTAGTTTTTTCAAATCATTTGGGTTGCTGGGATTGCCCGACTTGATCCTGGGCTTGATTAAATCAAATCTGTCCGTCTGTCACGGACCGATTTGATATAATCAAGGTTAAACAAATTTTGACATTATTATTTGCTAAGCGGGTTGTTTTTTGAACCGTGGTGTGTTATTAATGCGTTTTATCATTCCTTTGGTAATATTATGAGATGATTCATACTTTAAGATAATAGCGATAGCATTTTTGCTATATTAAGAATTAATATCTACACAAAACACAAACATCTACAAATTAGCGATTTAGTTGTGTATGCGAAATCTGCATACCAATTCTAATATGTAGGAAATCGCAAATCTTAGTAGGAAAAATTGTACCGCATGAAAACCCTTTACATTGAACTGGTGTACTTGTTTTTCAGCAAAAGAGATTGACTCAGACACGCTTCAGCGAAATGCCCAATCATTCGGAAACTCTACCTTAAACGCGGTCAAGTTAGAATGCACGTACTTAACATACTTCCTTGTTTGCACGATAGTTCTAGAGAAATACCAATCTAACGTAAATTATATTAAGTTACTAGGTATATATTTAATCTTACGTATGGAATTTATCCCTATTGATATATATAACATCAATTTTTGTTTCTGGCATGGTTGGTTTGGATACTCTAGAGCACAGATGGAAGTATGCTTATAATCTGAGACACTCACTAATGTAACGTCAGGAATTCGTCATTAACTTTCACTTTTTAGCAAACACTGAGCTGTTTTTTAAAACAACTTACAATTATTTAACAAAACCTCTGTCCTCTACACATTTGAATTGATTTTAATTATAATTATTATGGTTCTTGTGAAATCTATAATACTATATTGTAATTAATGCAGGTTTTTCTAGAGAATAAGGCATAGTCACAAACTAAGTCACAACAATGCTTAACAGTAGACAAATCCTTTCCAAAAATACTAAGAGCCTCACTCTTACTTTTAGTACCTTCATTTTTTTTAAACTTAACACCTTTTTTTATTAATATAGATCAGAATTAGCTTTATAATTTATTAACAATAATAACTGGTACCATGTTCACTTAATTGTTTCTCTAAAAAAGTAATTACAATGTGCTATGTTTTGCTCTTTTACGAGATAGAACTAAGGACTATTCAGTCAGGTCCAGTATACATACCTACTTAATTCGTCAGTAAATGTCGGGACGCAGGCCTTTAGGCCGAACTCCCCTTGCGGCAGGCGGCGGGCATGTCGATGAACGATGACATCATCGCCAGCGTATAGCTTACGTGGCGTGGAGTCTGACAGGGGTCGCCAAATGAAGCTTGTTTTAGATCAAAAATATTTCAAGTTAGTTATAAATTATTGTAAGCCATAGGATGACAATAATTAGGAAATACTTCCCTGGGATGCTTAGCTAGATGTTGTTTTGTAGCTCAAAATGCATAATTATTTAAATACTATTACTATACTAACAATTAACTAATATTTACTACATAGGTATTTAGATATCTTTGTTGGACAGGTATTTGAGACAGAAATTGGTAATGATTACATAATCAGTATGATCAGTATCCTATCAAATATTTTGCGAATTTAAATTTCTATGAATAAGCTGATCCTTGATATCTTATAGCATTCAAAAAATTCCAGGAAATTGCTTATTGTCTATAAAATTGGTATAAATTCGACGTTTTGTCACGTCCTATTGTACACATTTTTTTTAAGGTAAAGGAACAAATAAATACGAAATGACTAACAGAACAGTAAAACAATCAGTCGTAAACTAAATGGTTAAAAAAAAAAACGTTGCGTAGAATGCATTAAACTGTTTATATCCCCTGACTAGCCAAAGCGAGAGAGCTGACATAACCAACATCGACCTCACTCACCGCGCGTTTCGTTCGACGAGTTGTGTGTATTTCGGAACTCGGTCTTTAGTGGTTTGGGTGTGTCGTCTATAAAAAAGTACGTACTACGTATTTTTATTATTTTATATCAGTGTTTAACTGCAGTTAAATATTTAACTTCAAGATAAAAGTTTAGTGCTTATAATATTGTATTTACAACGGTACCTAATTAAAGTATGGGTCGATAATTGCCGGTACGTGGTGCCGCGTCCGTGTTTGTTAGTCTCTAAAAGCCGGTCTTCGTTAGTAGCAATCGTTTTATTTTTAGCGCATACGTGAAGGCAGTTGTTTGTTATATTATTATTTTCTATTCTTCAGGTATCTATCATCATGAGTGGACAACAGTATTATCCCTACAAGGTAAGTTATCCACCTACAATATTACTTAACCACCAAGTAGGTAGTTAGTATTGCTATGTCTAGTTTGAGTAGATTTCTCACGGGATGATGTCATGTTAGATGAAGGTTATTTAACAGACACAATGTTAACGAATGAGCGATATGCCACTCATAAATACATTTTATCTAACTTATACACTATACTATAATTTAATCATATTTCAGCCTTAAATTTTACTGCAGTATCACATATGCGTCATTTTCTTTTAACTTCCTATAGAAATTTTTGGGGAAGTCGCACACGCCCAGTTTCCCCATCGCTAAACGAAATCATGTCAAGGTCGATACAATGGGAATACCATACTATCCATTTATATACCTACTCATCTAATCTAGAGGGGAAAATTTCGAGCCATTTTGTGGATATCGGGAAAGGTATTGCTAAATAACATGACGCACAATAATACATCACCTGACGCGACAACACAAACAGTGCATATACTCATACAACAAAACATTTTAAATGCGCTTTAGATATGAAATATAAAGTTAGGTAATAAATTATAGAACCTAATTAAATAGACATTCTTGTTGCGCTTTGTTTTGAAGATTTATAAAATAAAAGATAGAGGGAATTGGACATTTTATAGTTGTAATACCTATGTGTAAATTTTGAACAGTGCACCCCCACCGTGTACCCAGCAGAGCCTTTTGACCCTGCTGCGGACGCGGAAACTCTGCGGAAGGCCATGAAGGGCTTCGGCACCGACGAAAAGGCAATCATAGATGTCCTTTGCAGACGCGGTATTGTACAGCGACTTGAGATCGCCGAGACCTTCAAGACTAATTATGGCAAGGTAAGCTTAAGTCGATCTTTATCCTGGGAAGTAGTAACAATCGTAATTTGGTGGTTTTTATATTCATTATTTTCATTTTTTAAATATTACTAAAATATATGACAGTATTACAAAAGGCAATATTTAAATGTTTCGGTGTACCGTTGTATATTTCGTCGAAGGAGGAAGGAACGAACTAAACGTTCGTTACTAAATGTAAAACGGATTCAATTAAGTACTATAATTATCCGCAACTCTCACCACCCACTTATAGTTTGCGTTTTGTGGACCCAAACCTCAAACTTAAACCATGCAAAAAATATATTTGTTAAATGTATCTTTAGAAATGCAATGAGATCATTTAGTAATTGTTTTATACAAAGATAATAATAAAATTAGTATTAGAAGTAATTAGTTATTATTGAGTTAATATAATGTACCTACTATTATGCAACTTAAAAACTGGAGTAAAAATTCACTTTCACTGTACTTTCACAAGCATTTGTAATACTTTTAATGAAAAATGACATAATGCCAGAAATATAATATTATCTACATTTAGAACATTAACATTACGCAAGTTGTTTACGAGTATATTGTATGCATTATTTTTTTCAGCTTATACCAACGAAAGTAAAAATGTTTCTCTACATCTCATCTCAGTGTTTGAAAGAGTTTTAATAGGTAATCATTTTAGGCAACAGTCCCGGATCTAGGGGGTAGGTCAAACCGGGGCACCCGCCCCGGGCGGCAGTTTCAGGGGGCGGGTGCCAAAATCATAATACCTATAATACGGTTTAAAATAAAACAAACAATATACCTCCCATGCCTCCCAATCACGAAAAATGCCAACCATCATAATATATTTACCTAAAGTATAAATATATATAATTTAAATAAAGTTATTTACCTCAAACGCTGGAGAGAGGGGGCGCTATTGTTAAGTTTCTGCGCCGGTTCGAAAAAAAATGTGTGATAATGCGTAATGTTTTTGTACAACACATTTTCTTGAATTTAGGCCGACTGGGAGATCCTTACAGAAGTTTGTAATATCTTTACAGAGTGTTATTTTCTTGAAGGAAATTTACATCGCTACGAATCAAGTAGGTTGAGATTTTCTGTAGGTAGTATAATAAAAAAAAACATTATGCCATTATACGATGTGTGTATGACATCAAGATTAATATAAGTTGGCAAGTTCCAAGTTGTTTGTTCTTATCTATGATGTCGAAAACATATTTTAAAACAGAAAGATACAAACTTGAAAGAAAAATGTTACACACTTAATTTCAATTTATCGAGTATTTCAAAACATAAACAGGTTACCTTGTAACGACTAGTAAATGGTTTAATTCATAGTAATGACCTTGTTGAACAGTAACTCTTCCGTTGAATTAGTCATTGCTGATTCACAGCACAATACGTTTCTCTGGCTGCATTGAAATTCAACGATTTTTTCCTTCGCAAGTCCTCAACCGAATGTCGTGAATCATTTAGCATTGAGTACACCGGCGCGCGGTGCGGTGTTCAAATTCATGGCTCTTATTACCTGACTAATTAGATCTAAGCTATTATAGTTGTTTTAAGGAGGTTTAAATTATGAACCTCCTTAAAACAACTATACAACTTATGAACTTCATACATCGATTACGCTATTCAGGTTCTCGTAAAAAATACTAAAGAGGATGACAATTTTATTTGAAAAAAATATGTCTTTTTGTGTGACTATTTGCCATTATAACTAATTAATGTTTAATGACGTACGATTATAAAAGTTAAACATAATGCCCTTTTTACTACACGCTTTATATTAGCTTCACTTGTATGTTTGTTTGTAACCGACTCCTTTGGGCGTGATTTTGACTGACTTTAAAACGGTCAGAATTCGTTAAAACATTGTAGATATATCTAGGACCGATGACAATACACTAATTAACTTTTAATTAACTATTATTTTTATAGCTGACATTAAATTTTATTAAACCTGAGCTATCAGATATATACCTAATGTTCGTCAGAGATCTGTCATTGTTGTATTCTCAATGACATTATAAGATTGATAAACACCTGTCGATGTTAGATTTCATTATTTTTAAAGTCCAGGTGTTTGAATATTTTGATTTAACAAAATGTCTATATTATCACATTAAAGATTTTCGAGGACTGCTACAATGGTTATATTTTAAGTGTAACACCTTTTCTGTCACTTTCCTGCCATTGGTAGTAGTGATTTAGGAAAATGCGATGTAATAATGTAATAAATTAGCGCCCCTGGTGCTAGAAATTACACATCATGTGCGACTACTGTAAGGTCGTTCATTTTTTTTCTTACTTATTGTGCCACCCCAGTGGACAGTTTAAACCTTCAAACATTTGATATTATGATTTGCCTTAGCCATTTACAGTCAAGATCAAAAACAAAATTCATTTTAATTTATTATTTAAAAATACAACTCCCGCATTAGGAATATATCCTGAGTCGCGGGGGATTTTACAAACATACATGAAACGGACACAAAGAAAACCCAGACTCAGAACAACAATTTGTAGATCACACAAAGTGTCGTCCCATGTGGGAATCGGACCCACAACACTCAGCGTAGTCGTAAGCGGCGTGGCGACCGCTGAAACCACTACGCCATCCGTGCAGTTTGATCCTGGAGTTATTTTATCATTTTATTTTAGTTTTAAAATAAAAATGATGGAATAACTTCACTTATACCATACGTAGACACTATCTAATCTTTGTTGTTTGCAGTAGACTAAAAACAGACAATTAGTCATTTTAGTTAGGATACACATACTTATGTAGGTACCTCATTATTTCAAAACATTATTTCCTTCTTTATATTAGTGATAGCAACTACATTGTCGATGAATTATTATATATTATAATGTTTACTAGTTCTGAATAAAAAGCCAATTAAAATGTTACAGGATAAATCATAACAAGGAAAATTATTGCAATAATTTGTTCATTAACATAGTAAAAAGGAACTTATATAATGTTTATAGTAATAATTGTGATTCAACCATATTTAGCCGCATGATATAAATATAGACGTTTCGGAAATTGAGATAGAGAATGTTTTATTTTACATACAATCTTATTCAATCAACTGCATTTGCTTAGCTGCACCAGCTTTGTATTATAATAGAGCTTCATGGTGTATAATTTCTAGGTCTCGCCATTATAAAATATTGATTGTAGTGGCAGACATCACGGCATGGGCGCGAGCCGACTTTCAAAAACATGCCATTGCATGTTTCCGGAAACATTTGTACAAGTTGGCAACTTGTGCAAAAGATTCTTTGAATTTCATTTATATACTGATGATATCATATATTGTAATTCACTTCGCTATATTTGCCTAATGTTAACGTTTATTTTCATTGTTTTCCGGTATTGACGTTATGGTTTACTTTTTGAGTTTGTTATTATTAGTTTTACATATCTGGCACTAGAATATTCATCTTGTTATTGTTACAATAATTAAATGAATTTGGTAATCGGAATGAGGTCTTCTAATAATTTGCTCATTCTTTATAATTAAAACGTTTGTATTTGATTTATTTATTTCCGTGCTTTTTATCTATTTTTTTAAGTTTACCCAGTACTAACCCGGTAATATTCACTAATATTCGTGTAATGTTGAGTAGATATAATTGAAATAAGTTCTTACATTTTGGAAAATTGAATTGGGAAGCCAAAAATTAATATATTTTAAATTGTACAACATCTTTTTATTAAACGCTATTCAAGACACTTGTCGGTTTTAATGATTCTTTTGAATATGAAAAATTCTTCACAGTGAAACTTAGGCATATTTTAAAAGACGTCTCAAGTATCAGTTGAACTCTGATTGCCTGAAACTAGTTTTAAGTGCAGGTCAAAACTTAAGTATCGATTTTATGACTGAGACACCTTTTAAAACATGGGCCTAAGACGTACAACTTACTAGAAAAATATGCGACGTTTTGTAGCACTGCATAATTATTGCTTGCAATATAAAGCGAGTCAGTTAATAACTCAATATGGCAATCGTGAATGTTATCGTATAGATGTAGGTAATCATGCAGCAACTACGTTAGCACAATCTATTGTGTCGGAATTAATTTTCTCTTTCACAGTTACACGTAGTGTGGCCAATCGGAGCACTGAATAAGCAAATGAATTTTAAACTGAGCGACAAACTGCTACAGTTAGCGTAAAATTATTGATTGGTAGATGTAGGTTCGCAGGACATTGTCCTGATATACATACGCATTATTGACTACGCTATGGTTTAAGCATGAAGTAGGTATACCTACTAATTCTGTTCTAGATTTTTTCTAAAGAAATTGAAGTAAATATTGGACTTGTCGCACACTGCACAAACGCACAATAAAACTAGGTTACACTTGAAAGTAACGTAGTCTTTATTTTTGAAGGTTATTCGGATAGGATATCTTGTTATTTATTCACGAAAAAACTGAGATACAAGAACTGCGTCAAGTCGACTATTTCTTATTGACGTTAAAGGAAGTCAGTGGGATAGGAGATAAAATCTACAAGCCGAACCAAATTTTTTGCTACAGGATCTGATCAGCGAACTGAAAAGCGAGCTCAGCGGCAATTTAGAGAATGTGATCGTTGCTCTTATGACCCCACTGCCACACTTCTACGCCAAGGAGTTGCACGATGCTGTTGCGGGGATTGGCACTGACGAAGAGGCCATTATCGAGATCCTTTGTACTCTCTCAAACTATGGCATCCGTACTATCTCGGCTTTCTATGAACAGCGTAAGTAACTTGCTTTGTATTTAGTACTTTTTCTGAACTACCAAAATAAGAGACATTCAACTGTATAATTTTCGTAAATAAAATGTTCCATGGTCTTCCAGGGAAGCTATGATAGATCAAAACATATTTAAATAATATTTTAGATGACAAAATGTCTGATCAAAAGTGAAAACTTATGATTAAAAAAGCGGATAAGGATATTATATAGATCTACTTTTGTGATTCAGGATACTAGATATGACAGCATTATACCGCTATTAGAGCGGTAACCTACAAACAAAACAAAAACCATTACTTTTTATAGCGACACTCGACACCAAAAGCCATTTGACACGACATATGACATTTATAATGCAGTAGCTAATGATTTATGTAGGTCATTCCTACGTTTTATAAGTACTTATATGTACTTAAGTTGGAATTCCGTGAAGGTTATTTATTATTATAATAGAAAATATAGGTACTTACTTACGATATCTGAATGAATATTTATTATGTTTGCACTCATCGAACATACATTAACGAAAGCAAAGTTGGTACGAAGCATTAATTTGAATCTTAATTACACGAGACTTTCAATTGAGGACGAGGACATGAAGGATGTCCAGTTTACGACAGCGGATGTACTGTTAAGTTTAATGCTAAATACTTGCTGCTTTAAATTGCCTGCCCACAAAAGTTGCATTTTTTTTTATAAAATTTACATTTAAATATGTGTATACATTACCAGAAACAGGTAATTAATTAAATAACACATGTTGATTGTCAAAATGATGTTATCGGTTTTCATCCATGCTTGTGTACCTAACGATAAACTTACACAGATTTATGTTATTTTGGGTGATATGTATATTGGGTACATAAGGATAAAATATATAGAACTGATTTATACGTATATAATTACACCAACATAATTTTAAGTTCGAAAGGAATCGAACATTTTTATAATAAAATACAAATTTTACTTAAATTCACATACGGCAGTCTGATCCCAAACTAGACAGAGCCTGTGCTATGCTAACCAGACTGCTGAACATTTCTAAATACATAAGTACTATTAGGTATAGAGAAATTACACACAGACTCAGGACAAATGATCGTGTTTATCAAACAATTATTTGTCCTGGGTGGGAATCAAACCTACGACCTTCAGTTTAGCAGTCAGGGTACTAAACACTGGACTAACAGGCCTGCCAATAACTGACATAAGTACACATCTCGAAAAGGATAAGAGGTTTTTTTACTTCTAACATACACGTACATTTGTTACGAGTTCAGTTAATAATATCAACCTTGGTTAAAAAAACTACACGGAAACTAAGTAACCAAAAATATGGCTTGACAATGACTCGTGCAGCTTTATCATATAAAATATTCTTACATTGTTATTTTAAATTTTCGTATTACCATAAAAACTCGACCTTGTGACTTGTGTGCTCTTATTCCACGATGGCCACGATAGTCTTAAATACATGGACAATGTTAAAAAAAATATATAAACACCAAAATAATAAAAAGTTAGTTAAAAAGAGAAAAGATCTGTTTACTTGTAGTCCCTTAAGAAATTACTGAACTAACAACAATAATCGTTTCATTGAAACTAGACCAGAACGAATACAGGCAAGCAAAAAGTATGTTAACAAAACTCATATAATTATAAAACCACAGTGTACGGCAAGAGTTTGGAGTCGGACCTGAAGGGCGACACGTCTGGTCATTTCAAGAGACTGTGTGTATCCTTATGCATGGCCAACCGTGACGAGAACCAGGGTGTTGATGAGGGCGCTGCAAAGGCTGATGCTGAGGCGCTCGCCGCCGCTGGTGAGGGCCAGTGGGGCACGGACGAGTCCGTGTTCAATTCAATCCTGATCACTCGCTCATACCAACAGCTAAGACAGGTGAGGTCATTGAACTAATCTTTTGAAATCAATCAATTTATAAACAGCATGTAAACGTTATAAGGCGCAATTACTGCAGTATTGCAGTATGGATAATGGCTCCATTATGGGACATCAAATATATTTGTATATCGTATATCCATACTAATTTTATAAATGCCAAAGTGTGTCTGTCTGTCTGTTACCTCTTCGCGCTTAAACCGCTGAACCGATTTAGATGAAATTTGGTATAGAGATAGTCCGAGTCCCGGTAAAAGAACATAGGGTAGTTTTTATCCAATAAATCAACCTTTACGGGGGTGAAAACGGGGGTGGAAGTTTGTATTGGGCATCAATAACCGTTGAACAGATTTAAATGAAATTCGGTATGAACATACTTTGATTCTTGAGCAAAGACACTTTTTACCGCGATAACTGACATACACGCGGTCGGAGCAGCGGGAAAAAACTAGTAATTCTTATATGTATATGGGAATTAACGCGATCAATAGGTACTACATACATTGGAATCGCCTGATGTTTCCACCAAGTTGCACAGGTCGTGGTCATAGGCTTGATGCACTTGACTTGTAATCCAATACTGCTGAGGCTTTTAGTCTAAAACCGAGAGAGAGAGTAAATGCTTATTAGATGTTGATTTAATAAAAATCTTATTCTTTAGAAAACATTATACTATACAAAAAAGAACCTTTAGATTAAAAAATAATTGAAAATAATATAAAACAAGTAGATTCTTTAATCACGATCTTTATAATATTATCTTATATAAAAAATATTTCTAGAAGTCAGAATTATTTTACATATTATTTTTTATATCTATGTAACGTTAGTTTTCTACGTGATTTACATAGTCGACGAATAAAACAATTGGATCTCACGTTTACCTCCGAGCGTGTTCTCTTAACCGTGACAAACTTAATAGAAACTGATTACGTTATACTTACAAATTCTTTAATTCTCAATTAGTGTATACGTGTAAAGGAAAATTTTTTGGACAAACGAAAATCGTATTTTTGGAATTTTAATTTGTTTCTCGTTACTATCTGTGTACTATTTACGAATAAAACGTAAATTATACAATAGATAAAACGAAAACTGTGAATAGAAACATACAAATTTAAACCACATTAAATATTACATCAGCGGGGAAACCGTATCATTGAAACGCAAATGTACAACTCATACGTACCGGTTTTTGACGCATTAACCTGATTACCAAATATATTTTAGATCTTCGCCGAGTTCGAGGCAATAACCGGTAAAGACATCGAGGAGTCCATTAAGAAGGAATTCTCCGGCAGCGTGGAAAAGGGAATGCTTGCTATTGGTAAGTTATAAAACAACCGTGAAGAAAGAAATCGCGCTCCAGCTGTAACAAAAAATAAAGAAGGGAGTCAGAATTATAGGGAAAAGTTCCCTATAATTCTGACCCTCAAAAGGTGCGATCGAAACGTGCTAAAAACTTGTTTTCAAACTAGGTAGTTTAGAGCCCGTAAGCAGTGTAGTTTTTTCATTTATCATCAAACGTTTCAACTCTTGATAACTTAACTAGAAATAATAAAATCGGAGAAAAAACAACACATCAATACCGAATAGTATGTAACTATACTAAGTGTAAAACAGTCCAAGGTCATAAGCAGTAATTTGAGTGATGTAACCTTCGTGCAGTCACTCAACTTTTTGTAAGTATTTGATTACCTAGTACAAATGTTATTTACTGAGTAGATTTTCTAAAAATGTTTTCAAATATCTGTCCTATTCCTATTCATGGTAGGTATCACATATTAGATTCCAGAACAATAACGTAGGTGTGGTTCCTTTATTATTAGGTAAGCACAATTAATATTTATATGACGTCACCAGTAGTCAGAATCTGACCCCAATATATGTACCTATAGTTTGCATTTAGCTACACTGTAGCGGTTTTCCTTAAAGTAAAATCTTGGGAAGTCCGTCTCGTGTATGAACTCTATTTGGAAATGGTTATTTGCCAAGAATTCGAGACATTACTAAATCGCACTTGTTTTAGGTACATTTAACATCCTGCACACAACAGTTCTCCTTAATTATATAATTTAATAGCATTTGTCAGCTATCATTTACCAGTGAATCATGACTGTATATGTAAAAATTGCTGTTTGATTGCGGCTCGTTGACGGCCGTTGTTGCGACTGTAGTTACCAGTTTTAGAAGCACGCTTTACACGTCTATGCCTGCTCAATCGGAGTTATAATACAGCCTCGCACGAAACCCGTGTTACGCAATTCTCTCGTACGAGTAAGGCGAGGCCCGGAGCAGGTCCTGGTCCTGGGCGGCGGCAGTCACTCGCCATCAGGTGACCCGCCTGCTTCCTCCCCCAATACCATTAAAAAACCACAGTCCTTTTTTATTTATTACTAAACTCTATTGATAATTTCTAGTAAAATGCGTTAAGAGCAAAGTTGGTTTCTTCGCCGAGCGCCTGTACTACTCAATGAAAGGCCTCGGTACCAACGACAAGACCCTCATTAGAATCGTGGTAAGCCGTTCCGAAATCGATCTTGGAGACATCAAACAGGCTTTCCTTGACAAGTACGGCAAACCCTTGGAGAGCTGGATTGCTGTGAGTAAACACTGTATATTACAAACATTATTGAGACCATTATTTTTAGAAATTACTTAAATTATCATATAACTCACCTAGAATTCAACTTTCAATATCTATACATATATACGAATTTCTACATATATTATGTTTTAAATAAGAAAAATGATTGTGCACTAAAATGGTCAGCTACAAAAGCAGTAATAAAACTAACGTTCGGCATTGGGGATGTCATGGAAAACGAAAAAAATATAACTAGTATTCACGACACGTGCCGCATATTTCATATAGTGACCATTATGCTGCATTGCTGTTATGCATTGGAGAAAATAAAGTTATTATTATTTGGTATTTAATATATATTTACCCGAGAGAGTTCCATGCCAACTTCGATCCATTTCAATTGAGATCAATTAAGTCTTTATGTGCACATTATTAAGAGTTACAACCTCTCAAATCAGACACGGCTATTATGAGTTTATAACCATGTATGATAATATATCTTTTAAGTATGTTTAAAACTCTCGAGTTCTGATAATTTATAATAATTTTCTCGCTTATTTTGATATTTGTTTTATATTTACTAACATGTGTTTATATGTTTGACTTCATATCTAATCGTATCATATAGCAATCGTTCGCAATCATAAAATCGCACTCTTGTGTAAACATCAGTTGTGTAAATTCCATTCACAAAATTTGTATTTGTCTAACCCCATATATGAACTAACAGCATGGACAATTAGTATTACAATCAGTAAAAGGCACTGATCCATTACTTATGACTTGGTATGTTGACAATGAAGTTATGAACACGCTTCGATTAACTATTTCTTCAGCGCGCTTGTGGGTTTATCATCTTAGGCATAGCTACTGGGTCTACCGTGCTATTAAAATTGAACATTAATCTATGGTAACTACAAATACTTTACTATAACAAGATTTATACAGATCTATTTATATATACGTCCTAAATGTGATGTCATATTTAATTTTATAAAGATTTTGTTTATAATGTGTTGATATGATGTGTTTAAACTTGTGTTTTATCTAACAAAGTGTACGTAACGGAGATGTAAAAAGACTAAAGATGTCTGAATGAACGACAGAAGTTTAGAATAGTGGCCCACTTTTGATTACAGGACGACACTTCCGGGGATTACAAGAAGGCTATGTTGACCCTTGTTGAATAAATTGTGAGCTCGCAAGGTCACCATGACTACGGTCGCAATAACCACCTAGCTCGAATATTTTAAGTTATCTCTGTCAATTTGTTAGGTTTATTAAGTACCTGTTAGGATACAGTTACACTGGCCACCTAACTGTTCTACTGAGTAAACTCCGAAAACCGCCAAACCGTTTAGGATACTCTGTGGTGCAGTTAAGTCGTCAGTGAGCCATATCTGTAGGCGTCCATGACGGGTGTTCAATTCATTTAAAGAGATCTGTATATTTTGCTTCTTGTTTAGCCATACTCACTCATGTATTCTTGCACTGTAGCTTATCTGCTTTAGTGTCGTGTGCGTGCATGGAGGTAGCGGTGACTTACCCGTGCGTTTGACTTAGTTTTACAGTAGCTGTTACAATTTTTCAGGAGGAATTAGGAGGCCCACTCGGTGATCTCCTATCGACAATGTGTTACTAAAGCCGCTACAATGCTTACATATAACACTCAGTATTACGAGCGCCATAGTTGTGTGACGATGCTGCAGTGCGAAGTATTTCTAATAAATAATATTTAATCGTGTACAACACACAAACCACGAAAAACAATCACACCTAATGTTGCATTTTTAAGACATTTATTTGTTAGTATAAGATTATTTTTCTAAGATGCTTTTTGTGATAAGGTAATGCACATTGTGTGAATACAAGCATAAGTAATGGGCCAGTAGATGCGTTTTTTACGTCAGCATGTCAGATTGGTAGATTTATTTCGGTATTCTTTCCAGGATGACAAAACGGGTGACGCCGGATATACGCTAGTCACACTTTGTGCTTAATCCTGCAGAGAAATCATATTTTTTATAAAGTTTTTTGTTTTTTAATTAACTAAGTTGATGAGCATGCTATACGAAATTGAGTTAGTTACAAAGTGCAATATAATGATTTGCAGGATGATACGAAAGGCGACTACAAACGAGTCTTACTCACTCTAGTGTCGTAAGTGAACGCATAATATGCTACGTGACGTTTCGTACAAGATAAGTTCCATATTGTTTACTACTTACTGCCTTTACATTGTATAACTGTTGAGATGTTTTAGAAAAAGCTTGATATTTTTGTGAAGAAATGAGATATTTATTGGTGCTGTAGCTTTGTTGTCTACAATTTACACGATATTTACATTAATTATTAATTAAACTACTATGTATGTTGTTTGAGTGTTTCATTCCACATCCCTGATTCCCTCTGATGTTATCTGAAATGAAATATTTTTCTTTCAAATATTATCGAGTAAATAAAAAAGGCAATTTATCTTTCATTACAAAAATATAAGATCATAAACTTTGGCGAGAATACGAGCTTTTTTTTTAAGACAGGAATGGTTCCCTGTGGACTTTACAGACATACAAACGCCGGACACAAAGAACATCCAGACTTGGGACAATCATAGAATAGAATACAACATTCTTTATTGTACACCATATAAACACAATCGATCTTAATAATTAAATGTTAATGTTAGGTACAATGGTCGCTCCTTTGAATGAATTTTGTATCAATACCTATATGATGTGTAAATGTATAGGTATAACACCTATACATTTACACATCGATAACTACATACATATAAAAGTAAAAATAAAAACAGTCATATATACGTGCATACAACAGTTTTTTGTCTCGGTCGAGAATCGAACCCACAATACTATCAACACAAAAAAAATGATAAAATGATATTTATTCGTGCAAGTAAATCTTTCAGATATTTTTACATATTTACAAGACGGACTTTACGGCTAGAAGACGCCGGCATTTCCTAAGACTCACTCAAACGCCGAAACACTACTGAACTACAGAGGTCTTTTTTTTTTTGTGAATACTCCAACTTTTGTGCCAGTCCTCGTCATAATCTTGCCTTATCATCAAGGGCTAGGTATGCAGTTAAAAGCTTAATTGCTTCAAACTTCAAGTAGATGTGAATATCGTGAGCATCATAGTTTTGATTCCTACACGAAATAATTTCGTGAATGAAACCGAATTCTTAAGATATCAACAGATACATAAAAGCAATATAACAACCAGCGTAACCACTATAAAATGCACCACGCATTTTGGCAAGGCGCAACATTAGTAATCCATTACTAAGTAAGCCCACATAAATGCGTTGGCGCCGATCCAGTAGACATGTCAGTAACATGTTGTTCAGATGTAAAATAGAGAACTATTGGTATTACTGATATCATTTGCTCAATGACCTCGACTTTTGTAGTGATATACTAATCCAAATCTATTTCAAAGCCATGATATAAAAATATAAATATAGGATTGATTTTAGCACTTTAACATACAATCGTAGCCAAGGGCTTAATAAATTAACTGTACTTTATTTACGTTATTACACCGGACAAATCATGATAAGTGCGAAAAACATTTTTAACCGAGTTCAAAAAAAGGTTTTCAATTCCGTTAAATTTATTTTACGCTTGTTACCACAGAAATCCGTCATTTGCAATAAGGAAATCACAAGAAGTGGGTTTTGACCTTGTTAACGCCACTGAACATATATGTGACAAAAATACAATCGAAATTAGCACAAAATAATTATTTCGACCGTTTTCTACTTTTGGGTAAATAAAGCTATTAATTGTAGTGTTCTATAAAGGTATTTGACAATGCCGTTCATAACGGTTAGACACAGTACCTCTACCACTCTTGTAGCGTAAGTTATAAACTAGTAGAACACTTAACTATCTAAAATGACAATCACCTGGAAAGTAGCAACAGCAGTACTGGCGATATTGCTCTTTAGCAGCAAGGCCAGACGGTGCGTCGGGTCTTGTGCAGTGTGTGGCGCAGAAAGGAGCAGGCGTACGTTGCAGCGATGCGCCCACGCATCACCTAAGGCACCCACTACGGAGCCGCCACTTAGGCCCACTCGCGTACTCATTTCGTTTGTAATAACCACCTGTTATGTAAGTAGTTACGTTTACTTGTTTTAATTTAGTTTTCTAGGTATAACATCAAATGAAATCTACGTATAGTATGCTCATAGGCTGGGATCCTAATCTAAGATACATAGTTGGAAAAACATTTCGAGGAGGAGGAGGATTTCAATAATTGCCCATTAATTTTTTGTTTCGCTGGTTTCACTTACGGTCCGAGAATAAGTACGGAATGTGTTCTTGTTATGAAGAGCTTAAATTACTTATGATAATAAATTCTCTTATACGATATTTTGAAGACAAGTCGAGGAGTTGGTCCATATCTACATATTTTTACTTACAGCAATTTGGTTTTGCAGGGCAATCCTTTGCAAATCGGCCATTTGCCTAAATAGAAGACCTGTTCTTTGTTTAGTGGATATGCCATCTTTAAAAGGATAAGCTATGGAATCAATAGCTATTAATTTGACCTGAAATATTATAGATTCTTGTATTATCCGTTACTATAAGTGCAGAACTAGAGGAATCATTGGATATATAATAAAGCTCTATTATTTTCAAAAAATATATTACTTTTCTATTCTCAATTAAAGAAAAAATGTAATTTGCATTAAGCTGTCTTTTTCAGTGACTAGTAAGCCGATGGCGACGGTCTGGTGTGGTAATATTTAGAAAAACCATGGGCGAATCCAGATTTAAAATCAGAGACAAGCTCCAATTTGTTTCGTCATCATCGTCATCAACAGCCTTGAATAGTTCACTGCTGGACATAGGCGAGTACGCTGGACATAAGGAAAGCCTTAGAAAAAAGGTTTTGGCCTAATATAACACGTTGGCCAGACGAGTTGGTATAGGGTTTGTGTCAAGTTTTCCTTCTCTTTTCAGTGCAGGACAGCACATATGCATAGGCTCTCTTAGTCGGCTTTTATGATACCCACGGTATGAATAGGGGTGGTGACACTCTGTATTCTTAATCCGCCACCACATGGACGGATGGATGGATCAATTTGTTTACCCATTTGAAATCAGCCAGGGCGTAATGATCCCATGGTTCCCCGGCTACTGGTACCCGAGATGGAGTGCGGTTTTTGGTCGGTTCGAGTCCGACATAGCCACCTGTGGGAGGTACCCGAGAAAATTGCCGCACAGAAAAAAAAAACGGAGATAATGATGCCCACGGCCCCTTGCCCCTGGACCCGTTCATGGGTAAACTATCTAGCCGGCGACCGACAAGTGTAAAATTTTACTATGTACACCTTATAGTATAGCTTTAAATAATTTTATTACTTACATTAGGATGTTCTGCAATAAATTTTGGTAATGTGTGCATTAAAGAACAGTAACTTTCAAGTCCAAAAGCATTGACATAGTGTAGTCTCTTCAGGGCTTCGTCTTCACTTATTTGTAAAGGTTCATCTAGCACTTTTTGACATCTCAGGAAACTTGCACTAAGTATTTCTAAGGTAGGAAAGTAAATGATTTACCCAATAATACATTATTACGAGTATTATAGGGTACATTTTATTTACATGTCGCGTCATATATTCGCGTATATATATATACAAATATAATTCCTCTGTGCGTGTGTATGTGACTGAATTCCTCCTAAAACAGCTGGACCGATTTTGATGACTTTTTTGTATATAAGTGGATTCGAGCACTTTAGGTTTTCAATTAGGTAATATTCACAAAAAAAAAAAATGGCGGTACGAAAAAAAATAGCAGCAAGAAGTTCGCCGGGTCAGCTAGTTTAAATATAAAGTTGGCTACTTCCCCCTTAATAAACAGCCGAAACCCAAGGGAATATATATATAGGATCTATATAAATGCTCAGAGGGTATCCACTATCCAAAGAAACTATTGGAATTTGGTTCATAACATGGTTGAGAACAGTTAAATAGTAATATTTATTAATATTAACATCACCAGGCTAATTGCTTGACTCTTTTTAGTATTTCTGTAGATATCTATGGAGCTTTGATTATGAACATTTCAGAGAAGATGGTGTATCAAAAACTGTTGTAGGTCCCAAATAATAGCTTAAACCTGACATGTTCTATTAACATTCTGGTGAGTAAGGGGTTTGACATCTTAGTATTATACCAAAAAATAGATGGTATGGTCTGAGTTTCATTACTGATCATAAGAACATTAATAAATTGTAGCAACTCTAGCAATCTTGTTATACTATGGTACCTTACCCCTGTTAACATCTAATCAGCAGGGCCTCAATTCAGCTATTTCATGTTAATGTAAGAACCAATGTCATTGACATCAGTATTCTACTAACATAAACACACACAATAGACTGTTGATGTAGTGCCAATGGCTCATCAATGGTGATATCAACAACATTGCCATATCTGGAAAATTAAATATATCATTTCCTTACTAATTTAATTCTACCGTACCAAACTATTACAAAGACATTGACGATGTATCAGTGGCAGTGCAATGACAAGTCATAGGGAGACCATTGGTCTTATATAGTTAGTAGAATACAAAAAGTACAAAACTAATCCAAAGACAGTCCATCGACAGTCTATTGATAAAATATTAAAATAGTAGAATTGAGGCCCAGGTGAGCTTTGCACATTCTAATAAAAGGCTCAGATCAAATGAAAAAGTTTGGTTTAAATAAAAAAAATATTGATCTGAGATAAAAGGTATAACATAGGTATACAAGTTAAAATTGTAGCAAAACATAAGACAATTAATTTTATAAGTGGAGGGTAAATTAAATAAGAATAAATATACCTCTAAATCTAGATAGAGTGAAATTTGTATTGGTGTCAATATATAAAGCCTCTGCATTTAATCCACCTAACTCCTTAGGTATTTGTACTGATGCACACAGTTGTAAACTGGAACAAATAAAAAATACTATATTTATATAATAGATTTTTAATAATGGATACACATTCATTATTTCATACTCTCATCACATCACAATACATCAACAGCGTTTAATAGTCCACTGCTGGACTTAGCCCTCTGCTTAGAAAGGAGGTTTTGGCCTACTACACCAGGCTGATCAGACGTTGGTATAGGGTTTGTGTCAAGTTTTCCTTCTTTTGTAGTGCTGTTGTCCTGCATCGTTTGTTCACTTAGTTGGCTCTTACTACACCCATGGGATGAATAGGGGTAGTGACATTCCATATTCTTAACCCGTCACCCCATGGACACATTCTCATCATTGTGTATTTAAGAAATCAAGCAGGTGCTTGATTTCTTAAATACACTTTTAAGCCAAAGCATGAACAAACAATAGCAGTTAAGGAAAACTTGAAGTATTAGTATACATATTACATATTTAATTAATGTAGACTTATACACACCATAGCTGTGTTTTACCAGAACCTGGTAAGCCAAGCAATTCTGTAATGCTGCCGAGCTGCACTCCATCACTCCCTAATACATTGTCCAAAACTTGGCTGAAAGTTGGCACCGAAGGCAAACTTGTTTCCTTCTGAAAATGAGAGGTAAGTGCTATTCATTTTAGGCAGCTAGAAGGATAGGTTACATTGATCGATTCATACATTTTAATACCTCATTTATTTTTAATTCTGATCATGAAAATTGAACGAATTTAAATCTAAAATAAAAGCTTGAAATAACTAAAGCAGTTGCTTTTGAAGGAGATCAATAAGTATCTATGTAGTATATAAGAATTACTTAACGAAGGGTGATAAAATATTGATTGTATGTGTAAAATTTAAAATTTTAGTTTATAAGGAGAATAAAGTAATTAAGAACTTCAAAACTCAAGTAAACTTACTTGCCATAACTCTGTCGCATCATAAACTTTAAAACTTTTCATTTATAATTGTTTAATAGAATAGTGTTATAAGTTTACAATATGCTTTTAAATATTTTTAAATTTGAAATCTGGTTAATATATGCTTAAATCGGCAAAGCTGTTATTTGTTTTTTTAATTTTCCCACCTAGCACAGTGCTGCCTTAAGCGGTACCTAATTAAATATGGGACCGTGATATTATTATGTGAGCCTTTAAAAAATTAGATTACAAAAACGGTGTAGAACAACACTAAACTGAATGAAATTGTTTAAAAAATCATGATTTTAAGACTAAAAACAAAACTTGCGTTTAGCCGCACTGCGACGTGCCATTAGCTGACCCTATACGCTACGCTCATGCGGTTGCGACTCGAAGGGCAATATGGCTAACCGCCAGCGCTTTCTAGGCCTTAAAATTGTAACCGTAAAAGAAAAGTTTTTTTTTTATCAAGGAGTAGTTACTGTATTTGTATTTGGCTTCTGTTTAAAGTTTAATGACTTAAAAAATTCGCCTTTTTCTTTATAACTATCTTTATTAGGACAGCAAATAGATGTCAAATACATTGCTTTTTTTTGCATTGAGTTAAAACAACACTAGAGAAGCAAACCTCATTATCACACGTCGAAAAAAGTGTAACCACTTTTGAACTTTGACGACGTAGCTTTGATACCACTAAACATTTGAAAGTAAACATATTTATGTCTCATTTACACGCGAGACAAGAACAATACCATCGCTCGGATTAGACAAAGACAAAGATATAACTTTACGATGGTGGGCCAGTGTTGACTACCGTATGAAATTTTACCCATAACAACTAAGAAACAATTTTTTTTAAAACAATTTTGTAATAAAGTAAATTAATTTAAATATTCTAAATAATATATTTCGAATTGAATAGAATAGGTATAAATAATAAAATAACTGGAAATATTTGGTTAAAAGGGTTTTATATTCAGTGTAAAATCAAACTGCGCTGTGAAGCATCAGTTTTGTATACAATTGTCTTTTAGACTCTTTTTTATAAGTTTGTGTGGATATTTTACTTTCATGATACAATCTTATTTTTACGTATGTAAAAATAATAGCATTTAATAACAAAAGTGAATGATCAACTTGTACTGATAATAAATAATCCCCAGGGTGTATTGCAAATTCTATTATAATTTGAAAAACAAATAATAATAAAAATTTTTTTATTTATGTTTATTTACCTTTTTATTTTATATTTTTATTTTTTATTTTTATGATAACATTTTTTATTATTATTATTATTATTTTGTACAATTATTATTTAAAATTGATAATAAATTAAGAAAAACAATGAATTAATTCTTTTGTACAAAAGTCTCCAGCAGCTCGCAGTGAACGTTCAACGGGTCCCTAAAAAAAGTGATCGGTCCAGCCCTAACAACTACCGTTCTTCCTATATTTTATTATTATTGGCAAAATGTTTAAAAACAGTATAAAGCATATTATTTCACAAATTATAAAATCTCCCACTAATGTGGGAAAACCAAAATGATTTTTTAATGGTAACACTGATTCTAAATTACAATTATCAGTGTTTTATTTCAATTATAGCCTTATTTACGATATTATCAATACAAAAACCATAAACTTACACGTGAAAAGTAATTCCGCATGATTTATTAATGTTTTGTGACCTTGAAACGCATTCTTTCACTACGCATTTAGCCATTTTGGCGATTGTTACTGTCATGTGTCGCTATGTTCAACTCGGTTGACGCCACATTGAATACTGAATTGACGTTTGCTACGCATATGCCTGTGGACAGATGTGCAGTAGCAATGATTTTCGGCGGTAATTACTCATCTATGTAAGTATTATATCAATGTTTTTTTGGGCACAAAACAATTAAGTGTGTACAAAGCAATAATTAAAACCCATATCACGGTATAATTATAATACAGTAGCGTAACTCGGCCGCATGATAGAAATAAATGCCTACAGCCGCGCGGTACGTAAACATGCGTTAGGGCTGCCCGTCTCCAGCATTTTAATTATATTTGCCTACTTTCTGTTTCTATTTAGATTTGTGATTGTAAATATCCTTTTTATATAAATAAATGAAATACTTTGTATATTGAATAGGAAGTGTTCAATAAAAATGCGTGTTGTTTTTTGATTGGTAGATTTAATTATTTTATTTTCTTTCTGCATTGGAGGAGTTCAAGTTTCAATTTTCTTTTTCTTGGAGTGTTGCTAGAGAGACTCGTTGAGGTTTGAGCGAAGATTTCATTTGTTGCATTTTCAGTCTGTGTACTATTTTCATTTCCTACCAACGGAGCAGTTTGGGTTTGTTTATCTTCTTTTACAGAGACTCCTGGATCAGTACTAGCTAAGCTAGGCAGTATCAACAATGGTAGGGCATTCTTTTTTAAAAGTTTTCTATTTGATGAATGTAATACATCATCCAAATTAAAATGTTTTTCACAAACTTGGTAGGAACTAAAGTTAGGTTTGTTTTCCAAATCATCTCGCCGGATCAGTTGCAATCATTGAAGACGTCTGAAAAAAAAAATACATGTGGCACTCTTTTTTATTTTTTAAAAGAAAAAAATCTGCGTGGTGTCAGGCATTTTTCGTTAGGTTTTGAGAATTTCTTGATTCGGTCAGCCCGCGATAAAAGCTATGCAATAGCTTAAAAATCCTTCTATAGAATAAAAAAAATGTGCTTTCTCCTTACGCTTTACAAAACTCCAATCCTCAGAAACTCCAACACCTACCTACTCAACTAGAATGCAAGAAACAGCTGACGAGTAAGTAACTTTTTATCTCGGCTTATTAACGTCTCTATAAATTAGGTACCTACCTATAACTCGCAACAAGTCAAAACAAAAATTCTTTGGTCACCAATTAATTAATTATTAAAAAGCTGAACAGCTGACTACGAATGTTTTAAAATCACAACCCTCAAACATCTAAATATTATATATGAGTCTAGCTGTTGTTCTTAATACCGAGAAAATAAAACCAGTTTTTAGTGGTATATGTTGTTATAGTAGCAGCAGAAACACTTTGTGAAAATTTCGAAAAATATCTAATGACACACAGACGGTAAAAAAATATTTCTAGTGTTATTCATACACACAGATAATAAACAAATATTATTAATAATAAAATACCGCGTCTTTACTTTGAATTATGCAAAGTAACAAAACACACATGCACCGAAGTTTTAACACAAGCGTAAGTAGGTAGGTACCTGCCGTATCATGATTCATTCAGAACCGCATATAACTACCTATTTCACTCGTCTCAATAACTTTCCGTTACTCTATTCGCTTTATTTGTTAAAAGGAAATACTAATCCATTAAAAAGACACACATTATGTACCAACCTACTAGTAAGTAAAATTATTTTATAGTCTTACCTTTCAGAGTTTCCAGGTAATTTAAAAAAAACGTTTGGATGCGTTATTGAATAATTCATACAACCAAAAACAGCACAATATTTCCTACTCGTCATATTAACTGATTTTTAGAAAAAAAATCGCACGGTTATTGTTAAAAAAACAACACACCGTCCGTTCGACACTGCGGTACAGCCGTGACTGTCTGCGCCCCGAGCGCGCCCCGAGATCGAGGCGCGTAGGTATCGCTCGCGTTTCGTCCGTTTGTATGAAGTTGGAGTACTGTATTATAATTGTACCGTGCCCATATCTTGATACTTTCCTAGGTTGCGTTCTTAAGTTTTTAAACCGATCTTGGTAACGGCAACACCAATACTATGCCTGTCACTGTCAAGAGTGTCATGTGTCAAAATCGTTACGATTTATGGTTGAATGTTGACTGACATTAGTAGCACAAAAATATCAAAACAAATTAGTTTGAAATTGTAAATAGACACTTAAGCAAGAAAAAATGAATCACAATCAAATGAATATGCACGTACCGATGAATACCGTTGGCGCTACTCCAAATGTTGGAATGCAAATGCCAGTGCCAGGCACTATAATGCAACAACAGTCACCACAACAAATGCAAGTGCAACAACCCCAGCCAATGCCACAACCAACCCAGCAGGACAAAATGGATAATATATCTAAAGTAAAAACCCTTATGGGCTCGCTTCGTGAGTCAATACCAGTAAGTATGTGTAATATATAATGTACTAACCCTTGATTTCATCTCCATAGAATGTATGCAATCTGTCTGGTTTCATGGCCTCCAAGTAATATTTTTAAAGGGGAACTGGGGAGTGATCCCTCAGGTCCGTTTTACATCTATATAAAATTTTGGTTCAGGGGCTTGAAAGTATAAATGTAACAGAAAGACAACAGAAAGAACTAGTTACATGCACAGTAGATTAGGCTAGACTGTAGTGATACCCTAACACAAAAGTGGTGCCAAGAATTTATTTTACCAAATGAGTGAGGTTGCAAGAGGTCTAATCCCCCTCTAACTTTGGGAGGGGTGAGGGGGGTAGAGGCTACTCACATCTGCCTCTTGAGTTGCAGGTGTCCATGGGTGGCAGTAGTCACTTACCATCATGTAACCTATCTGCTTGTTTGCCCCCTATATTACTATTTATTATTTTATTTGACTGGGCATTTTAAATTTGTATCTATTTAGCAGGAAGTATTATTTTATAAATACAGATACAAACCTTATTAGTACTTGATCTATAATTCTAAATTTAATTTGGTTTTGTTTTTTAATGTTTCCAGATGACTCTCAAATCTGCGGCACAAATTCTACATCAAAATCATAATGTAGACTCAAATTCACAGTTAGTATAATTATCTTCTTTGATTAAATGAATTATAGACCCAACAGTGAAAACACTGTTAAATATATATATAAATCACAGGGATTACCATTTTAGGGTACACTTGAGGCCTCAGTAGAACATGGTGGAACACTGTGGGTTTGGTTGGTTTGAGTCTGAAATATTGGTTGATGATCCTTGTACTAAGAAATACAGTTTAGAAAACAATTTTTCAGTACTAATGTTATTTGAGTACACACAGTTTACCAAAACTTTGGTCAGTAGTAGATCGTTTATTCAAATTAAAGTTGAATTCTCTTAAGTTGTCGTACATAATGTAAGGTCACTATGTCAAAGCAAACATAGACTAAGTTCACCGTTTGTTTATTGCAGAAAAGGTATTGACAATCCAGTGCCACGATTTGACAAAAACTTAGAAGAATTCTTCTCAATATGTGATCAAATGGAACTTCATTTGGTAAGTCTTTACATACTTGTTCTTATATTGGATCTTAATTTATTAAATTGAACTGTTACTATTAATTTTATATTTGTGGGTAAATGCAGGCTTTATACAATTTCTAACATTGCACAATATCATTAAAAAGGGCAGCATTCCTTGCTGTAGATTCTTCTTTTGACCCCTTTCAGGGGGTTACTATAGATTTATCTGTACATCTGCGAGGTGGGTCTCGATCTGTCGGAAGCCCAATTGGGTTTCCGAGCGGGCGTTCGACGGCGATGCCGTGTTGTGCCTCACGACCGTGACCGAAGAGGCGGTGAGCCGTGGCGGCGTGCTGTTGGCGGTGTCGTTACCTTAATTTAAAACTACAGCTACTATATTTACATATTGTGGGGTATTACTATCCTGCTGGAATCTTGGTAAATGCTTAACATCATCATCGTCCAACAGCCTCTAATAGTTCACTGCTGGACATAGGCCTCGCCTTAGCCTTAGCCGTCTATTATACCAAGTTGGCCAGACAGGTTCGTATAGGGTTTTTGTCAAGTTTTCATTCTCTTTGAAGTGCTGTTGTCCTGCCTAGTCGGTTCTTACGACACCTACGAATAGGGGTAGTGACACTATATTCTTATCCGACACCATGCGGAAAATACTTAACAGGCTGCATGAATAATTCTTAATGAATGATTCTTCAAGACGAATGGGACTTAATATGAACATTGGTAAAACCAACATCATGTATCACCAAGTCCCGTAGCCATGAATAGCGCTACTATTGCGGTTGTTCAGAAATATGTCTACCTTGGCCAAACTATCCAACTCGGCCGGCACAACTTCGATTGGGAGGTCGATAGAAAAATTCGTCGTCCTATCTTCGAGTCGCCGATCTCGCAATCGCTAAAAACCAAGGCCGACATGTGTTAGAGAGGAGACCGCGATTAGGTAAACGTAATGTAGAGTGCCCTGCGGCTACAATCGATGGGCCTACGATTTGAAGAAAGTCCAAGACCGGGAGACCGGGAGCTCCTTCGTTCAGCACTGGACGGCGATAGGCTGATGATGATTCCCATTATAGAGAATAAACCACCACGCCATCCGTTTAACTTTGCCTTATACTTTGCTGAGTAAACTATAAAACCGTTTGTATTATTCAAATGTAAATAAATATATGTAAAATTTCAAAACATTTGTAACTTATTACATATTTTATATGTACACAATAAGAATTTCAATATAATTCTTCATTGAATAAAGTTAACATCGATAAATAATTTGTCACGCTGCTACATCGCCTAAGAAAAGCGGGGTATTTCGCAAATGCCGAGCCATCCAACGTCATTAAATATTTATTTTTAAATAAACTCATTTCTTTACATTTCTTGTCTCCTAATAAGTAATTAATTGGTTAAATTAATTGTTCGATCATTAAATGCTATGCTATGCTTTATGTATGTAACTATTGGAATTTCGGCTTTGCGTGGGGACATTCCGATGCATTTGTGGCGACTCCCACATACAATGAAACATAAACAAACTACAGCGCCATCTATCGAAGACACACCGAACTAAGGAGTAACTACTAAAAATGAGATTTGCTAATCCTGTATCGCGATATGAAGATTTCTCTCGCCGATTAGCATATTGGTCTCTTCACATCGGTATCGGTATCGGTATAGCACATCTTCCAAACATTAACCGTTGGGCCGCGGCCCGCCAGGCATGATCACCTCGCCTGGTCGGAGGATCCTCCCTTTGTGTTGGAGGGACATGACACCCGTTCCTCCACAGTGGTGACCCCGACGTGATTGGAAGCAGCCTTCAAAAGACGCAGTTCATCAGCAGCACCACTGTGTACACTCCTACAGCCATGAGCAGTAATCAAGTCTCAGTCGGCCAGCAACCTTGGCCACGACAGTGATACCACCACAGGGACAGCACACTACACCTACGGTTCAAAAAGAGCATATCTCTCCCGTCTACGCAGCAGCCAGCCACTATGCAGCAACCGCCCCGACTCACTGGGGACTTCACCGCACCGGGTACTGCTCGCCATCCCGACTCACTGGGGCTTACGGCACTCAGCTCCGACTCACTGGAATTAGCGGCACTCAGTTCCGACTTACTGGAACTACTCACTACTGGCACTGGCACGCTCCGCAACAGGGCATAAACAGCCGACTCATCAAGATTTCGACCTTCGGTCTTGAAGGTGAGTGAGGTGGCGACTCCCATATACAATGAAACAGAAACATACTACAGCGCCATCTCCATCCGTGTGGTGACGGATTAAGAATACAGATTGTCACCACCCCTATTCATCCCGTGGGCGTTGTAAGTCAACTAAGGGAAAAAACTACGCAGAACAACAACACTGCAGAGAAAAGGAAAACTTGACACAAACCCTATACCAACCCGTCTGGCCAGCGTGGTATAGTAGATCAAAACCTCCTTTCTAAGGAGAGGCTTATGTCCAGCAGTGGACCATTAAAGGCTGTTGATGACGGAGTAACGACTAAAAATGAGAATTGCTAATCCTGTATGGCGATATGAAGAATTCTCTCGCCGATTAGTATAATTTCCCAACATCAACTGTTGGGCCGAGGCCCACCAGGCATGATCACTTCGCTTGGTCAAAGGATCCTCATCCTCCTCCTCCTTTGTGTTGAAGGGACATGACACCCGTTCCTCCACACATTAATGTTCTGGATCTCTAAAGGATATTACAAATTTATTTAGAATAAGCGGTATATTGTCTAGTGTGAAAGTATAGGTATGTAGATATTCAAGTCTAAAGAATAAATATAATTAACCTGACCACGATTCTTATCATTATTCCTTATCTTTATTGAACTCGTATCGACACAACACAGACATAAAGTTCAATATGAAATAAATATTCGTATATAGTCCTGTAGTCATAAGATCACAGAAAATACGAGTAAACACAGATAAATCGGTTAAATATCGCAACTATGTAAACAACATGCAACATTGTAAAAACATTAACATATTACTCGTAATAAGCAGGTCCCTACGTAAATACTGAATGGTCAGACATGTCATATACAATACTATTGGAATTTTACCATTACTATGAAAATATCGCTCCAGCATTAAATGTCCGCCTAATTATTTGAATTGTTTCTTATTCAATGGACAGTAGACGATATCGCCTGTACTGTCTTGGTAAAGGAAATGTCTTATTTTAGCTATAAACAGTAATAGCAGCAGTAAGTTATGTTAGTTTCAGTTATGCTACTTTTGGGGACTATGAGTAGGCTTGTACTGCCGTCCTTTCACCCTATCAGACCTGAATTATTTTTGGACAATTGAGTGCAATCGTTTTAAATTACAAATTTAAGATATTTAAACTGCAATTTATTTCTGATTTTTGTGTCTTTAGTTGTGGTCATCAGGTCTGAAAGGACTAACTAAAAAGCCACTAACCCTCAAATAGCTGATATTTAGGTACTTTTGAACAGGAAGTAATAAATGATATGATGTATAAATGTTTCAGGTAACATTTATTCTTTACTGTATAGCTGTGTTATTTTTATTTTGTTGGTTAAGAAAATATCAAAGAAATATTATATGAATATTCTTCGTCATGTTTTTACACAGAATGGCCTTTTTAAGTGTGACCTGAACTTATAATAATAATAACCTACAACTAACCACCGACCGATGGGACCTTATATATATACCTTGGTCTCTGTGCCCGATACCGATGGGATACTATTTTTTATATTTTTAAATGTATTTTTTTTTTTGTTTTTGTATATAAATATATTTAAAAATGTAATTTATATGTATAAAGAATGAAATAAAGATAATAATAATATTCAACCACATACACACAACGCCATCTAGTCCCAAACTAAGCAGAGCTTGTACTATGGGTACTAGACAACTGATATAAATACATATATACTTTTTTTTGTAAATATATACATATTATACATAGAAACACCCAGACCAAATCAAACATCAAATGTTCATGCACACAAATGTTTGACTTGAGCGGGAATCGAACCCGCGACCTTTGGAATAGCAGTCCGTTACACAAACCACTACGCCACCCGGTTGTCAATAATGACTGTACTGATGATGTAGTGGTTTAAGCGGTCACCTAGCCGCTTTACTTCCGTCCGCAAGCAATACTTTGTGTGTTACAATATTGTAAGGTTCTCAAAATTAGATGTTTTCCGCACTAGACAACTTCCATATACTATAAGGTTTAATAAAAACACACGAAGCTTCTTAGATTTTACTGAAATATACATATACAGTCGATTCGGAACTGAACTATTTTAGGTACAGTCCATAACCATGTAACCACATATTTATTATAATACTGTTCAGGCAGAAAGGAAAATTATTTAAATGTTTTAAGACAACAACAACAACTAAAACATAACAACAGTAGTCCAGCAAATAAGGTATTTTTAAAGTTATGTCACTCCACAGTAAAAACCCTTAAGACCCTGTAAAAATGGCGACTTGAAAAAATATGCAAACACCCATTGCAGGTTCCGTTTACAGGGCAGTATCCAAGGAAGGATATATAGTAGTATAACAGAACAGTTAGCGGTATAAAGACCACACCCCGTTATTTATACACTGATGTTAAAATAAGTAGGATACAATGTTTGTACAGTAAACAAGTTGCTTACCAAGGAATTGATTTGAAATCAATATTTGGTGTGTAAACACATCATGTCAATTACAGTGAACTCAGTAATTACTAGGCGGAAACTTCTCGTCACAAAAAAATCTCGTCACAAAACTCCTAGATTTACTCATTGATTTGACATTTGGTCGGTATTCAGAACCTGATTTAAAAGTGTACCACTAAGGTGGTAAAGCGTACGTTATTCCTTATGAAACGTTATCGCTGTAGTTGTTTTTAAACAAATAAAATATTTTATAATAATAAGTCTATTTCGCCCATATTTGTTAGCATACATTTTACACTGAAAAACTATTGTTAGTAAGGTACACCATATGCACCTTTGAAAAGATCCGTGGAGTAAGGAATTTATTATGTAGGTACTTATTTCGAAAAACTATGGCGACTGACTCTTCTGTTGTAGGGACGGTTCATGATGTTGAGTTTCAATAGTTATGCCTTATGATTAGTCCAAATACACATATCACTAATCTTCTCGTTCTGTCTTCATTGTATTTTAGGTACGTCTGCATCACAAAAGGGACTTATGCAGTTCGTAATCAACAATGAACGAAGTACTAAGCATTAACTGCAGGATTATGCTTAAAACTCAAACATTGTTCATATATATATATAAATTTATGTTATCTGAGCTTCAGTGGCCCATACCTGCTTATCAAGTACTTGCATTAATTTGTTTCATGTGAACAGCGTACGGCGATAACATGTATCCAGCAAGCACAGTCAGCCGCTCATTATCTACCATTATCTGTGATGCCATCAAGACTCGACTCTGGACCAACCACACAAGTAAGAAATCTTGTTTTTTTTACGATGTCGGGGGCAAACGAACATGGGGACTCAGGGTTGTCAAGTGCTTTGTCGGCTTTTAAAGTGAGAGTATCTGCGCTCTTTTCTAAATTTTATGAATACTGCATGCGATAATTTGCCGCGATGAACAATGGTGGAAAGCTGCGGCTGGTATGAAACCACAATTTCTGTGAGCACTCTGTATTTAATATCTAATCAATATAAAACATTCGACAGATGACAAGTACCTGGGCTAGATGGCACTTTGAAGACTAGATACGTAACACTTAATCACCGATCAAACACTGTTCTTACTGATTTCAGTTAATGAAATTTACGATTACGATTATGCTCTGTACCTACAGTTTTTTTTTCGTAATTGCTGTGCCAGTCACTCAGTCTATGTGAAATTTAGTGTGTTCTATCTAGCACAACCAAAGTTTTATAGTTAATTGTAAATATCTTAAAATATTTAAGTAGGTATAACGTTTTTCGAATATGTGACTTTCATGAAACCATATTTTGCTCCCAATAATTACACCGCTCACTTTTAAAAACTATATGCATAGCCATTAAGTAAAATCAGAAATGTACCTACGCTTTAAACAAATTTGAAAACAGATAAGCAGAATTTAAAAAATCCCTGATTGGTGTTCTAAAACTCTTCTTTAACAACCCACTTTTTTGTTACTTTTCTTGGAAGTACACCGGTTTTATTATATATTTACATAAAAATGCTATCATTATATAGTAAACGATATGGTTTTCTTTTTCAGGAGACAACTTTAAGTTATCCACAGTACTTGAACACAGTGAGGCTCCAGATTTCATACGCTAAGGATATCCATGACACACTTGTCGCGGCCGCCCAGAATATCTCACCTACTGAATGAAGTCATAGGTTGTAGGATTTGTATTATTATTAACAAGTTTAAAATAAGAATATTTTGTATTAACTAGTTATTTTTTTCATTTAAAAAACTTCTCAGCGCGTATCTTTAATATCTCTGTGGCAAGGCTTGAAATAATGTTAAAAATGTAGTACTTACCGTTACCGCGGCAAAAGGTATCGTTGAAAAATAATAACGTTATAGCCTTTGTTGTTATTTATAGAATATTTTACCGGTAAATATATTTAACGTTAATACTATCTCACCGGTAGTTAGTAGTAGCGAAAATTAATCTAGAAGGAGGCTAGATAGGTTAACAAAGCTATAATAAGAAACCATTTATTTGTCAACTTGTTTGCTATAGTGTAACAAAAGACCTTGGAATAGTACTAACCTTTAAATAGGTAAGATTAAAAACAGGTAATTGGTAACGTTATGTTTAATGGTATAATTATATTTGTTACTCAAGAACCGCTACTACGTAGTATTAATATGACAGGTATTTCAAAGAAATACAGTTAAATAACGAGACTTTTAATGGGAATTGGTGTTGTTTTAAGCCCTGTCTCTGTGGAGACATTCTCCTTACCTAATAAAATACAGCGGAGTGGAGTAAGTAAGTTAATATTAAAAGTAGAACTGCACTGCAATTGGCCAAGATTTTAGTGCGGGCCACTCGCAACGCCGAACGCTGTCACCGTGACGACCAAGTCGATGTGAAATAAACTCTCACTAGGCCTCTGAAAAACTGCACGGTTCAAGTGGTCACCTCGCCGCTGAGTGTTGTTGGTTCGATCCCCATGGGACAACACTTTGTGTGAACCACAAATTGTTGATCTGAGTCTGTGTATTCTTTGTGTCCGTTTTATGAATAGTCTCCCGTGATAGTCTTTAAAAAAAAGTAAGTTCAGAGACCAGTAAATATAATATTATTAGTTAATAATTTCTAGTAATTAAAAATAAATGGGAATCTACATCTGCCGTATGGCACCTGTGCTGTAAATTATTTTTAGCCCTGGAGGAAATATTAGGGGTTTGTTTATTTCGGAAATATTGGGGGGTTTGCTAATACTAAGATTTTAGGATTTTTGTAAAATAGGTAGATTGTAAAGAGATAACAAAAAATCATATTTCTACAAAGTGTTGCAGAGGGCTGTAGTTATATTTAAAAAACGTAAAGTCATCTAACGGCTAAATATTGACATTTACGGTTGGAACACGACTCATATTCATCCCTACTCTTTTCCTAAAACTAAAATCAGCGTTCACTACTAAAACTGATTGTTTATTTACCGAAAAGTAGGTATTTCAAGCTAATGTTTAATAAAATCATAATATTTTGTGCAGGTTCACCGAAATGCATTCACCTATCTTCTCACACACTATTAACTTGCATTTACGTAAACCAGAACGAAATGAATAAGTCCAAATAAAATTGACATTTAGTATTATTAAATCTTTTTATTATTAAACTATACGGATATATGAACAGAAAACATTGTGACATAAACTTATTTTAACAGATCCTTTTGGTATTTAAATGATACGAGATTTGATGTCTGTTCCCTTTTAACAATATATAAAGAGACACTACTCAGCCTTAAAATAATAATAATTTACAGTTGGTCATACATATTAGAGATCATAAACAGTTGATTAGCATCCATATTGCACTGATTTTATTTTTTAATAGTTACAATGGCACTTTAGGGTCTAATCCCAATTAGCAGCACAAGTTTGCGTCACCAGCCACAAATACATTAATTAAATTCTTGCTTAAAGGATAGTATTGCAGCTCATTCTTTCTTTATACCAACTAAATAAGTTAAAAAAAGATGCACATATTCGTGATCAGGTCGCTCGTAACTGGGGTTCGATCCTTGTAGATATAATTTAACTTAAAATAATTTAAAACTATTGCATCACACGGTCATCTGGGGGTTCCAGGCACCCAACGTTGTATTAGGTATAAAAATATGAACGTGACTTAGAGCAGAAAACTTTCGCTAAAACTATCACAATAGGAAGAAATTAGAATACTATCAGTCTTTATATTAGAAGATACTAGGAACATTAGTTAACTCCCATCCATAGTATGTACCTGGAAAAAATAATAATTGATATTATCATGATATTCATCTTGTTAGAAATATGCTATTAGTTCAGTAGCCTTAGGTATATTTATAAAAAATTCTACGCTGGAATTATTAGTATTATTCAGCACATTGTGCTGTACTAGCAATAAATCATAAAAAACCTAGACTTTTAATTTGTCGCGTATGATATTGTTATCTTATTTAATACTAACTGATACCCGCGACTTGGTTCGCGTGGAATTTGAGTTGAATTGTTCATGAAAGCTCGGGTTAGATGCCCGGACCGCGCAAAATTTTATAGGATTGTTCTGAGTTAAAAGATAGCGTAATGCTATCTTTTTACTCCTTGTATAGACAGCTATCTGGTAGTAAAATATTATCAAAATTGGTTCAGCCGTTTTGAAGATTAGTCGAAACAACCAGACAGACAGACAGCCAAAAAATATTCAAAATTTCAATTGGTTTTTAGGCATAGGTATCATGCAAATAATATTATTTTAACATTACAAACATACACAACAATAGGCTCGTTCAAATCCCGTCTCTTAAGTTGTAGGCTTCCATGGGCGGTGATAGTCACTTACCATCATGTAGGGGGGGGATAGCACATACCTGTCTGCTATCCCCCCCCCCCCCTATGCCATAAAACTAAATGTTATACGTCTTCAGCAGTTTAATTCCCGTTAGTAATAAACAGTAATAAGTGAATATGATATACCTAAACAATTTTTAAATAAACTCAAAATTTTAAGCTTGTGTGTATGCTAGAAGTTTTTCAGAATTTTGGTGATCGGTGAATGAGTAACTGACGTTAGTAATTAATTACATCAGTTAATCATTCACCGATTCATTTCTTAATGAAACTGCAATAGTTGAAGTATATCGTTGAACTTAAAATACAGGTTTAAATAATTTTTTTTTTACTGAGTTTGGCAGGAAACAATGACAATGGCCAAACCGGTAATTGTGTAACTTCAAATCAATTTTCTTTAGTAAACGTCAAAAAAGTAACGAAATTGATAAATCTTTAATTAAATTAAATTTCTTAATGACTGTTAAAAACTTGTTTTTAACTTTGGGAAACTACACTTAAGTTCATGTATTTATATCTAAGCAGTCTGCTTACAAAAGGTACACTGCCTGTGTCAGTAATACTAATACCTAAACGAAATATCTATTACATGGTCTAGGAGGCAACAAAATAATAGCTCAACACATTAACCAACTGTTTATCTGTATCTGGTAGCTTCGAGTAAGTACATTTCCCTGACAACAGGCCTTGGGGGGTTCAAACAATAATGGAAAGGACACAATCGATATTATCTACAATAAAGAGAAATACAGTGCTCGGCTTCGAAGCGTGTTTGTGCATCGTGACCTCAGATAAACTTATTATGATGACATAAATAGTCTTAATGAGTGCTATGGAATAATACAGGTTCGCTTTGTGCTATTCCTGCCGAGTGCTTAAGTATGGTTGTTCATGTGACTTTAGAATTTTTATAAGGAGGTTTTTTACCGTCAGTGGGTGGATACTTTTAGCACCTTTACTCTTTTCGCTTTTTAGGTTACTTGGGCCTGCTACAATCGAATGTTGCGCTCCTTTAAACTACTTATTTTCATAAATTATAATAATATTTATTATTTATGAAAATAAGTAGTTTGGTTCCTTATTTTATAGGCATATTGTGTACTAGTCCTTACTTATCTTAAAGGTGACGATAAACTGTCAGAGGTTGGCATATAAATTCCAGCCAATAAATCATCAATCAGCTTAAAATAGTCAAACATAATCATTTGTGAGTTTTTGCTAAATAGCAAACATTTACATTGCCAGACACTGTAAATAATCATTGGTCTGGTCTGTTACGATATTTGGCTTAAATAGGCTTAGTAGCCTACTAACATACATTTGCATATTTTACCTATTACTTTATGACTGTGTGTGAGTAGTGAGTGCTTACCTTAGGGTAAATTATGATTGTTTACTACAATTATAATAAAGAATTAATTAATTAATTTTTTGGGGAATAATAGACAAATTTACACCATATTATAGGCCTTAGTAACAAAAAGTTGGGTAAAGTTTGACTATGAATAGACTATGTGTCAGGATTTGTGATCAGTTGAGTTGTTATTTTTTTTTGTAATAGAGGACAAATGAACAGACGGGTCATCTGATGGTGAGTGAATACCACCGCCCATTAACACCTGCAACAAGAGATTGTTGTGCGTCGCCACCTTTCATGTGTCCAACCCCAGAATTACGGGTGGTTTTTTCACTTGTGTGTCTATTGTTACCCGTTCTCCTTTACATTTTTAGACTACAGTTTTCAATTCAATACAATTTTATTTGCTATAATTATGGGTTATACAATAAACAGATGGAATAGATACAGATATTAATCAATTACTAATGTTTAAAGTCCAATGATGTAACTCAGTCTCCTCTGTGTCTAGCGATTAGTTGGCAATAAAATCATCAATGAGATTACTCTGAATATAGACTCCAAGCCGGGTTATAGACGGCAAGGTTATGAAACCTTGCACTGTTTGTATTACGTCGTTTGCAATTATTTCAATGCCGATTGCTTGAGTTATTGGGTTTACTTAGGTAAGAATATAGTTCATCGGTGTTGTAAGATTACGCTGACCTAGGTTCTAGTATCTTTATCAAGAAGTTACGATAAATGTTTATTACGTCAGTTACAGGTAAGTGTGTTAAATCCTGCCGTTTTCTAACTTTTCTTTGGCCAATTCGTAAGCGTTTGACAATGCCCCCTGGAACCCCTTGGAAACGGATTTGCATTGGGAATTTTTTTATTAAATTTATTTTGCTAACTATTTGACAAAACATAGCTTTTTGCTAATGTGTGTGTTGATCTGACTTAAGGGTCTGCATAAAAGACGATTTCAAACAATTTTGAATTTTTTATCAAATAAAGACATTTTTATAATTAATTATCTTTAGATGGCACACGGCTTAAGAAGAATACTACTCACATTAGCTGCATAACAACAGAGATAATTTTACTTTGATGCCTTAACGTTCTCTAAGCGACAAGTAAACATTGAATTAATTTATAAAGTAAGTATATAATTTAACAAAACTAATGAGACGTATGAGGCAGTCTAAGGTAAATAGCAAAAAGAAGCTTATAATACGATCGCAGTTAGCAACACACGATATGCGATCGTTCACCCTGTCGACATCTATGTATGTGCCATTATATAAAAAGCAACTCGATATTAGATGACAATAACAAGTTAATTTTTGCTCTCTGATATGTTATCAAATGTGGCTGTGTCTCCATGTAATTTATACGAGTACAATGTCATTCATTGCCATAGTATCCCTGGCCTGGTAGGCCAATGCGATAAAAAAAAGGCCAGACGGCAGGAAGTATATTTTTGTACCACAGACTTAAATATGGCATGCCGCATGCTCACTTCGATTTTGTCAATTAATTCGGATATCCATCGGGCACAGAAGATACCCCGTTAAATACCCCAGTTAAATTTAATTAAATTAATAATAATAAAATTTAAAGCTTAGTTTCAGAGGAAACCTTGAAATCACATGGTCCAGGTGCTCCCCAGGACCGGGTGATTTTTAGTGGAAATATCACATATCACATTTTAGTGGAAACTCTTGACTCCTGCGTCCCCAAGGAACCGGAGTTCCGAAAGATTTTTTACTATGTCAACAAAAAAAAAGCTAATTTCCAATTTCGAATTCTGATAGTTCTTTGGTCAATTTACAGATTTACTAGCTTTAAACCTACACTGCCCCCGATAGTTGAAAAGGTGCATCTAACATTTTGTCCGAATTTGAGTTGCCGGAATCAGGAAAAAAGTCGCATCTGCCAATATTTTTAATATTTTTCTGCCTTGCTTCATTGCAATTTTAGCACAACAAAATAAGGCGCTAGCATACTTTTTTACACATTATTGAAGTTGAAAAGACGAAATTGTCTAAAACTTAAATGAATAGTCGCATTTACATAAATACCCATATTCCTAACAATTTTTTTTTTAACTTCGGTAATCTGTAGGCGCATATGAAATTTTATTTCTAAGACGAAATTAATAAGACGCATGTTACCATTATTATATAAACCTCCTTTCTAAGGAGAGGCTTATGTCCAGCAGTGGACTATTAAAGGCTGTTGATGATGATAATGATGATGTAACCATTTACGCCTAAATGCACTGTTTGAAAACTGCTCTCACACAAAGAAAAAACGTCTATATCTGCTATTTGAAAGTACTTTAAATTTATTTTATTGCTTAATGTAATCATTAGAGGCTTTAAGCTTAAAATCTATTTTCAGGTTATTGAGTCAGATGAAGCAATTAAAAGAAAAGTATACGTATTTTTATTCTTAGGCCAGAATTATCTTCATAGTTTTGAATATAAAAATTCGCATATAACCAAATGCGCCCTTTTTTCTTAAAACATAAAGTACAGATCTACACACAAATACTCAGACTAAAAGTACTCCAAAAAGCGTTTGAGACTTAAATGGCGTATCTGGCTATTTGCGTCTATTCAATTAATAAAGGAGTTTTTTTATACTAAAATGAAACAGTTTTTTGTTGTAACGTAAAAATATTCATATTTTATTACTTGGTGGTTTGATATTTTAAGACTATTATCATGACTATAAAGTCCTATTTATATTTATAAAATTATTTTAATTTTGAGTAAATTTATTAAAAATTTTTTTAGTTACATGCGCCTTTTTAACTATCGGGGGCAGTAGGTACAGTGTCCTTTTGCGGGTCCGAACGGGACTCCGCCCAGCATACGCTGGAGGACTGCCCTGCATGGGAGTCCGAACGTCGAGTCCTGGTCGGACAGATCGGACGAAACTGTCACCGCCAGGATTAATCGCGGCAATGCAGGCGAGTGGCGAGGGATGGGCAGCCGCGGTCTCCTTCTGCGAGGACGTTATGCTCCAAAAGGAGGCCGCAGAGCGGGATCAGGAGAGGGCCGATCCCGCTCGAAGAAGGCGGCGAAGGGGACGTGGCAGAGGTCGCTAACTCCCCAATCGCCGCCTAAGGGTCGCTGCGGCCACATCTTGGGGCGATGTGACCGCTGTAAACGACCCGAGACAGATGACACTCCGGTGCGGCCGGGGGCTGTCGTCTAAAGCGGGACGCCGTTGCGCCTTTTACTCTGTAGGGCAGTGAGAGGCGCGATAGCGTCCTGCCCCAGGGTGACTACGATCACTCCGGGATGTGCCTCAGACATAAGGTACGGCAGGGAGGACTCCAGAAGTCACCGATGCGTTCCTGGAGCTCCTCCCGACTGCCGAGGTAGGCCGCCGCGGGGTTTAGTGGGTAGACCGGTTCTCCGGGAGTCCCACACACGCCCTACGTTTCCCCAACAGAGGGTATGGTGCGAAAAGCATTCCCCGCGTGAAAAAAAAAAAAAGGTACAGTGTCCTTAAGCGACTTTAGCGGGAAATTTCTATTGTGACTTCGAACAGGCAAGGTCGTTGCTCTAAAATTATTGTTTGATAGTGCGACTCCTCTTATAACAACGGTTACTGTATTACTATGTAGTATACTAGTTAACACCTTCAGATACGCTGAAATGCTTATATTTACAGGGGATCACATTGGTAGTTTCTTGGTTTGAGTTGGTATTATTATCCATCCGAGATTCATAATTTTATCCGACTGTACGGTACAAATAATACATTTAATAATATTTGAACTTATTATCTGCATAGTCGATGGCTGATCTTAAACTGACCAGAGTTTATCAGTAGTTGTTTGTTATCTTTAACGTCTGAACAGAAACATTTTATAAGGTAGTAAAATGTTTATCATAATCATAAGATCGTATGTATTCATCTATTAGTAATGTCACCTGGCTTAGAAATTTGAACACAAACGAAGTTATTATTATTACTTGATAGTTCTTACCAACGCAGCGTATGCGGTATTAAATTACAGCGAATTGATTTGATAAAGCTTTATATCGATTACCATGAAAATCACCCTGATTTTGCTGTCACTATAGTACTGACTTTTCTATCAGAGTTATAGCACTAAGTACGATTTAAATTATGTTAATATAGTTGTTTTTATTGGATCGCAAAAGCCATTAATAAGTTTATATTTCTACAATAAGATTGTGACTTGAATCAGTTTTGTTAACTTAATAAGGATTGAGATCTGTAAATGTTCAGATGTCATCTGGATAGAGTTGACATTTAAATAAAGATATTTCTTTTTTTAACCCGCTTTAATAAAACATTTTTGTATACATATAATACAATTATAAACATTTGACTCAAATATCTAAAAAAAGAATGCCGAGATAAACATGTACCGAATGTTTGACACACATTTTTATAAGTATTTAAATAATGTATCGATTATTTAAAAATCTCTATATACCTAATATAAGTACAGTGCATTGTATAGTAATTTATATATGCGATATCTGTTGCTAACATTTTTTACTATAGCGGTTTAAAAAAAATGTTAGGTTACGTTAGTCGAACTCATACGCTAGTATAGAAGTTTATGGTCGTGGTCGTACCATACTTCCTTAGGCGGAGCTCAATGACAGCTTGCCACTGAGCTTATCCACGTAATTAACGACAATGTTTTAAAATAAGCGAATGATTAATCAATAATCCTATTTATATTATAAATAATAAAATTAATGAATAATCAATGATTAATAACTATAACGATAATTTAATGATTATGAAATGAGAGCTGACTAAATTTAAAGAAACTATAAACTGACTTACGTCATGTTCACCCGAAGACCTGTTGCGCTGCATAAGTGATGTGTAAGTAGCCGTCGTGATGGCGGAACTGTTCGTACGCCTGCGCCATCGTCATGCTATGGCTTACTAGCACATTGTCATTTACCAACAAGTATAAAGCCTGAAGCAAAAACTCATGTTATAAGCGAAGAACAAACTGAAATAATCGACGACTAGATGGCGTAGTGGTTTGTGTAACGGACTGCTATTCCAAAGGTCGCGGGTTCGATCCCCGCTCAAGTCAAACATTTGTGTGCATGAACATTTGATGTTTGATTTGGTCTGGGTGTTTCTATGTATAATATGTATGTATTTACAAAAAAAAAAAGTATATATGTATTCATATCAGTTGTCTAGTACCCATAGTACAAGCTCTGCTTAGTTTGGGACTAGTTGGCGTTGTGTGTATGTGGTAGAATATTATTATTATTATTATTATTATTATTAATTAAAAAACGCATTAAATGGAATAAATTGGTCTTATCTTTGCACTTAATAAGTTCTTTGGAAATGTTTTTTTATGGTGTAAGTAGGTAAAGGTATCACTCCAGTCGAGCCGGCTCCTTCGGGCCGAAGCATGGTTCTCCTACCGTAATGTAAATGTAATAATAATAATATCAACAGTACACAATAATATCTATTCAATATCAACAGAAAGGAAGACTGACCTGTGTATCTCGCAGTTTCATTTTTGTCCGTATAATGTAAAGGAACTGGGACATTGTAAGCTCTTGCGGAACTAAAAATTTATTTCTAGCCAATGTCGGCACCTCTCTTTCTCTCGCAAATCGCTCCACGTATAACTAAAACAAAAAATATAAGACGTGTACAATTATTAATTTACTACAGACTTGGTAATTCGATTCGGTTCCCTTACAGCGATCTCGGGCATTAAGCTTCAGCATGATTTTTGTTTTTCAAAAAGTAAGTAAGTACACAAATGTAAGATGATAGATATTTACCGGTACTTTGTTAGGAAATCTATGTCTTATTGCTTGAACCTCCTGATTGGACACTTTTACGTTCATATCTGTAAAAGTACAAATTAGTAATGTTACAACAATTTTTAACACACAAAAGATGATTTGTTCATGTATCGCGAGAATACTGTGAGACATGTCGTTGTAAGCAACTTAGTTGAATAAGGCTGACATTGATCAGGGATAACGGCTATGCAAGTAGGTAAAATTCAAAAGATAAATAAACGTAGTTTTGTGTCATTACATTTTTGTGTGGCAACCTCTAAATGCGTCTGGGAACCTCAAGTTTTAGGCAAAACGACTAGTTTAAGTCGGAGTAGAATTAAATCCAAGCAGTGTCTCCGAGATGAGACCTAGTGACAATAAGACTAACTGAACTGGAAGCTAAACCAGGGGGATTCAGCAATAATAGCTGCCACGATGATTTGTATGCTGGTTTTCTACCTTTTCAGCACTTAACTACTTTCTAGTTATTTACAGCAACATCTAGATGAATATCGAATACAGTCGATATAGAATATAATCGATATGTCTAACCAACAGATTACCCCCTCTAACCCAATCACTGATTACCAAATTGTATTAAACTTTAAATTGGTAACCATTTTCAAAACAGAAATGCCACACTTACACTTGTATAATGTAAAGAGCTATTAAAAATCAGAAAAATGTGCTCACCATCCTTATAACCAAAGACTTCTTGTGAAGCATAGGTGATGTATAGAAACCCGTCTTCATCTCCATAATTTTCGTAAGCTTGGACCATTGTCAAACTCATGCTCAGCATTGATTTATTGTTTATTATCAAGTAGAGAGCCTGTAAAGAATATACGTTATAAAATACAGGTACTTGAATAGAAAAAAAACACTCACAGTTCTAAATGTTTCTGTAACTTTAATATTTTTTTTATATGTATTATTATGACTTTGTTAAATATTGTAAAAAATAAACTACATTTTGGTACAAGATTCAACAACAATACATTAAAAAACAGAGATAATTACACAAATATATTCACGCAAAAGAATAGAGGAGATATAAATGTGCGACTTGTATTGCTAGATTCTTTAGTAAGTGTTTTTGCTAATACCTAATTATTGCAAATATTATTCAATTACTATATTCCTTATCATCACAGCTAATTGAATTATATCGAATGGCACATCATAATTTTACTTGGCGATAGCTTTAGTTACAGACATAGATAGAACTGGAATTACTTAGTATTGATTAGATTTATAGGTTGTCACTACACGGGACAAATATTTACTTATTGACATAATCCAGACTCGACGTGTGTAAGATATGTATATTAAATTCGAAGTATACTCACTTGGGTTGGTTTTATTTTTATCCTATTTCGTATTATAACTAAAAACTGTGACATGGTAATATCTTCAGGAACTAAAAATTTTGATTTGTCCAGTGTCGGAAGATTTCTTTCTTTGTAATATCTCTCGACTATTAACTGCAACAAAATGGTCATCTACACAATTAATCTTTTTCTGCTAAATTACTAAACATGGGAAATGGATTTTTAAGTCTTTATTTTTCATGAAAACACATAAATGATGGTTTAAAGGGGCATTAGATACTTAATGGGGAATTGAATATGAATTTTCTGTTACAATGATCTGACTATTTTCTGATATTTGTATATAATGGTTGGCATTCGTGATTAAGACATAACAATATACTTATATTAAACCTTATTATATTATGAATTTGGTGCCACGGTTTGCCCCCCTCTCCCCTTCTAGATCCGGGGCTGGTGATTGGTAAATCACAATTTTATATATTTAGTTACTTTTTAAGCTTCATTTTAACAATCGTCAGAAGTTCATATTTAATGTAATACAGTATTACAAAACTTACGGGTATTTTATTAGGAAACTTGCTCTTTATCGCCATCACTTCTTCCTTTCTGCTAACTGCAACAAAGAAAATAAGTAAGTATTATCTTTACTCAACTATAAAACTCTACCGACAGACATATGTCAATGCTACCCATGATGGAAGTTCGCAGGTCAATATAACAATATAGGTCCATACCCCATTTATCAGAAATACATTGTACATTCATTAAGTAGGTGCATAGTAACATACGAGACTTTTTGTTTCTACAATTTGTAATTTTATTGTAAACTTAGCGTAAACAAACAAAGATATTGTTATCAAATTGTCAACATTTTACGGCTGATTTCGTCTATACCGAATGTAAAGGCAGACGTCATAGCAATATACATAATCTCCATGGCTCCTACTTGTTTCCAATTTTGATGCATTAGACATGATAGGAGCTTTCGGTTTTGATTTTTGTTATGGTATAGGGAACGAGCAGACGGGCAGAGGCGGCCTTTGAGATTGGCGTGCAGGGCAACACCACTGCACGCCAACCTCAAAGTTTCGCCTTGCGCAATAACAAGGATTGCGCGTATTTCATTTCGCCTGTCATTTTGACAGGCTTTCACTGTCGACTGTCGTCGGCTTTGGCTTTTATGTTCCAGCAGCTATGTTGCGTTGACTTGTGGTTTCAAGTATTCTCATTAAAACTAATTCCACAAAAACAAAGACCTCGCAATGACTACACGCCGGGGCCTCGCAATGAACTAACCGCCCGGAGCCTCGCAATGATCTACCCGTCTGGGGCTTTGAAATGGCTAAGGCCGTCACTGCAGATGGGTTACTAGATGGTAAGTGACACCTATGACTCAAGAGTCCCAAGTGCGCTGCCACCCTTCGAGTCCCATCCCCCATAATGCACTCTGCACGGATGACGTTGTAGTTTAAGCGGTAGCCACGCCGCTTCCTACTACGTTAAGTGTCGTGGGTTCGAGCCCCACATGGGACGACACTTTGTGAGATCCATAAATTATCGTCCTGAGTCTGGGTGTTCTTTGTGTCCGTTTTATGTACGTTTGTAAAGTCCCCCATGAGACAGGATATATTCCTAGTAAGGGAGATGTTTAAAAAAAAAAACACCCAAAGATTTACATGCCGCCTATGTACACATAAGTTTGCACTGAATATATACCTATGCATGTATCACAATTTTGAAATCTTAGAAATATATTTCTGGACCGGACAATTCGGACCAGACATCTGACACACAACGCCATCTAGTTTCAATCTTAGCAGAGCTTGTACTATGATAACTAAATCGACTGATAGAATACTTATATAATCTTGTTTGGTAAATACATACATATTTTACATAGTAAACACCCAAACTCCGAAACAAATATATGCAGATCATACAAACATTTGGTCTAACCAGGGAAACTAACCGGAGACTTCAGCACAGCAGTCGCATACGCTGCCACTGCACCACCGAGGCAATTAGAGATAACCCTAATTAGATAAAATCGTGTCAGTCGGTTAAAATTGCCTGGCCATAGTATGCCTATATTTATATGTAGTTTATATCATGTTAATGATTATTTTTCTATCATAGTTGCAATACCGGCTTAATACGAGTGAAGCTGTGAAATGAATGGCAAAATATACAAAAAGCTTATCCCAAATTGTAAGCCTATAGCACAAGTACTTGAGGTAATGAAATCTGTGCTCCAGAGTCCAGACATCCAGACACAAATGGTTCCAGTTTTGTTTTTCGAAAACCAGATTCGAGAGGAATTCGTAGCTAAGAGCTAGGAGCTCCGAAGAGTCCGAAACCTAACCCGGGATAGTAGTTTTTGCTTTCCAGGTCAACCAAAACTAGTCACCAGTACCATAGAGGTCAGCACTTAAGGCATTAACTAACGGCAAAATATTCAACCGGACGTTCGTGTTTACTTTATTCACCTTGCCGCGTATTTCACGCAGTTAAACGCAAGTGTTTTTTAGTTCGAACTATTTTCTATGGATTTCTGTTTCGGACTTTTTTCATTTCTTCAATTTTAATAAGAATCTGGTATACATGCCAAGTTTAATCTAAAATTTAAAAATAGTGCTACTGTAGTATATACATATACTACTGTAGCACTATTCTTAAATTTATAGTACCTAGATATCCACAATATTAATTGAAAAGGTTTAAAAAAACACATTTGAAAACCAACTGGTATTTATGTAATAATTTGAATAAGATAATATCCTAAAATTATTATGTGTATGATAGCGGTCACGTATTTGTCCCTCCTAAATTAGATCAGTGTAATTACGCAATTAAAACTAACTGATAACAGAACAAACAGAAATGAGTTCACACAAAATCTAGTGTTCGTGGTCAATGAACTTCAAACGTGGTCTCTATTCACAGTTCGTCCTTAATTGTATGTGTTGCGCTAGGTCAAATCATCTTCTGAGGGCCGAGTGCAGGTTTATTTCAAATCGGCTCGCTCTCGACGGCGAGCGCGTTTAGCGTTGCGATTGGTGGGATTTCAGTAGATGTGAAATAAACTAGCACTTGGGCCTCAGAGGGCCTATGTATGGTAGTACAAACAAATTGTAGTACAAACTATGTTTAGTCTTGATTACAGGTAGCATTCAGTAATACGTATCCCAGAAGTCCCAGAACATTGTTAAATTAATTGATTAATAAAAATACACGTAACTAATCTTGCATTTGGAATAGGCAGCACTTGCTTTTCGCCTATGAGTTTCTCTTCCACTACTCTCCTTTAAATTTTTACTATAATATCTCACAAAAAAGAGTTTTGCAGTGTGGTTAAGGTTGGTGTTATCACTTAGATACTAAAATAGTGGTAATGATAGTTTGTAAACAATGTGTTCCTTTTACTAGTAGCGTAGTGACCGTTTGTTTAGGTATCCACTTATGTGTTGTGAACCTTATGTATATACCTAAGGTTTTAAAGTTAAGTGTACAACTGTTTATGCACTCTTATTTGAGTAGATACGTATTTATCTTTTAAATTGTATAAAACTAAATGCACGACACACAATTTTCCTATTGGTTAGATTAAATTAGCACACGTTTAGGTTGAGTGTGAACTGTCCAGACGAATTCGTCAATTTTCATTTCTGTTTATTTTCAGTATTTGTAAGAAACGTTACTAAATACTAATTATTACTAAATTTGTATTAATCTTATTATATAAATATTCTTATAGTATAGCGACCGGCGTGGTGTGCTCCTGGGGTGTTTTACGCCATATATAGGTATATGGCGTGAAACACCCTCGGAGCACACAACTGTAAAAAAATCGTAATAATTTCATTCAGTATGCCGCGTACCGATTGAAATTTGACAAAATTGGCAAATTAACATCCACACGAACAGTTTTTATTCGTTTTGACTGGAAATGTTCAAGACATGCAGTCCTGAAAATCTTGAATGTGAATACTGTGTCGTGTGGAAGGGGTTTTATTTGTACATGGGGCATACTGAAAGTCTCTGGATCGGGCCACTTAAAATAAAAGAATAAAAAAACAATTATGGAATTCGAAATTTAACTCTTTGGGAACATATTACTTTTCAATTTGCGAGACTACCATTTGTTTTTCATTGTAACGTCCTTTCGAAAATTGTGTCCTATCAAAATGAATTTAACTCGTGATCATTTTGGTTCAATGATCTTTTATGATTTTCGTTGCGGCTAAGTCAACAAGAGAGTTGCCAGAGACTTCAACTCCCATTTGGTGATAAAGCACCATGTCACAGCTCTGTGTATGAAGAATTTAGACGTGGTTTGGAGAATTTAGACGTGGACGTGATCATCTCCATGAAGAGGTACGTGAAGATCGGCCGGCGACTGCGGTTAGGGACTCTAATATTGACACCGTACGACAACTTATTGAAACTGACCAAAAATTACTTGATAGCAAATTCGTGCTTCGTTAGGCATTGGAATGAGCCAAGTGTAAAACATTTTACATATGCATCTGAAGGTTCGGAAGCTTTGCACTCGATAGATACCGCACGACTTACGTTTTACAGTAATTTAAGACGGGTCCAACTGCTTTGTACAGTGGTTACAGAAAATGCAAAAATGCATTTATTGCGAGGGAATATACTTTGAAATCCAATAAATGTATCGTAAGTCTTATATCTAGTTTTATTTATCAGAATCCAGAAACTTTGAGACTAAGTACAAGTCTTAACGAGAAACGTTATCGTTAGTAAATATCGTTTAAGGAAACAGAAATAAATGTTGTTTTGAGATATTTCTAAAGGATCTATTTGTCTGGGGAAGTAGATAGGAAGAACTTGCAGAACTTTGTGCTTGAACTAAATTACTAGCATAATAGTAAACGAAGAGCTAAGGTAACATTACTCAAGGTACCTACTAACTATTTGTATACAAAACAGTTAAGCTCATTTTAAATTTGACACATGTTTACAAACTCGAAATGTTGATTTTTTTACTGTTATTATTTTATTAAAGAGTATGTTAGAGATTAGATATTTTGATTCTTATACTCATAAAGAGTTAATATAAAATATGATAACTTAAAATATAAAGTTGTAAGGTCTAAAACTTACTTCTAAGATTTGTAGATGAGAAAGCGTTATAAATTAATTAGAAGTCTATATGTAATTAAAATTAACACTTACTGAATGGCTTTTTAGATTTAAAGCACTGTTTCACATTATGATTCACATCGTGTTTTATCAAAGTTGTTATAAAGTTCAACTCCATTTTGAAGTTACCAAGCGCACGGCAACTGATCGAATTAGTCTCGCGTTCGGCCATGCGCTCTGTGTGATGTTCGGAAAGCAACTAAACAAATGTAAATATAATCGACACTTTTATCATTGTAGCCGAGTGGGTAAATAACCACCACTAATCAGCCCCTTTTATTTTATACCGATCAGTGCTGCACTTGTTTTGGAACTATGATGATTACGGACGGGATGTCACGTTCACATTGCAACTAAGTACGTGGGATTTAGGTGTGTACTCATTAACCCATTATTCTATTTCTACCCTTCGATTCCAATTAAGTTTATTATTGGGAGAAACAGGAGGTAATTATGCTAGCTACTATTAACACCGAAACAAATTTATAGAAATTGTATTTTATTTTATTTTTTGTGTCTTTTGTAGCCAGACGTACTAACACATTTCAGGCTTAGAGACTAAAGTATTTATTTCTTAAGCCTCAGGTTTATCAACTTTTTTTTTTTTTTTTTTGTATTAATAACCTTAGACACGGTTAGTGTCTAATAATTACTTAGGAATTTAAGCCGTTAACAGCTATTACGAACAGGCAGCGTTTTCGCACTGCCCCATTTTTAAACAGTGATCCTATGAACGGGCGAAAGCCATGTTGGCGATATTTACCTTTTAAGCTCGTTAATTCCCGAATAATTCATGTATACGAAGGCAAAAGGTAGAGGATGGATAGAGGGCTCGTGGCTAAGTGCAAAGTTAAGCAATTCTATCCAGGCCAGTATAGACTGGCCTGAACCTAAGAATGAAATTCTTAACACATTGAGACTTCTCCTCGCAAAGCCGTGTTAAGCTGTCGGTCCCGGTTGCCATACGAACATCTGTGGCAATTGTTTCGGGTAGTTTGAGCCCCTAAAAAGTCCGACAACAGTCTTTCTACAGAACTTCAATATCGGGTGTATTTACAAGTATATATATATATATATTAAATGTGGAGGTCTGAAGGCAGTGAGCGACTGACACGTAAAAAAAATCGTAGTATCGTAGTAGACTTAAAGCCGACCCCAACCTAGTTTGTGACAAAAGGCTCGGAGGAGGAAGAGGATGGAACCGCCCCATGAGAATTAGTTCAAAGCCTTATTGTTCGATATTGGTATTCGGTCTTACACAGATGACCAGATATTTTATTCTGTCTAATCTAGACGCTAGAGACGTCCTGTTGTCCTTAGAGAGAAGTGGGAACACAAAACAAAGAATGTTTCTTCCGAATATCAAAGGGTTTCATTCCGACAGCACATAGCCCGAACCGAAAGGACCGAAACCTTTTAAATGAAATAGGTTTATATTTTCATCAACAAAGAGTTTTGTCCTTCCTGAGCAAGTTCATTTTAACTTTTTAGCTCAATTAGCTCCATTCCGCCGGAATATTTGTTGGTGGGAATACAAGTATGCAGTTTGCTTGCGAGTTAAACGAAGTCGGGTCCGTGCCGCCCGCGGTGGCAACCAGGCTTATTACTTAGCGAGGGTCATCCTTAGGATTCTCTTAAGGATTACTAATGTTACTACAATATTTATTTATTTATTTATTTATACTTCCTGCAAATACATTGCATAAGGCGGACTTAATGCCATAGGCATTTTCTTCCAGTCAACCTTGGGGTGATGCAGAGATTTGTGTATGGCAGGTATATAATGAGGTAAATTATTTAAATTGTAGTCGGTTGCAAGATGGATACATATATAAATGCAAATATCATTTATACGTACTATATAATACTATAAATATAAAAAAAAAACATAAACATACACACATACATTCATACATACATGCCTGCGTTGATGAACACACAAGGGGTTATTTTGATGACTCCGTCAACAAGTCTCCATAAAGCTTGCGTATGTAATATACTTGTATGATGTAGTACAATATACTTAAATGTAAACAATTTTATTTATTTAGCCAATTGTTGAATTGGGTGTCTAGGTGATTACTAGTAGGACCTCTCCTTCTGCGAGCAAGTTATGCTTTTGCTGGAGGTCGCAGAACGACTTCCGTCCTCCATAAGCGCAGGCCTGGGGGTGACAGGTGAGGCCATCTGTCACCCGAGCAGAAGCAGGCCGGTTTGACGGCGAGCGCGTTATGAAGCGCGCGCGCCCTTCCGGGAGCACAGAGTGAACATGGAGGTTCCCACACAGGGGGGATCGTCTACCCGCCGTAGATGGCTCGAGGTACGTCGGGGCACCAGGGATTTCCTTTCTACTGTACAGTTCCCCGGCTACTGGTACCCGAGACGGCGTGCGGTTATGGTCGGTTCAAGTCCGACATAATCACCCCACCGGTATTGATATCCGAAAGGAATTTCCGCACAGGAAAAAAAAAGGTGATTAGGACCTACATAGTGATTAGTCAAAGATTAGTATTCTTTGACTAATCACTTTGCACTGACAAAGATTTAGGTTACCTATGTGATATTTAGAAATTGTACCTATTGTATATTGTATGGCCTGCGCATGCGCAAACGTACATCGCGCCTTCGGCAATTGACTGATTACGTTTTATTCGTTTGTTGCAATAACTATTGTATTTTATGAAATTCTAATGACAGTGCAGTTAGTTTCGAGTAGGGTGCAGTTTTTCCACTGTGCAAAAAGCACGAAATTCGAAGTATTTCAAGTGATATAGACGGTGTAGCAGGTAGTATCTTTATTTATTTTTTACTCGTAAACTAAGAGGGTGCTGTTTTAATAATAAATAATTTTGGAAAGTGCTATTTAAGATACGTCGATTGGTATTTTTTTTATATCTTAAATTTACAGGCTGGGGTCTATAACTTGAGACCAGAACGCGGTGACGTCACAGACACGCGTTTGTACAGAGTGCACAAAAAGTAGCACTACAAGCTTCCGCATGCGAGTTCGCCTATGCAAATTTTTAAAGTAAAATAATATAGATAAAGGGTTGTACTCAAAACAACGACACTTTATATTAATCATTTATTATCATACTGAGGATAAAAAAAAATCAATATTGTTTGCGTGAATTATACTACTACGCTACGACAACGTCTACGAAAGAGTAGTAATAAAATTCAATGTATTTAATTCAGAATTGTAACTAATTATGTAATATAAGTATATGTGTATCTATATCCGAAAAGATTAACAACAAAATGTAACAGACAGTCTAATGACAATACGTTAACAAGATTAACAACAAAATATAATAGAAAGTCTAAGAACAAAGCGATAACAAGATTAACAACAAAATGTAACAGGAAATCTGATAACAATAGGAATGCGACGAGACCAATATGTTAGAAAAAAAGGCGTTACATATACAGTACAACGTGGGCGCTGTAAGGGCAGTGACAGGGGAAACAGGCGGGGAATCGCATTCCACGCAAGTCTCAACTTTTCGCGCACGAATTATACAATATTACATAAGTATAGACACACCTACAAAATAAATAACAGTATAATGGAAAAATATGTCTGTCAACAACTTCTTACAACTTATGCTCTTCACATAACCAAGACACAGCCAGTGCGTTTTCATACCTAGTGGCGCTCACTGGCTCTGCTCGTGGTGCTCCAAGATTTATTTTTTAATGTTTATTTACACTGGTGTTATCGCTTTGCTACGTCGATGCTAACAGATATACGCCTTATGTAAGAATGTCGGATTATGATTATACCAATAAACGATGACCTACAAAGTGCCATTAAAACATCTCCACTATTATTTTTCATCACTTAAATAAATAATGACGTTGAATATCGAACTGACTACATCTGCTAGCTAAGTGCTTACTTCATATATACCGGACACAACAGGCAAGAAGGAGACACAGACTTATTCAGCCAAAGAAAAACTTTCGAGTTTTTATCTTAAATATGCAACGAAATCAGTATTAACTATCTTCAAAAATAAGGATTTCAGATTTAGTCATTAAAATACGTTCAATCTTTAAGTTCAATAAATTATTTATTAGCAGCTTTTAAAAGTAGCCTCTATCCTTTCTCAAAAAAAAACAAACTATCTCCATACCAAATAGGTTCAGCGGTTATTGATTCCCCATACAAACTGCCACCCCCTTTTATCGTATGTCCTTTCCCGGGACTCAAACCATCTCTGTACCGAATGTCATCTAAATCGGTTCAGCCGTTTAAGCGTGAAGAGACAAGAGACAGACCTATAGACCGACAGACAGATACACTTTCGTATTTGTAATTGATAGATAGATAGAAAAGTCTTTATTTGTGCACCTTTCATAAAATTTGTATGGATGAATTTAAATATAGTGTATTTACTAAATATAAATAGTGAACGCACTTAATATGACAGTAACTGACTTTTTCGATGACAAAACGTTTCTTTATAAGTAAGGAAGTAATCATTTTTAAAATTTAACAAACCAAAATCAATTATTTTTAAAAACACAACAAAGCCATTCTGAATTTCGAAGTTTCTAATATGTTAATTACATGGATATTTTTTGTACTTACATTACATTGAACTGCATATATTTTTTTTGGAATCATCGTAGAACGAAACGTTGTAGGTTACTGAAGAACTTTGTAAATTGCGATTGAAAATGAGTTACTGAATTTCAGTCGTTAATGTTCTTACAAAAATATGTTAATACTTAGTTATAATCACATTGAGTTGGTGTAAAAACATTGTGTGTTTTAGGTAACAGTTGCTCGTCGTGCATTTTGTATAGTTTTATTCATAAAAAAATAATTACTGCATAGATGGACTTTAGAATCGATAACCAAATTCTTTCAAATATTTAATAATTATATTTATTCACAAGTTCGTTGCTCTCAAAATGTTGTTGTAGTAAGGTTGTGCGGTGTTTTAATAGAGTTGTAATCATGCTTTTCACACCAATATACATCGCAATGACGTTCATAAAAACCTGGCGAATTCGCTCATTTAGAGCTCGCCTTCTTGAGTTTTTAAGTGGTAACACGAGTGTAGCTTTCTGTAAAGTTCCTGAAAATGCTGCAGGTAAGGGTTCTACAGCTTAGGTATATATATTGTCTCATCGTTGTGTACAATATATAGATATAGCAACTAAAAGCCTACTTCATTTAAATCTAATCTTTATCTTTTGATGTCCCTAACATTGTGGCGCAGGCCGCTTTGAGTTGGTGCAGTCTCATGTCTTGTTTCCACATATGAGACTTGTGGTACTCCTAACCATAGCTCTTTCTTACTGTTCCTTTTTCGTATCCTGATTTCCCTTCTTTCTTTGTGCTGTATGACAACAACTAAATTCCTGAAATCTTAGCAGGTGGGTTATAAGAAAATCCAGTCAAAACCTTATAGTAAAGTTTCACATGTGCTGATCCGAAATTAAATCAGGCAAAAGGCAGAAAATGATTATATTGCATTCAAATCTCAATTGATGTTACAATAATAATGGCCGGATGGCGTAGTGGTTGGTTAGTGTAACCGACTGCTATGCCGGTCAGGGGTTTGATTCCCATTCAAGTCAAACATTTGTGTGCATGAACATATGATGTTTGATATGGTCTGGGTGTTTCTATGTATACTATGTTACGTACATAGTATATATATGACAAATAGTGTAAAACATATTTATATCAGTTCTCTAATACCCACATTACAAGCTCACCTTGGGAGTAGATAGTTGTGTGGATGTAATAGATTATTATTGCGATTAATCTCAATCTTAACAATGATTGCAGAAACTCCAACATTAAGTTCTAAGTTATGTACAAATCCAAAGAATGCTTATCTATGTGATCTCCTCGATTATACAAATACTACAAGAATCTGTAGTATGAAGCCAACACAATGCATTGAAATTACTGACTGGGTGTCATGTGCTGGTGGGCTACCACTTGGCTCCTGTGAACAGTCACCCATCACAGACTTAGATGTTGATATACTCTTTGAGTGTGAAATGGATCCTCATGAAGACGCTGGTCAAGACATTATAACTGTAAGTTATACTTTTTCAAATTAGATTTAAAATTAAAAATCATGATGAAGTTATGAACTCTACATTAATTATTATAGAAGCCATTTCAATTTTGATCTATATTTTCTTAAGTATGAAATTTATTGTTCAAACACCATATCTAGAGTTTGACTAAAAGATCTTAAAATTTTCTATGTGTAAATCATAAAATTGCAACACATATATATGATATTTATTTTAAATGATTACCTTAAATAGCATATATATATAGCTTAAATTTTATGAAATAATCATATTGAATTTTTATATATTTTATAAATTATATATCAATAAGTAGAGTGTGTGTTTATTAATACAAAGCATTACTATTGTGCATAGTTATGCCAATAGAATATATTTTGTCTCAGAAAAAAATTGTACTGTCATATACAGTAATATAGAGCTTTCCGAAAAGTCAAAGTTCAAATAATATTAATAAACTTTATTAATTCTAAACATTCTTTTTTCAAACAAAGGGTCTCCTTCTAAGTATTAAATACTTGTGAAAGGAGATGTCATTTTCAATAATGGCAAGAATACAAATAAATGTTAGCAATTGAAAAATACATACATTAATTATATATAACCACAATACAATAGTAGGCCAAAACCTCCTTTCTAAGGGAAGGCCTATGTCCAGCAGTGGACTAGTAAAGGCTGTTGATGACTGATGATTACAACAACAACCTTTCAACAACATCGTAATCTAAGGTGATAAGCCATTCCATCAATGTCTCTTTTACATTTCATTGATGTTTCCTATTGTTACAGCTTGAGTCAATGGGACAACCTATAGCCTGGAAGGCAGGCTCACACCTAGCCATAGTTTTAAAGACTAATATTGAGCATCTTAGTATGATTGGTTTCAACTTTGTTGGTGGAGAATTTGTTATTGATCATAACCTACCAGTTGTTAGAATACAAAGTTAGTAAAATCCTACTATTTTTATTTTAACACAAGTTACTCTCTGGACTTTTTAAATTATTGTTTGATTTTTATTTTATGACAAAATCTTACAGAAAGACTGTACACTGTACATATAATGTTACAGTGCAGATGGTGACATATGTATTTTAATACAGTATGATGCAATCCTCTCTTTCACTTTTAAATTTTTTATTAACTAACTCTTGGATTATTTTCTCTCTTTTAGTTAATTGTAAATTAAATTTCTGCAATCCTGTTTCATCATATATATTATAAAACGTAAAACTAAATTAAATCAGATACTTATGTAGTATGCAATTTTCTTGTCATCAACATGCCATGGTGTTAAACATTTTCACTATCTTTTAGCCGTGCAACTACAAGGTGAACCAAATAAGGCTTCAGATCCGTCAATGAGGAGTTTACGAAGTGACATCCAATACAATCTCAAACATTCCACAAGTGATTTCCAATGGCCAGTTCATGCTGCCCTACTTAGAAAGCTTTCCAAGGTTGTAGACATTAAATCAGACAACAAGCAACCTGTACATATGAATGGCAGCAGCGATTTAGTGCTTGAAGTACCACAACCTGTCAAAAGACCTGTAACATTGGCTGATGTCAGTGTTAACACAGGCAAGTCACTTTCAGGTGAAGATGATGAGCACGAGGAGACAAATAAAACACCAGAACCTGTACAAAAGACTGAAGAGAAACAAGTAGAGCCTGAGCCCCTGGCTGAAGACAAAGAAGTAGTTGTTGAAAATGTCACTGTAGAAATACAACACAACATTACACCAAAGAAATCTAGTTTAAAACTTGATTTAAAGAAAGGCACTAGTCAGCTCTCTACTTCTCTATTAAACATATCTAGCCAAATAAAATCTATTACAACTCACAAGAGAATAGTCAGTACTACAGGGCCAAAGAGGCCGCAATCTCAAATAGAATGTTACCCACCAGTTAAGGAGGAGAAACCTAGAGGATCAACATCTCAGGAGAGTACTCCTAAGTCTGTAAAAAGTTCCCGTCCATTAGTAAATACTAAATCACCAAATGTGTTGATATATTCTGATAGTGTAGTAGCTAGAGATAATTTGGAGGCATCTTTAAAGAAAGTGCTGGATTGCGATAGGTGAGTGGGTGTGTCTTATCTTGTAACTAACCACTGGGCTTACAAGTATCCTATTATCGCAATTATTAATTTTGAGTTTTGGTTTATTATAATTTAATTATAGTTCAGTTATTACGAGTATTGTAATTTTTGTGATATTTTATTCGCGAGTTATTTTCTGCAACTCGACGTCTGCCTATTTTGTGCGTCTCTATAGATGATTACTATCGCCAAGGCCTCACCAAGTCGATCTTGGTTGTGCCCAGTGTGTGAAAACATTAATGCACTCCAGGATTTGTGCTGTCTCTCCTGTCTTTATGCAATATCTGCAAAGGGGCCATTGGTTACAGATAAATTGTCCAGCTTAAAAAAGATAATGAGGGTAAAAGTTTCGATCGAATTAAGCAGTTATAGACAAAGAGTATTTTACAAATACATTTAAAAAATAAATATTAGAAGTGCGCTGAATTTAAAAGCATAGATGATGGAAAAAATTGTCAGAAGGCAATTGGCCTCGTAATAAAAGTTCGATCTCAATTCAGTTCCGATCAACTTTCGATCTCACAACTGTCATAAAAGGTATTTTCGTAGTAAATTTATTATATTAAACATCCAACGTTGACTGTGTCGTGGTTATATCGTATTGTAATCGAAAATTGAATCGGTAATCTGCTAGTCTTAGTAATACTTTACTTCTGATATCATTTATTTATTTTATGTGTCTTCAAAGAGTGTGCACTGTCCACTCAGTGCACCCACTAGCTCTTTCTTACCCTCTCTCTCTCTCTCTCTACATTATTTACAGAGATGATGATCCTTACCTCCAACTTTCATATTTATCTTGTTAACATTGTGTAGGTACACATTATACGTGGTGTCGCGGGAAGCGCTAGAGGGCGGCGCGTGGAGAGGACGCGCTGCGCTGGTGGCGGTGGCGGGCTGCGTGGGGCGCGCCGCCCCGCTACTGCTGGCGCACCTGCTCTCTGGTGGCCGACTCCTAGCGTTGTGTTCTGACCTTCTGCACGCCGTGCTGCCCTATTATAAGACTGCTGAGGTATGCGAGGAAATCGTAACCTATTTGCATAGGCATCTTAATGTTAAAATAAGGATGGCCGCCCTCCGTATAATATGTTCAAAGCGAAACTGATGGTAATATATATAAATAATAGAGTTGGAAGCAAATATTCAATTTATTAAATTGTGTAGAAGTTTTAAAAGTCGCTATTTGTTTTTTTATTTATTTATTTAATTAGGAAAGTAAGATAGAGATAGGGATTAAGACTTTTCAACCATCCAACCATCGAGACCATTTTCATTGCAATAGAACGTGTGAATCTAATTCACGGCTTGTTGTAGACCCAACAAGAATACAGGTGAAACAAGAGTAATAACATTAATACAAAAACATTGGAGGGTGAAACATCAGCGAATTATTTGTTTTTTTTTTGTTTGTGCTACAAAAATATGTTTTTCCAGGTTCGTGAAAATGAAATAGTGCAATTCACATATGATAAATGGAAGTCGGTAAAAATGAAACATCACATATTCTGCTACCAGGCTTCGCCCGCTAAGAAACAATTTTCTACTGAAAGCGACAGACAGTAAGATCACACTTTACTCTCTATTCTTGCAATATATGTATAACTGTGTGTCTTAAATGGAACATAATTTGATGTGTTGTTAAAATATTTTAAAACAATTTTGCAGAGCAAGTCAGGATAATAATATGTGTCGGTATGCTAAATATACTATTGTATTAGAACTTTTTTAGTTTTTGAAACTATTATATCACAATAGATATTTAATGCATAGATAATCCTTGAATTCATAAACGCTTATTTTTAAGCACTTTAGTTAAAAGTTCTCTGGTCATCTGATCCAGCTAGTTGGATAATAAGTATAGTTTCACAATTTTTTCCATTTATAACACAGCATATGTCATACATAAAGTACTAGAATGCTAGAATGTATGACGTATTACTGTGTTACAAATTTCTAGCAGAGTAGTGCAGTAGAGTAAGTGTATATTATAATGCTAAAGAAGTAACATGCTCAAAAAGTCAGCATAATATACTCTGTCAGTATTTATAAAACTATAATAAATTGCAAAAAGTGGCCATGAGTTTGTTGTCCCTTTCTTCTCATAAGGCTCAACCAATTGGAAGCGGGCGATTGTAGTTTGGCACAGGCAACCACTTTAAAGCAGTTTCATTGCTTTGGCCTAGTGAGTGAGGTTATCGAAGCCCAATACTTCCCCCATACCCATGATTCTAGGGGGAAGGAACGGAGGAGGCGGCAATGCATCTGTGTCTCATAAGTTGCAGATATCTGGCAGTGGTCAATTGCCATCGGGTGACCCGTCTGCTCGCTTGCCACCCTATACCATTGAAAATCTTTTTTCAAATTTTTATTTTTAAGAGTATACCTGCCGTTTGATCCCATTCAAATTTGAACAAAAAAATACCAAGAAAAATTTAAGAAATAAAGCCCATTAAAGCCGGTGACACTTTTTAAAAGTTACTTTTACTTAAAGATTTAGAACATTAGAAGATAATGCAAACGATGATTTAAAAAAACATTGAAATCTGCTAGTAAGCGTTTATTAATAAGAGGGCTCCCCTTTGAGTTTAATATATTATAACACTTACATCTAATCAAAATACAATGAAGTTTTATACTAATACTTAATTCAATTTAAAAAAATATATTTTATTGAATGAATTTATTTATTTTTTGTTCGTAAGAAATATGCATGTATGTGTATGTAGTGGTGACGTTTACAGTAAAACAATTACGCTTTTTACAATTTAAAATGCATCTTGTACAGTAAGTTTAGATTTAATTATAAGATATTAGTGAGGCTCACAACAAAACATAATACACAATAAAAACATCATCATCTCAGCCGAAAGACGTCCACTGCTGGACAATGGCCTCCCCCAAGGCTCTCCACAACAACCGGTCCTGTGCTGGCTGCAAACAAAGGTTTCCCGTCTTCAGCAGATCGTCGGACCACCTTGTAGGAGGCCTGCCTACGCACCGTCTTCCGGTACGTGGTCGGTACTCCAAAACTTATTGGCCTAATCTGCCGTCTTTCTGCGAGCAACGTGCCATGCCCACTGCCACTTAAGTTTGGCGATTCTCGGGCTTGTTCGGATTCGTAATGACTCTTGAGGACAGCTTATGACTCAGAAGAGAGATGTCTCTGTAATTCTTCCACAGGGTGTTATCTCGCTTTTTGAAGAAAGGCGGTACCACACCCCTGAACCATGTGTCGGGCGGCTCCGTGCGGAGTATGACAGAATTGAATATCTTCTGAACGACTTTTAAAAATGGGTTGCCACCCACCTTCAGGAGCTCAGGAGCCTTCTTGAGCTGTTTGAAAGCCACACTGATCTCGTACATGCTGACGTCTGGTATATCTTGGGTATATATATTGTCGGGTTAACTTAGCCCTTGGATCTTTCGGCAAGTTTCCTGTGCTCCCTCTTTCGATAGAAGGAGTTCATCATGTAAAGTCCCTCATTCTCCATGAAACCGGCCGGTAGTTGGCCCCGTTGGTTCCGTCGACCAACCCCAAATTGCCTCTTCACCGCTTTATCCAACTTTGCATTGAAGTTCTCCATAACAACGGTGTAGTGAGTTTTAAAAGTATGTATGACTACTAATATCCTCACATATAGTCTCCACCTTATCATCGGCGTAATAAAAACATATCTGCAATTTATTTTGAAATAATTAAACATAATTATGCCAGTTTAGTTAATCGGAGCTCTCTCTTAGATACAATACATACAATAATGATATTTGTCGCTTTGTGAATATGCTATTTATAGTAATAGTCTTCGCATTGATTTACAAATTTATATGTAAAGTTAAATTACGTCCAATGATACAATATTGCTAGAAACACAATATTTATACAAAATTGATAACTTTGAACTTCGAGAACACACTATGTAAATTGTGTATGGCTCTGATATCGTTTGTATAGTTAGTAACGTCAATTTGTTTCTAAATATAGATTATGGGTCAATTTTAGAGATGAAACGGATAGCCGAAAACTTACGGTATCCAGCCAAACAGTTGGATTAACCGTAAATTCGTCGAACCTTGAAGCCGGATATCAGGCCAAACCTTGCCAATTGCCCGACTTGAATGTTAAAGGTTGCGGCCTTAAAAATAAATAAAGATGGGTCTGAGTCAAGAATTTCGAATTTACTACTTTACTGCAGGTCTTATTATAATCTCAATAAAAAGGTCTCTGATTTTTATGTCAATGTTGCTAATCGACGCAACATCATTTAGACAAATTACGATAAGGTTGTTAGAGTTGAAAGAAACTACGGTTTACGGTTAAAGATCTTTATTTATCACTAAGAATTAAAATCAAATAATTAATAAAAATCACTTGCTTTTTTTTTAATTTAGTAATTTTAACTTACTCAACACTACTTTTATATTTAACACTTATTTGGTTTTATGATTTAGGTATAAACCTGTTTTTAGTGAGGATAACGTGTGTAACAAGGTTCTCTGTATTATCATAAAGTAACATTAAAACTTACTAGGGATCATTCGAATTTATATTAAATAACGTTATAGACATATTATTACGTAACTATAAAAACATTATGTGGAAAGTTTAGCCGAATAGGCCGGATACCAGATAGTGCCGGATATCCGTTTCATCTCTAGTGACAATTCAAAAATTTCCTGGTTGATAAGTAGAAATGGATTTTTAAACACATACATATATTCTTTATTCTTCCATACCTCGATATGGGAGCGAGATGTACATGACTTTTTTATAATAGGTCTTTACCTATAAAGTACTTGTAATTGAAAAAGGTAAATTGTATTTGATATACACTGGAGAGGAATGCATCCGGGTTATAAATAAACATATCTGAAAATGCATGAAATTATAATACATATGAAGATGGAGATTTTTAAAACAAGCATTTTCAGATTTAATTATCTGTGGATTGGCGCGCAATTCGAAATTCAAATAAACTTTATTCGAAAGCCATGTTATTTTAATTTAAAATTCAGCCATTTGTTTTAGATAGTATGTTTTATGTCATATTGTTTTTGTGATTGTGATAGTTTTTGGCGCCATGGACAAACTGAAAATGTTTACATTTTTCAAATATGAGTTCCTACGCATACCGCCGTGCAAACTATCGATCCATTATTCATTCATTATTGGCACAATCGTTTTAGATATCAAAATTTTGAGTTGAAGAATGACTCTCGCGGTCGGCCGGTAACCGACAATGACGACTTGAAGACGATAGTGGAAGCCGATCCTACTCAATCTACGACTGAGCTTGCTGCGGGATTTGGAGTTAGTTTTAAAACAACATTGAAGCACTTGTGTCAAATCGTTGTCAAAAAGGTAGATAAGGGGCTGCCACACGAACTAAGCTACCATCAGCGAAACTTACGCGTCGAAGTATGCACAGCATTACTGAATCGGCACAGAAACGAGGGAATTCTGAATCGAATTGTTACCTGCCTTGAAAAGTGGATCTTGTACGATAACCGTAAGCGTTTGTCTCAGTGGGTGGACCCGGGTACAGCACCTAATCAGTACGCTAAAAAAAAGATTACCCATAGCAAGATGATGGTGGCTGTCTGTTGGACCAGTGCCGGACTTCTACATCACAGCTCCTTACCGAATGGCACAACAGTGACGGCAGAGGTCTATTGCCCAGAATTGCAAACAAGGATAGAGAAGCTCACAATTCAACAAATACGTCTGGTCAATCTCTCTTCCCCATTGCTTCTCCAAGACAACCCGCAAGCTCACACTTCCTGACAAGAGTAACATCTGGTCACGTCACACACCGTACTCACTGGACCTTGCCGTAACAGATTCTACAGTAAAGGGATAAAGAAACTGCTATGAAAATGGCAAAACTGTATAGATAATTTGGGCCAGTACGATAGCTAAAATAAAAAAATAACCAAAATTATTAAATTTTAAATTTCATACAAATCTCCAACTTCATAGGTAAAGACTAATATAACCGTGTATGTACGCTATTGTATTAAAATCACAGTAGACCAAAATATAGTATATATAGTAGTTCATAGTATACCTAAGACAGTGAGTTTATTATAAAGGCTCTTGTTTTGCTATATAGGCCATCGAAATACACCGGACACCCAGGGCACGAGCTGGATATCCAAGTCCTGGCATCGGAGGAGACATGGCGAACGCCTTCGCTGCTGCAGGCCACCGACCTCACCAACAGTGGGATTGCTATCTTCTCACAGGTAGCTTATATCTATGATAGTTTGTCTTTCCTCTATTTACTAGCTAACTTTTTACCGAGTGGGTGAGGTCACCGGGGCCCGGTCACTGCACGGATGGCGTAGTGGTCATCTAGCCGCTTCCTACTTCGCTAACTGTTGTGAGTTAGATTCCCACATGGGAAATTTTCCCAATGGGAATTTCTGTGTTCTGAGTCTGGGAGATTTTTGTGTTTCATGTTTCAGTTTCATTTCATGTAAAGTCCCTCGCGACATAGGAAATATTCCTAGTGCGGGAGTTCTTTTTTAAGAATCAAGAAATAGAAATAAACCCGTCCCCGTACCCCTGATTCTGAAGAGGGAGACTCAAAGGGTAGAAACGATATTGTGACTCTAGAATTGCAGGTGTCCTTGGGGGGTGGTAGTCACTCACCATCAGGTGATTAGTCCGCTCTTTGGTTCTCCTTTAAGATACAAAAGTGTCATGCAGCAGCGCGAGCGCTCATTGGTCAAATCGAACAGCGCTTCCTTGTATTCCTGTTACAAAATGAGAGGAATCATGTTACACATCAGAAAACAAAATTATATAAAAGTATCTCCATAATACTTGAATGCTTTTCACGTAGATACATTTCAAGTTCAACATGCATATTAGCATTTTAACATTGAGAATTTACAAGTACTATACAAAGTCGACACATTGAAAACAGCCGGTTAAAATACCCGCTGTAATGAAATTAACATATGTGCACAAAATGTACTAATTGTAGTAATATTAGTATGTCCTAGCAAATATTAACACATATGCCATTGTAATAAGTAAGAGATGAATATATCCTATTCGTTTTAAATAATCGAAGATCGAATCTAAAATATCGTCGTGCGACAAATATCGAAATGAGATAAAAACTTCAGATGTCCAAAATATTATGATTATTAAATAGGCCTCTCCAATTGTACGCCACTTAGATCGATCCTCGGCTTTAGCAGTGGACTGCGATAGGCTTATGATGATGATATTGTTTTTTTTAGATCCACTTAGAAGCCGATCCTAGCGACTACTTAGGCGAAGAAGGAATGATAAGCAACGAGGCTCGTCTGGGCATCATTCACAAAATTCTCGGAGACATCTTAGGACTCCACGTGAAGGACCCACAGGAACTAACCCAGATCGATTACACAAGAGGCTTTTTCTTAGGAAACCATGTGGTGAGACTATACTACATACTCAATATATCATTAATAATATATGTTTATTTCGCATCACCATCAACGTAGAAATTGCTGATAGATATTTATATTTTGATATTTTTTGTTGTTAAAAATCGCTAGCAAAAACTTCTTCGGTTTTGTCTTTAAATTAATACGACATATTAATTTTTAAAGGTGAACGATAAACTAGTTATCAATTTTGGATCGATTTCAGCATATGATTAAATATATCGAAATTCATGTGTAATCATCAAATGCGTGATAAATAAATAATACATAATGTGTATATTAAATAAATCCACGCCGTGTCATAAACGTACTACCTTAAACACAAGATAGAAGTACAAACAATATACACATTAGACTGATAGACAAATAAGAGACTGCTATGACATAGTGCTTTAATAATGTATGGAATAATAAAAATCAAAAATAATGAAAAGGATGTAAGCGGATTAAAAGTGGATATTTAATTTAATTTAATTTTGTATTCATATGTCATATATTTTATAAAGATATAGATAGATAATCGCAAATAGATTATAATCAATCGAATCTTTCAGTTCGAAAGTGCAAAATACACCATGATTAAAAATTATCAAAATATAAATATCTACTATAGAGAACTTTATATGATTGTACTAGGAGTAAAGTAGATAAACATAACTTGTAATGTGACTTGTATCATGTGCATATACTTTAGACGTAATGTAATATTTGATTAGGTTTTGAAGAAACTGTTGAACTTTCTCACGTTATTTTGGGCTTCTTAGTGACACCGTCACCTCATTTAAAATAACCAATACATGGTAGATCGTTCATAAACTCGCATTGTGTATTCCAGCGACACTTGACACCACGAGGTCATTTTTAATCGTAATCTGTTATGTTTCAAACATAGTATATCCAATGCCCACCATGTCGATTAATTCCAGGTCCAATGCAATGAAATCTATAATTCATTTAACAGAATGAGCAATAGTAAACAGTTTCATAAACCCGTTTCTCATTCTATGCTTAAAACATAATTTCTTTGAAAAGCATTGCTTGGTTAAAATTGGGGCTTCTCTAGAAATTAATAGATTGCAAAGCAAAGGTATAGAAGGAGGTGTCTTTTCATAATTTCAATAAATTTGATATAAAACCCTTTTAAGTTTTTCCTCAAATATGTTTTCTTCCCTCATTTTTCGGAAAGCTTTTAAAATCCTCCTTGCCCAAAACCTTTATTCAAAATGTTACTAACATTGAAAAAAACATCCAAAACCCTTACCGTTCTAATGTTATTCGCTAAAAGAACAGTACCGTTATTTATACAATTATTTATTTTAAAAACTTAAATTTGGGCAAATAATTGAACTCATATAGTGTTGTCGAATACATAATGCATTCACTCATTTCATTTAGCATGTATGACCCAAAAGAGAAGTATACATGGAGGATGTTGTCACTAGGCGGCGTGGCGAAAGTCGTCGGGCGCTGCCCCCGGCCACCTGACGGTGTGATGGCCGGTGAGACGCACCACGCTTCACGCACTTTATTTATTAACGTAATTTAACGTGAACGCATACGTCAAGGTTTTAAGAGTGAGATGTTTTAAATACAAGCTTCGTGTTCTTAGCACTAACTTTGGAGGCTCGCTGAACATAGGGCCTAGAGTTTATTCTGAAGCGGTCACCGTGACGATTGAGTAAATGTGAATAACAAGCGTGTTTCTTTCTCGTTCCGATTTATTATCTTTACACAATAGGATTACTAGTATGTTCAATGACGCTGGCTCAGACCTTAAGAACGTTATTTACTTTTTATCGAAATCAAACGCTGTCTGCTGTATAAATATTATACGAATCTTTTACCTTTTTTCCACACCAAACCTACCCATGAAATTGTATATTTACAGTCGATTTGTTCATCTAAAGGTTGAAAAAAAAGTAAGTATTTGTTTTTTCGCGAAAAAGTTTTAAATGCATTTATACGATACTCAACACTTTGGATACGTTATCCCAATACAGTTTACATTTTGCACAAAGTAAAAACAATTTTTATTTTCACATTAACATCGACAGTCTTTAATAGTCCACTGCTGGACACAAGCCCCTAGAAAGGAGGTTCCTACCCTTTTATACCACGCTGGCCAGACGGGTTGGTATTGGATTTGTGTCAAGTTTTTCTTCTTTTTGCAGTGCTTTTGTTCTGCGTATTTTACTCCCTTAGTTGGCTTTTACGACACCCATGGGATAAATAGGGGTGGTTACATTTCGTATGCTTAATCCGTCACCACACAATTTCCATTTTACCAAGCATTTCTACTGAAAGCAAGATAATTTAAAAAAGGTTTAGATGTATATTATTAAAAATGTAGTTCTTCCGACCTATTCTTATTATTTCCTGTCCAAGGCATCACAAAATTACGAACTCACTCTTGAAATTTTTGTTTAAAAAATTAAACACGCTTCTAATAAGTTTAGTTTATAAATTATTAAAATTGATATACAACATTTTCTTAATACTGAACGCACGCAAAAAGCTTAATAGTTACTAAACTACCTTATGTCTATTTTTCGTAAACTTTTCATTCATGTTATCTATCTACTGCTACACATCGTTTCGACTTTATATAGATATTCTCTGTAGTTATATATTGAGATAATATCACTGCTTAAGTCACAGTCACTTCGTGTTTTGCGGCAGAGTTGCAAAATTATTGCATGCAATTATTTATGTAACTTTCTGTAATAATATTTCATGAAAAAATTGTTAAAATGCTTTAACTAATCTATAAAGTATTATTTAATTTATCACCATAATGTCACTTATCTTTTAAACACTAGTCCGCCGATTCATTCCAAAATCCTCGTTATCGTTTCATCCCTAATCATTCATTGTTTATGGTGGCTATTTCTCACGTTAGTTGTTAAGTTTAATAGCAATAGCTTGTGACTGGCTTGTATGTATTATTAACAGTGGAACAGAAAAAAACCCACCAGATACCAATAATAAAGAGGTGTGTATTATTTTGTGAAAAATTGAAATGTAACATCTCTTTTTAGTCTGCTCGGGTTTTGGCGTCAATATTAATTAATATTAAAAATGTGTATTTAGAACAAGCTGCAACTGGTGGAACGGTGTGCGGTGGTGGACGGTGCGCGGATTCAGAAGTGCGATAACGTCATGATACAATGGTGCCTGCGCGGGGAGACGCCTCGAGAACCGCCCTCCGAAACATTCCTGCCCGTTTACGTATACGAATGTCCAGAACATTTCTCCACCGTTGAATATTTTGATGTGAGTCATTTCACGCTAATTCACACATTTTGTGCTTTTCTAGTTCACCCCTAGAGCAAAAAAAGCCTATGTGTTTTAAGCATGAGCGTGTATCTTATTCAGGTGTTGGGAGTTTTTGTAGACACACGCAGCCCTTATGGTGTTACTAGTGTTGTCAAGTCTATCTATATCGGGTAACAAATCAAGTGCAGCGAATATTTAAAAAAAATTAAAACTGTCAACATAGGTTATTGGTTACCTTTATGGTAAGATGTTTTTTTTTGTATAATTCAGAACCTTAGCTCGGGTTCAATGGGTCGTCTAGTGGTGTACGCCGACGTGATGCCGTCCACTCATAACGTGACGAGCGTGCCGCTGGGCCACGGCGTGGGCTCCGTGGCGCTGCGCCAGACGTCCGGCCGCGGCCGCTTCGGGAACCGCTGGATTGGACCCAAGGGACAAGCTTGCATGTCTTTACAGGTACATTATTACCACCTTATTTTTTACAGTTCGATAGACAGTCACTAAGTAATGACATCGCGTATTCAATTAAAAATTATAAAGAACAATGGCGGGTCTCCATACAAAAACATTTGGAATCAAATTGCATCGTCCTGTAGTGACCAAAATAATTTAAAACTTCTTCTTTTTTTTAGAATCTATGTGTAAAACAATTTCCCTTTAAAAAAGATATTAACATTTGTTTTTTTTTTAGTTTCGCACCGCATTTGTTTTATCTGTGGACTCTTTTTTAAAAGAGTTCACAGATAAAAGTCTTTGATAACATCGCTGCATAATGTTTCCTTTATTTTATCCATTTGTCTATGGCTATCGACTTTTCAAATTGGTTTTTGTATTGTTTTACATAGTTCTTGGAAAATTATAACTGTATGTGTGCCATTTAAATAAAAAATAAATAAAGAATTATTATAGTCCACTAGCTGTAAAACTTTCGTAGGTTATATTTTCATGCCACTTTTAATGTGTCTGATGCATGAAATAATCATGTTATACTTATGTACATCCGCATTTATAATATTCAAAAAGAATATTCCTTTTCCTTAATTTATTACCTATTTCAACATGTAATGAATTGTAAATTCTAAACCTAAACTAATATATTCGGTGGCGGCGACCACTTGTCGCGTCAGTCGTTTAATCTTTATATTTAAACAGAGAGCGCAAACTGTCAATCCGTGTGGTGACGGACTAAGAATACAGAGTGTCACCACCCCTATTAATCCCGTGGGTGTCGTAAGAGGCGACTAAGGGAGCAAACTACGCAGGATAACTGCACTGAAGAGAAGGAAAACTTGACACAAACCCTATACCAACCCGTCTGGCCAGCGTGGTATAGTAGGCCAAAACCTCCTTTCTAAGGAGAGGCCTATGTCCAGCAGTGGACTATTAAAGGCTGTTGATGATGATGATGATGATGAAACTGTCAAGAGTTGTCAAAAAACATTTGCTCTTTTTTAGTACCACGCAGTTGCCACTTTATTTTATTTTTACCGCCTTATACTCCACTACAGGATTTTCAAATACGTAAATAATACGTTTAATAGTGTACCACAAACTACATTATTTATTGATTCAGTACTTAGAATTATAAAACTATAATCTGATTACCATATTAGTACACTTTATTGGACAGTATTTCCACTATTTGAAAAACATGTCTGTAAAATGGTAACACTAAACTGATAAAGGAATTTAAAATAATCAATTAAGCTTATAATATTTTTCTTTCTTTTCCTTTGGTTTTACTGACTTAGACGAAAGTTTAAAAAAACGTAGATATTTAGCTAAAAGTACTGAACTCATTACATAGATTATATTACCCAGGTTTCTTAAATTCATTACCTTAAGTTTGAAGCGAAAATTTAAATGTCATTTATTGTAAAGTGTGTTAGAAGTTTTCTACCACCTATATACTTTTGAATACCGCTGCCATATAAATGTGACAAATATGATATGGCCACATGAGCATAACCATAAGCCTTTAGACCTTTAATTATAAAAAAAACATCTCTGTCACCTATATCTGCTATGAATTACTGCTTTGCATTATGGAACTTTTAAAAGAAGTAAAGAATATGTGTGGTACCAAACAGGTGTGGCAAACGATCTCTCCCACGCTGCCCCTGATGCAGCACGCGGCCGCGCTGGCCGCCGTCCGCGCCATCCGCACCGCGCACAGCTATGAACACCTCGACATCAGGTAACATTCTACACACTACGTTACTTGATTCTCGACTCACTTTCTTTTTGTTGCATGTTAATGCCTTACATACGTCCAGATTGTTTGTCCAACGGATCATTTAATTATTTTATAATAGGCTTAAGCATATTTCTGTGAAAGTAATAAACTAGCTTTTGTATAATAATTACCAATGAAAGATAAACTATGATCTTTTTTGTTCCTATGACACAATTTGAGTATTTTTCTAATAGATCGGTTGAGTAGTTAAGTTTTAAAGTGCAATAAACAAACTCAAATTTTCTTTTATGGTGTTATTTATAGTTAGGAGAACAATTTGAGACGTCATAATGAACTGTTGTCAAATCAATAACTTTAATGTTTTCAATCTTATACTTATTTCATGAGGATTATAGACGGTGCATAATTACTGTATGATATTATTTTTTACAGAATAAAGTGGCCTAACGACGTGTACTTCGGGCGTGAAGTGAAAATTGGTGGTACGATAACCACCGCTAACTGTTACGGTGATAACGTCTATGTCAACATAGGTAATAATATTATTTATTCGTAAATAGGGCCCAGTACGTTTAAAATCTTTTATTTTTATAAGAATTTTATTATTCACTTTACATGAGATATTTGATTACAAAAATAATATGAAAACATTGTATTGACATGGACCGGTCTGTTGGTTAGTGACCCTGACTGCTAAGACAGAGGTCGCGGATTCGATTCCCAATTAGGAGAAATAATTGTATGATGAGCACGATCATTTTGTTCTATGTCTGTTTGTAATTTGTCTATAAAATGTATGTATTTAGAAACATGCTATGCTGGAGACATTGCTCTCGTATGTAGTATGAATAAAATGGTTTTATTTTGCAAATACAGGTACCGGTGTGAACATATCAAACAGCGTGCCCACAACGTGCATTAACGACATTATAGCAGAGCACAACAGGCAGCACGGCACGAGCTTGGCGCCCTGGTCCATCGAGAAGTTCCTCGCGCGGTACGCCTCGCAGCTCGAGAGGATCATTGACAATTTGAACACGGACGGTGGGGTCGATGCCTTCCTGGAACAGTACTATGAGTACTGGTTGCACGAGTAAGTAATATTTTCATATAAATTTTCAAATGATCTAGTTCCTTGCAAAATCGGAATAGTGTTTTCGCATCCATACTACTATTATAAATGCGAAAGTATGTCTGTCTGCCTGCCTGTCTATCTGTCTGTTACCTCTTCACGCTGATACCACTGAACCGATTTAGATGAAATTTCTATACAGATAGTTTGAGGCCCGGTAAAGGACATAGGATAGTTTTTATCCCAGAAATTATCCTTTAAGGGCTGAAAAGGGGGGTTGAAATTTGTATGGGGAATCAATAATCTCTAACCGATTTAGATGATATTTGTTTTGGAGATAGTTTGATTTTTGAGAAAGAACATAGACTAATCTTTACCGCGATAACCGATATAGACGCGGGCGGAGCCGCGTGCGAAATCTAGGGATTTATAATTTGAAGCGGTAACCAACTTTAACACATCGCAGATGAAATAAAACTTATAGGGTATTTTCCCTTGACCTAGAACCATACGCTCATCGCGATGACATATATATATATATATATATGTATGTTTATACACATATACAGGGTTACAAGAAAAGTCGTGCTGGATCCGTTAAGTACCCATCATTTCTGACATATTTCACTATGAAACACCCTACCCTAAACTTAACCCTTTTCGAGATAACCGTCTTTTAATTTTTTAATTGAAATTTGCTGATTTTTAGACTACTACATTTATTTTTGTTTATTTTGTGTATCTTATTATTATTATTTTTGCATTTTTACATGTGTAATAAGATGCTTTAGGACGTCAGTCATTAAAATAGTTCATAAGTTAATTGAATAGATCGTAGTAGACAAGTGAAAGTAAAGAAATAAAAAAAAATATTACAAAATTATTTTTCTCTAACGGATATCTAAAAACAATATTATGGTAATTGTTCGGCAGATGTTTTTTAAAATATCTACGTTTCATCAGCTATCTAACGAGGTATAACAATCTAGGGTTTGTATTACATTTCGTGGAAAAAAAGTAGTCGGGACGCTCCAGGTAACAGTTCTAACGGTCCCGCGCCTATTGTCCTTCAAGTTAAGACGCACCAAGCGAGCGAGACAAGTGACGATTTATGTAGGTGCGAATAAAAGAAAAAATGTGTAGAGACCGGTTAGGGCTGGGAATACAACAGGGGGCATTGTTTGGTTGTCACTAGTTGTCAGTCTGCTTTTGTGCTTCGTACATAGTAGATGTGATATCGTTTTGCTCGACTTGGCTGTGATTCTGGTCTATTTCTTCTGATTTGTGACTACTGTGCTTGTTAACCGGACTCTGATTTGTACCTGTGATACGGAAGTGTTGAAGATGACGTCCTACACACCTGAGGAATATGCTGATATGCTTATTTGTTACGGATACTGCGATTGTGTGTCTGCGCAAGCTCGCAACGAATACATAACTCGCTACCCTGGTCGTCGAGTGCCGGATGTGGCCGTTTTTGACAGAGTTTATCGAAGACTTCGAGAAACTGGCTCTGTTTTGAGACGAAATACAGACATGGGAAGACCACGAATTGACGACGAAGAACAGGACAATGAGATAGTGCAACGCTTTCGAGCGGATCCAACTACTTCCACTGTTGTTCTAATATTGTTGCCCGTGATCTGGGACTTTCGCAATGGAGAGTGTGGTTTACAGTGCATACTGCTGGCCTATACCCGTACCATTACACGCCGGTATACGTTATTGAAGAAGGAGACCCCGCGAGAAGATTGGACTTTTGCAGATTTATGCTAAATGCTGACGTAGAAGACCCAGATTTTCTAAGAAATATCTTGTGGACGGATGAGTCCAAATTTGATAAACATGGCATAACTAACTATCACAACGCCCATTACTGGGCCCCAAAAGAACTAAGGAATCCCAATAAGAAAAGAGTGAAGGGGTCCCAACGAAGATTCAGCGTGAATGTGTTAATGGGCATTATCTCCAATCATTTGATTGGACCTTACTTTCTCCCGGATAATCTAAATGGGGAAAGCTACGAAAATTTCCTGAGAGCAGACTTGAGTGATTTGCTGGATGATCTGCCACTCAACCTGATCAGGGACATGTGGTTCCAACACGATGGCTGCCCTGCCCATTTCAGGAGAAGTGTCAGGGACTGGCTGGACACAAATTATCCAAACAAATGGATAGGACGAGGTGGGCCGTTGCCATGGCCAGCAAGAAGTCCGGACCTAACCCCCATGGATTTTCATGTGTGGGGGTGCATGAAAAGTCTTGTGTACAGCGAGCCGAATCCAGTTTCGTCTGTGGAAGACTTACGAGAAAGGATTGTGGATGCAGCAAATAAAATGAGGACCACGTTGACCACTGGAGTAGTGAAGACTGGTCTCCGTAGAAGGATGCGACAATGTATCAGAAATAGAGGCGGCCATGTTGAACATGAACTGTAGAATAAGAAAAAGTTGTGTGAAAACCTTTAATAAATGACATTTCATGCTTAACTATTGTTTTATTTTACTTTTTTGGGCTAAGTATAAATTTTCTTCTCCACTGTCGCCTATGAAACTAAAGTTTTTTCAATGCATTTGAATAAAACCTTAGATTATTATACGTATAGTATCGTTAGATAGCTGATGAAACGTAGATATTTTAAAATACATCTGCCGAACAATTACCATAATATTGTTTTAAGATATCCGTTAGAGAAAAATAATTTTCTAATATATTTTTTTATTTCTTTACTTTCACTTGTCTACTACGATCTATTCAATTAACTTATGAACTATTTTAATGACTGACGTCCTAAAGCATCTTATTACACATGTAAAAATGCGAAAATAATAATAATAAGATACACAAAATAAACAAAAATAAATGTAGTAGCCTAAAAATCAGCAAATTTCAATAAAAAAATCAAAAGACGATTATCTCGAAAAGGGTTAAGTTTAGGGTAGGGTGTTTCATAGTGAAATATGTCAGAAATGATGGGTACTCCACGCCCTTAACGGATCTAGCACGACTTTTCTTGTAACCCTGTATACATATGTTTGCATGATAACCTCATCTCCACCTTTGCACACTTCACGAATTTTACTCGCGCGGATTCGGTTTATCCAAGCTATACTATTTTTTTAATTAACAAAAAAACATTACATCTCGCCGTTCGCTTAGTTCGAATCGACTATTGTTTTTAATTCTTTGAATAAATTAATTAACTTAATTATTTATTAAATCGTATTTTAAAATGAAATGTTGGACAAATTTTTGGTAATTTTTATATTACTATCGATAATTTTTTATTGTCATTTTTTTTTAAATGTCTAGTAATGAATCAATCCGCATTCAAAACGAGGCTACATCGAGTCCAGTGGAGGGCACAATATCGGGGCTAGACGAGGCGGGCTGGCTCGTCGTCAGAACGGAGTCGGGAGACGTGCGCGTCGAACCTGACGGCAACTCATTCGATATCATGAACGGACTCATCGCGCCCAAAATTAAACCTCAAGTTAAGTAGACATGTACATATGTATGTAAAACAGTTTTGTAATCTGTTTTTATTATTTGAATTTGAATAAGCCATGAAAAGGAATGTCTCTGTTAGAGTATTCTTATACTTGATAATATAGAACAGTTTCATTGGTTGGTGAGCATTTAGGGTCATCCAATCCATGAAAATTGGTGTTATACTGACCTACGGAAAACCGGGTATATGATAAAAAAATTGACTGATTACAAATTTTATTAAATGAAATTGTTTCCGAAAACCATATACTGGTTTACACATACACACTTACTCGTTTCCTTTGTACTTGTACTATAATAACTACAAGGGAATCGAGAAAGGCATACAAAGTGATAAAGATAACTGTAAAATTAGTGTTTATTTAATATTATTATTATTTTAACAATATTTTTATCGTCGTATTTATGGAAAAACGGGTGTTGTTCGACCAGGATCACGCTTGGCGGATCGCTACCCAACGGTTCACATTGAAAGTTTAATATTAAACTAATCAGCGCGGGAATTTTCGTTGCGCGATGCAGAATAAGTATTTCAGTGTGTCTTCGTTAGATTGGTATTAAGTATGTTTTTCGTTGTATGTATTGATCTCCATATATATCGTAATGACGTGTCATGACATACGCATTTGATGGTTCATGTTCAGCTCGTGGATTGGATGGTTCTAGTGACACTGTAAAGCTTGCAGGTTACACATTTAGTATAGGCGTTTAAACGTTAATTGGACATTTATCAGTCAGTTAAGCGGTAATAGTTTTAATTATTATTCTGATAGTTTAAAAGCTTTATTTGTGTACCCTAAGAATGAGGTTGTATAAAACTGCTAAATTAAAGCTAAAGAAGTATACAAAACTCATACAACATAGGTACACTAAGTTATCAAAGGCTAATTACACTTTCTTGATTAAGACGTCTTAATTAACAACAGCGTGTCCCGCTGTTAAGAAATCTTCTAATCAAATTAATAAATATTCTTGTTTTTAATCTCTTGATGTTCGAAGTTTAAAACTTTTATTCGTGTTCTTTTACATATTATTAAGATTACAATATATATGTATTAGAAAGATTTTTCATTGACCAAATGATAATTACTTTTAGCCTGTTTCTTCTCCAAAAAGTGAGCGACCCTTGTCTGAATGAAGTGTCACTTAAGGCATCTTAATGTATGTAAAACTGTATTAAGTTCTTTATGATATTTAGTTTTTAAATTTAGAACTTTAGCACATATTTATATTTCATTAATATGCTATTCCAAATGTTATCGGTGATATTATTTTTAGTTACTTGCTCTCTAGAATAAAATCGTTATTATTGTGATTTTTACATTGGTTAAATATTTATGTCTTGTTATCATGGTCTGGTTTAAAAGTTGAGTTTATAAATAAGATTTATTTTATTCCAAATTTACTTAAAACGACATAATTGTGTTGCACAACAAATTGATTGGATGTGATGTATAACTTTTTAATTATTATATCAAATTTTTTACTATACTGATACTTATAATTAGTCACGAACACTAATCACATTGTAATATTTTTTGCGGAGGAATTGTATTTGTATAATGGTCATGGTTTCTGAAAAAGGTTCATTTTTAAATCGGTCCAGTAAACATCACTGTAGTATTGTAATTGGTAAACGTGTTTGGAAACTGATCTATGAAATATAGAATATTTAGTAGTAGGTATAGTAAGTAGAGCATTATTAAGATAATCATATATGTGGATATGTTTGCTCCTGGAATTTTGTCTGATAGCTTTAATTAAAATTTTCCCTTCATTTAAATAAAAATAATATTTGCCAACACATATAATGAAGAAATTAAAGTATATACTATCAATGTCAAAATATAAATAAATATTGTAGGTACCAATAAAATGTTATAGGGATACCAGTACCCATATCCTAGCGGTGTTTCCGTATTGTACTTATACAAATGAAAATAATATCTATCGGTATATAATATTAATATTAGAGGAATATAAGCAGTTTTACATAATACGGTATTTGTGTGTTGCCACAGACGACATTTTACCCTGAGTAGTAGTGAAATAATGAACATTACAAAATAAGGCCAATTTATAGATTACTAACCTAAGAGACCATCGAAGAGACGTAAAAAATGTCTGTCACAATGCCGGGTTTAAAGGAAGAAAGATCTCGACTGAAATAAGTATCTGACGCCATAGTGTTCTTCTGCATGGGATCAGTGGGAAACAGTGCGGTATTCAAATCTGCAGATTCCTTATTTTTAGCAAAATCTTTACACCCTCTCTTCTAAATGTTAAAAAAAAAAAAACGGTCACTGTTATACTCGTTCGATATTTCGTCTGTGCGCTTCATTAAATTTAATATTGGGATTTAACAAGAATGTTTGTGTAGCACTTAGTATTTGAACAGCCACAACACTGCCAGTGCTCTAGTACGTACGTACGTACGTATAGTGGTTAGTTTCTATGTAAATTATAAAGTATAAATACTATACTAATACTAAAGTATCCGTTCATAGTATAGTTGATTGTGTCTCATAAAGGCACTAGCGAGTTAGTCGGTTGACGTCAATTACTTTAAGGTGTGAAGTGCAGTTATTGAGATTTGTCCCGTAATATTTCTTGTTATTGAATCTCTAAAATACTTCTCGGATGTCGATAGCTTCTGTCACCGGATGTTTAAAAGGCTGTCAAGTCAAAATTTAATGGCACAATATGCACAAATATCCGGTTTTTATACAAATATATTGTCTGCTTAAATTTTTTATTGACTTTTATTGAAAAACTTTTAAAATTAACATTTAAGTATAGTCTTTAAAGTTTAAATTTGAGTAACAAGTCTTGTAGACTTACCTCGTTAAACAAAGCCTGTTCAACAATATTTGATGGGCAAGTTCCATGATCGGTTTGTAAAGACATAATGTATAACTTATTTTGGCGATTTACATATTTAAATGTGTGATACTAGTAAGATATTTTCGACAAATAATTTATTTACAGGAAAATTAAACAAAGCTATAAAGCACTTGATTACACTTGCTCTTGCTTAAGGTTCAAATGGTTTAATTATATTATTATATTAAGACCAGAGTATGTAGATACAGCGCATAATAAATTTTATTATAAATTGCTACGAGTGAAAAAACAAAAAAAATGTATATTGCTATTTACGCAATTTGCCATCCTATTTACGAAACCTTTATTATCCCAATCTTGAAGATTTTTATTATTATAAAATCTTTGTATGCATGTCTGGGTTCTAGCATTTCACGATGTTAATATACCTATTTAGTGATTAAGATTGATTTATTCAATTGCAATATTCTTTGTATTTATATATATATATATATACTCGTATATAAAAAATATTAGATAAGAAAATACGCATCAATTGAGATGGTATAGAATTACTGAAGTTGTGTTGATGCTCTATCGCTGATTTTCAAAATAAATATTTGTCGGCCATACTTCAATTAACTCGTATAGGTTTTTTTTAATAGGTTTACAAATTGTATACTGAACTCCAATCATCAGTTCCCATGCGTCGAATTTGCTAGCTTAATATAATGAAATGTCAAACAAAATTACTTAAATAAAAAAAAAGAACAATCACTAATTGTGTTGTATGTTGTGTGTTTCAAGTAACACATCGTGTGAGAAATAAACTGTAAAACATTACTAACGATAAAATATCCTTATAAAATATACGACAAACTTTCACATCAATTAGGACCTAAGTGCTGTATATTTTATTTTCATCTCATAGAATTTTTAACATTTAATTTTCTTGTCTAGCATATTAATTAAGTCTGTGGAAAACAATGTGCCTAAACAAAATTATCGTAAATACGTGACACACGCGATCAATATAATTATATATTTGTTAGATATTAAGTAAAATTGTACGATTTACAAGCTATATCGCATCTTGGATAATATAAAAAAAAAACAATTAAAATTTAAAATGATCAAAATCAATTTAATGTGAATTCTAAATTTTCGCTCCGCTAATGATGTTTAAATATCGACTTCCTAAAATGTATAGATTAGAAACTAAAAACCAGATATGTTATTAATTCATTCCATGAGCACTATTATATATTTTTCGTTTTTTTAAAGTATTTTATTACAATGTTACAATTCTGTAGTGTTACTAAGTCTTGTAGTGCACAAGACTCAGTCGTACAAAAAAGTAAATGATCACGTCTGGTTACGTCGTCAACGTCAAATCATTTTGTTACTTTGTGCCACAAAAATAGGATTCTCTCCACTTGGACTGAATTAATAATGAGTATAAGCTGTAAATGAATATTTGTATCGTCACAAGTTGTTGTCATCGAAGGATCACAAGTTTCTAGTCTCTTCGCTGTTGTCATGTGATGTTATGTTGTTTAGATGTTATTTATTAATAGAGTTTAAAATGTTATACAATCTCTTGTTATCTTACTCTAGTTGTATTCATGTGCTCTAATAAAATTATTTCATTGATATTATGTGTTATTTTTATTGTTAAAATTGTTAAGTTATGGTGTTTAGCTTTTAAATTCCTAAAAAAAAGAAGTAGAAAACGAGTCATATTTTCTTTTGTTTCAGACGTTGTAGTGAGGTTCATATCACTATAAATAATCACTATATATATTTGGACGAAAACGAAACGAAACGCTAACATTTTGCTAATTTTAAGCTTTCTTAATTTGTTTTTTTTTTGTATTATATTGCTATCAATGCAACGTGAAAAGTAAAAAATATAACAAAATAGACATCGCTGCCGCAATTTCGACAACCGCCTTCAAGGCGTTATGATGTTAAATTTTACGTTTTGTAAGTAAGTAAAAAGTAAGAGCTAGTGTTATACATACTTATATTCTACTTTATGATCATAACGCACCCCCAGAATGAAAGTGACAACTCAAAATGCAAAGTAAGGGAAAGGCCCTCGAGCCTACTATCGAATACTCTATATTGCTTCAATAGTTGTCGGCATTAGGGAAAACAAACTTATAGTCTGGAACACCTGTGGTTCCCAGTCGGTGCAATATAAATAAGGAACCCGATAGAGGTTCCTGCCGTAAAGCAGTAACGTCCATGTCTCGTCTTGACGTTGTCACTACGAGGTTGTCGAGCGCCGGTCCGGCCCACGTCATCGATGTGGTGCGGGACACAGGGAGCTTATATGTCTCTACCACGTATCGTCTATCCGGGTCGATGCGTATCACCTGTTTGAAGAAAGCATTGTTAACTTTATCTTTACGTACGGTTGCGGTCATAAGTCCAGTAGCACTTTTACGAAGTTATAGCATTATAACAAGTTAAACTTATGACCTTCTTCTATTACCCTTATACACGCTACGTGCGTATGATCATAGTGACTAATTTCAACGTAATCAATAACTGTCAATAACTCATGTATCCTCACAGTAACTTTTTGAGAATTCATGGAATGTGGTTATGACTGCAATATTGTAACGAACGTCGAAGAACAGAAATCTTTTATTCGAATATCGAATCAAAGACTAAAAGTTGGGGGTAGATTTGAAATAATAAACTATTTTAATGTTTCAAAAACACCCTCAATTTTTTTAAGTAGTTAAGAGAATTTGTGTTATTAATTGCTACTGATGTTCATATTGAATATCTGTATTCAAAATGCAAGCAAATATTAGTTTTGAAGCCAGGGCTAACATTATAGCTTTACGTGGGCTGAATATCTGAAAGATCCAAGGAAACCCGTTAGTGTAAGTTATTTTGATGGATTGTGTGATGATAATTAATTGTGGTGTATGATTTTATTTTATAATCTCTGTGTTGGGTATAAGTGTTGGGTCAAAATGTTTATTAATATTTTTTGTTTTTTATAATAAGTTTTGTAGTTAGAAAAAAAGCTGTGAGACGTTAAGTGAAGTGAGTTGAGTTTATTACCCGTTGCCACTTGTTAACCAGTCTCTTCATCATAATTAATAGCCTATAAAAGTCCATTGCTGAACATAGGCCTCTCCTTAGAAACTCCAGTCTCAGCGATGCCTAATGGTATGCGGATGTGAAACAAATGGTTCCAAACCAACTAGACTCCAATTACGTCGAAGTTCTGAACGACATAAAGCTACCTACTGTGCTGCGTGCTACCTGTTTATCTCGTGGAAGAATTTAGTGAACTTATTTAATTTAACTGTGCGATACACCGTGCTGGTATTATAAGTAAATGGTTTCAATCTCATCAATATTCGAATATTAAGGTTACCCCATGGCCAGTGCGATCCTTTGACCGTATAGAAAAAGTATTGTGTTTAGTAGCTTCCATGCGTCAACGTCTTATATATTAGTTGTATTGTAAATAATGGTGACAGTTTACATGGAAATACTCTTTTCTTAAGGCAAATTTACTGGATGCGTTGGCTGACTTATTTGCAAGGGATGCGTGGCAGCGCTTTCAAATAAGTGCTACCACTGGAAGTTCAATACGAAGAAAACGTATAAATACTCGTAGATGTCTTCCTTCGGTTAAGGGGATACTTAAAGCATTGTCAGGTTACTTTTAAATTGTAGGTGTCTGAACGGAGACTAATCATAAGTAAATTTTCTAAACTTCTTAACACTCGTACTTAAATAGTATCTATCGACGATTACGATCTGTAGTTTTAATAAAACTTACACGTCCTTCAAACATAAGAGCAACCCAAAGAAACCCATGTATGTCAATGGTCATTCCATCTGCTATTACTGGTTCTGGAAAATCTTCACTTACGTCATAAATTGTTCGGCGATTAGCTAGAAACATAAACAATACAAGAACTTAAAAAAATACTTTTTTAGTAAGGAGAAAAAAAGAAAAACGTAAATATTGGTTCATTAGTATGGAAGAGCAAGTAACAGGCTTTTTTTTGTTATATCCAAGTTGATCTTATCACAAAATATTAAATAGATTTATTTATTTTAAGTAGTAAAAGGGATAAATGTCCTTTAAAAAAAAGAAAATCACTGCTTCATTGGCTCTTAGAAAAGATGATATTAAAATTTGGATGGTTTAAGATCTGTATAAAATTCTTTTTCCACGTTAAATATAAGTAAAACTATTGATATCCTATACAATATGGTTGGGCCCAATTGCTAGATGTTTAATAATAATAATCCCTTTATTTCAGAATATAAATAATTTAAATTTATAAAGGAAACAGTGAAGTCCTAAAGTTGGGGCTAAATTAATGATTATCATTATTACTTTTGCGCTAAAACGAGGAAACAAAGAAATTGGCTTGGCATGCCATCATGTTGAAGACAGGAGGTGTATCGTAGAACTCTATTTTTACTTTTTTATTCGGTTTGTCCTATATTTTAATTACTCTAAATTGCTTAGAATAATCGAAGAAAAATGAATAATTGAATCTTTTGAAAATGCTTACCATATTTACAACTTACATAAGCGTCCTTTTAGAAGATCAAAGTCGAAGGCTTCTACTTTCCGCGTAAAGGAGTCTACATAGTACATTACAGTATTGTTGAGTGACCAAACAAGTCCGTTAGATATCGTCACTGGCTTAACATGGATACGAGGTATGAAGTTCGGACCTTCCAAGCTATACAATGTGCCTTCATCGGGTGTGACTATATGGCGGTTTTGACGACCTTTTGTCCCTGAAATCAAAAATCTTTGTTTAAAACAGAAATAACAGAACAAAATACCTACATAATATTTGTCGCCATTTGAGTGCTCGTAGGTAGGTACAACTCGGAGAGTTCTAATGTTAATCGGGTAGCTGACTAACCGTAACTTTGATCAAAATATTATGAGTAATTTGTGTATGACCATGAGTTCATTAACTGCGTGCGTGTGTGTGTGGGTGATTCGGTACGTAAAAGTATGTTTCCGTTCGTGTTCTAAAACCTGCACAAGCTCTGTGTAGTTTTCGTAGTTAAAGACATAATATATTATGTCAGAATAAAATACAAATACAAATTCATGTGAAAATTATATGCAGGTATATAATCTTTTAAGTTATGTTAAAAACTTACCTCCCCAAAACCTGCCGATAGCATCTGCTTTTCCCTCGTTTAGTACATTGTCTGGGAAGCCCTCATCTAAAGCAGCGACCAGTCTCAACGCGGCGTCACCCGGTTTGTACCAGTCGAGAAGGAACAACTCGCATCTGACACCCACTAGAAGACGACGGCTGTTTTCTATCGGCATAACTATGTTGACCTCGCCATATGCTGTTACAATGAGGATTTGTTAATAAATCAAAGTGTATGCAATATACCTACCTATATTTTTGCTTTTATGAGGGGGCAAAAGGAGCAGACGTTGGTTTGTTTGTTTCATTTGCCCAGAATGCCTGCAACTAAGATTCACAAATGCATTGTCGTCCTTTGGGTCACCCTAGAACCAGTGGCGGGGGGCGGTTGATGCTTGGGATCATACACTCGGTGGAAGCAAAAAAATATTGCTGAGCACCGGTTTTGTGTAACGTGGTATCTGATACCGTGAGTTCTTTGGGAGAGCCGCCCCATTTGTACCAAAGCACTCACGGTATACCGAATCTCGATTTCGTGGTAAATTTTTAGAAGTATTTAAAATATTAATTTAAAGTCGTGTTATTCTTACCAATGTGTTTAATATCATGACTTCCTGTATAATAGTTTAAGGAATGTACATCTTGGTTGATCACGTCGACCCAGAACAAGGTATTTGTAGCTGTATCCCAAACTGGACTCTCGGCGTGAGTGAACGTAAGATTTGTGAACTCGAATGCGTTAAAGTGTTCATTGTGTCGTGTTAAATGCTGAAGGAAGAGGAATTTATAATTAATTAATATTTACTTAATCAATCATTTGTTTTGTAATTAAACGTTTGCTAAGTGGAAACTATGAGAGGCCGAAATATCTAATAAAAAGTCACATAATATTATTTATTTATTTACTAAACAAATGAAACAAACAAATTATTATATTTTTAATACTTAGATTTATTATGTAGGTACAGTCGAGTTCTTTAATATCTGACCATGTTCATGAATCAAAAATATATAGGCAATGGTATGTTTCATAAAATTCTAAACAGGTTTGCCTTACAATAAATTGTAAACACTTCGTGACATCACAAATAAATAACTACATAATATCAATAATATTGTTACAGACAAAGACTAAACACGGTTAGGGATTGCGCACAATGTTTAGTCTTTGTCTTTTACTTTAAGTAAGGTTCATAAACTTTTATGCATATTATTTTGATGTCTGGATTTTTTTCTTAAATTCTTTGATGAACTGTAACAATCTCCTTAAAAAAGTAAATCTTTTTTAAGGAGATTGTTATTGATTGTTATTTTTTAATGGCGATTACGACTTTTTTTAAATTTAAATTTGATGTTGACGGATGTCCACGTAATCGATGATTACGTGGACATCTTAAAAGATGTATTTCTTCCAACCGGTAAATTTGTTTATCCCGATGGTAATAGAATCGAATCTGTACACAAATTTCTTCCTCTACCGATTCAACGACCATCCGTCCTGTAGGACGAAAGTTGCGTCCACAATGAAAGAAGAGTCCAGGGGTGGATAGCTCAACAAGAAAATTTACATTTAATTAAACTACCGCCAAGAAGTCCTAAACTAAACCCCAATGAAAATTCATGGGGTTTAATGGTTCAAAATCGGGACTCCACTTGAGTAAGATCAGTAACCAATTTAAGGGTACACGTACATGAGATTTGGGAAGGTTTTAGAAGTAGCGCCGCCTGTTTAAACACGATTGCACGATGTGATGGATATATCAGATTCTAAAACTGGCAGCACTATTGCTAAAGCAATACTGCTGCCAGTTTTAGAATCTGATAACCTTACCTGGAAGTTCCCTCCTTATTTTAAATGTTAGGTTTTTAGAAGAACAAAATAAGTATTTTAAAATGTTTAATAAATTATAAAATAAATATTTGCTTAAGTAATGTTATTCTTATTTTAAAACAGACTGAATAAAAGTTTTGAACTAATACATATAGTCTGCGTTGACCTTAAGATATCCTAAAACATAATTAATCAAATAATACAAATGCTAACCAACGTTGTCATAGTGATACAGTTCTATTACGAATGGCAACGTCGTATTATTATTTTCACAAATAATTAAAACTATACATCTGTATACACATTTAAATGTGTAGGTGTGAAGATTGTTCTAGAATACTGACTGGCAACATCGGTCTTAATGACCTCATCATCAGCAGAAGCCAGAAAGTATATCAGTAGTAGGTATACGGCCCTTATATTATGCGAACGAGAATTCCATTGGGGTCCAGTTTGTTTAGTAGATTTATCATTTATCTGAACCTAATCTAAATGTTTTGGCATTGCCACACAGGATGACGGTCCTTATGCGTAGCTTGACGTTTCTAAAGGAACCTATATATCGCTTGGATCTAATAGGTCTTTACCTATGAAATTGCCGTTTTGTATGCAATAAGTGAAAGTACTTATTTTTTCAAACTTTTTTATTTCTGTTATTCGAAGTAATCACCCATGCAATCGACGCATCTTTGCCAACGCTTTGGCAGTTTATTGATGCCCTTATTGTAAAAATCAGCTGGACGGGAGGCAACAAACTCTTCAAAGGCATTTTGTACTGCCTCTCGGGAATTGAATTTTTTACTCACTAAAAAGTTGTCTAAATTTTGGAAAAAGTAATAGTCGGTAGGTGCAAGGTCTGGTGAGTATGGTGGATGAGGGAGAGCTTCCAACCCCAGCTCTTGCAGCTTGGAGACTGTCTGTTGCGCAGTATGGGGTCGCGCGTTGTCGTGAAGGAGCAGTGGGGACGACCGATTGACCAAATCTGGTTGCTAATTATTGCCTATTATTAATTTACTTACAGATAATGCAGATGTCGCCGTTACTAAACTGTACAAGTGATAAATTACTAGTTGCACTGATTTAAACGTGGCGATCTCCATCTTCTGTAAACACTTCAGCGTTTCAATCCAATATAACAACTTGAATATTGCGACTAGTGGGTACTTTGAGTTGAATTAAGGCATGAAGACTCACATTAGCACTAATTAGACCACACTTAATGAAGAAAATGAGTGGAATAAATCGAGAGTGATTATGTATATGCTACATGTGTACCTACATACCAACATATGTACATTATTACATTAATTGAAAAGAGTTTTGGTAAAACTTGAGTTTCCCAATATTTTCGTTATTTCAGAATAGTCTTTCAAGATTATACAATTATAGCTACAAAAGTTTTTCAGTTCATATCTTAATCCGAATCGGAATATATTGCTATATCTTCGCGTGCGCTGCAAAAATTCGATAGTACCTACATAAAAACAAATATACAAAAAAAAAAAAAAAAATACAGTCGAATTGAGAACCTCCTCCTTTTTTTGAAGTCGGTTAAAAAAATGGATATATTTCTAACCACCTCCTCTCTTTCTTCCCGGAACCTCTTTAAAATTTTGTTTCGAGGCTCTTTGGCTTCTTCCGAGAGAGTTCCAATCAGCACAATATTTTTTTTTCTCGATTATATGTGTGTATAAATAAGATATGTACGATTGACGATAGTACCAGTCGTATAATTTCTGCTGTTTTGCGGGCAAAATCTTAAAATGTAATTACGTCGATCTTGTCGCTAGATATTATCGCTTGATAAATCACAGCAAATCTTTTAATTAGCTATTAGGAATCTCGAAAAACTTACTTGCAGCTGACCCTTGTTTCACTATGTCAATCAATCAACAGATTGAGCTCATCATAATCTTTTGAATTGTATTTAAGTATAGTACTAAAATAATATCCTTGCTAATAATAACCTCTGTTTAAATTATCAATAAAAGAGAATAAATAGTTTGATTTTTCTTTGGGTTACTACCATTCTTCATATTGATGTTCTTAACTTAGACACTAAAAGGAACCGTTTCAGATGTAAAAATAAACAAAAATATTTTGATGATTTAAACAAATAGCAGTAAAACCGTTATATATATATATGGAGTATGACAAAAAATCATAAATAATTAGTACTATTACCGTTTAAGAGATAATTAGATTTTTCATACTAGCTTCCTACAAATTTTGCGTAAAAAATCTAATTCCCTCGTCTTTATGCAGACCTAACTCGGATGTCATTTTTGTATATAGTAATAACTAGAGACCGGATTATATGCATTTGCATATGCTTTTGCTTATTTAAGATATTCTCAACGGTAATAACATATTTTACCTGAGATCTAGTTATGATGCATATTATCGGTACATTTACAATATTTTTTCGAGTGCAGTGCATTCACCCTGTGTTCCGAATTCGACCCGGAACGTTATTACTAATAACTAATCGAACCGATATCCGGCAAAATTTTAAGCCCACCGTGTGGCGGGTCGCTAGCCATTCTAGCTAATATTATAATATGTAAGTGAGTTTCTTTGTTTGTTACGCTGTCATGCTTAAACCACTAATTTGAAAAATTCTTTCACAAATGGAAAGCTACAATATCAGCAAGTAACATAGGCTACAGTTTACCGCGATAATAGACATAAACGCGGGCGGAGCCGCGTGCAAAAGCTAGTATAATATAAACGCGTTAGATGAAATGTGAAGATGCATGTATGGATGTTTGGTTTGGTAATCGCGCCAGCACGGCTGAACGGATATTAATGAAATTTAGCTGATAGTCTATCATAGCACATAGGCTCCTTTTTATCAATTATGACTGCCTCATTGATGCAGTGATAGCGTATACGACTGTTGTGCTGAGGTCTCGGGTTCGATTCACAGGTCAGACCAAATGTTTGTATGATCTGCAAATATTTGTTTCGGTGTTTGGATGTTTCCTATGTATAATATGTATGTATTTACAAAAAAAAATTTATAAGTATGCTATCAGTCAATCTAGCTTTCATAGTACAAGCTCTGCTTAGTTGGAAACTAGATGGCGTTGTATGTTAGATGTCCAAAAATATTATTATTAAAATATTAATTGCGAAAAAAGGATTGTAACAATTAATTAAACATTAATTGGTAAAAGCGACAAAAATGCGAGTGAAACCGCGGGTAACACCCATTAAGGAATAATAACACCACAACACATTTTTATATACACATTGTAATTTATAATAGTTTGATCAATAAAAGTCAGCGTTATCAAATCGGAACATGTTAGGAGTAACCCCACGGCTGCCTGTGCCTCGAATCGTGAAAATAGCGCCTCCAAGAGGTTCATTTGTGACATCGTGATTCCCCCGGGCCGTTGTCACGAATAGCTCGTCGAAGTTGGGACCGCCCCAACACACGGCTGATACACGAGATACAGGGAGCTTGTAGCCGAAGATCACTTGACCTTTGTCGGGGTCTATATGCAGGACCTGTAAGACCAAAAAAATTTTTTTTTAAAGACAACACCCGCACAAAGAATATATCCTATGTCACGGGGAAGTTCAGAACATACATACAACGGTCAGAAAGAACACCCAAACTCGGCACAACAAATTGTGAATCACACAAAGTGTTATCCTATGTGACGATCGAACCCACTACACTATGCTAATTAGGAACCAGCGAGGTGACCGCTTAAACCAGTACGCCATCCGTGCAGTCAATGTTGAACAGAACAAACAATTTATGTTAGGTACGCAATGATATAATGGATTGATTATCTGTAAAAGCAATGTGTATCCGAGTTCAGTCCAAGATTTTGTAGATCAATATTTTGAAGGATTCGAATCGGACATAGTGCGTTACCGCTCTACGATGGTTTGTATAAACTATTCTAGTATGAGGTAAAAGGGAAATAAGTGTAAGATACTTACAGTGCCCCCGAGCATAAGTGCAACCCATAACTTGCCGTGACTGTCGATGGTCATACCATCAGGAAAAGCATCTTCATATCCATAGTTAGTAATGTCTAATATTGTTCTGCGCCCACCTGTAAATAGACGGCAGTTAGAATACAATGCCGATATAAAAATACGATAGTGAAAACTGTTCTCCTTAATACTGAAAGTTTAGGCTGAAAATAGGTACCTATCTGCAGTCTCAGTAAAATCTCTTTTTAATTTCTTCCCTCATTTTTAATTAGCTCCTCGTCGAAGTTTTGGGAGCGGTGTCAAAGTATTAAAGAGGACTTCGCGATGGTTTCGCGATGATGTAAATTAGGAAGCGCCAAAAGGAAACCAGAAGAAATTAGGAGAACTGCAAGAGGAGTCTAATTACGAATAGGCTTGGCAAGACACATTAGAGGCTTAAACTTTTGGCGGTGAGGTTTCTAGTGGTTGTATTATAATATTGTGGAATAATGTTAAAATCGTATATTATAACTTACTCAAATCTCCCTTATGCAGATCATAGTCAAACGCTTCGACTTTCTGCGTAGCTGAGTCTATGTAATACAACACGCTGTTGTTTAGGGACCAGACAAGCCCACTGGATATGGAAACAGGACGAATCTGTATGCGGGGCTTGGCGAAACTCTCTTGCTCTATTGTATACAGAGTTCCTTTATCAGGAGCCACCTCGTCACCTCTTTCAGGCCCTTTCGTTCCTATGGATGAAAGAACAATGGCAGAAACATATTTACCTAAAACTGAAGCGTTTAAAAAATTGGCTAACAGTAACCTTACTAAATATTTTTTCAATGATTTATCATTATACCGCCATGTGTTGTATAAGTCTAATAAGAGATTGAATATTTTTAAAGATTTTATTTGACCTAAGTACGTAATGTCAGAATCGCCATCACGAACTGACTAGGGATGCGTGATGACATTATTATATTATGGAACGTTTTATCGATAATCGATTGTTATAACTTTGGCTTAAATATCTATCGAAGGTTCACCTATAATGATTATGAATTTGATTCTGCCATCGGGTTTACTCATACGCTACCGTAACTAGTACTGTAGTGACTAAATCAACCTAATTAAAAATAATTTAGAATATTTTTGACTCTTCTTAAAAGATTTTTGCTACACCAAAATGAATAGAATATAGTTACGTTATTTTCCTACAGAAAAATACTAAAACAATATACTGCTTACTGTGATGAGAAAAAGACATTGTAGGTTGATAACGGCATATAAATAGGCATGCATCGATATTTTTAAAATGTCGATACGTCGTCGTCGCACTTACTATAACCCGGCAATCTCCGTCCGTCAACGCCGTGCGCGACCGTTCTGCGGGGTCCTGTGGCGGGGACGAGGTACTCACGATGTCTCACGGTGGTGTAGCGGTGTGTAGCCGTGTGCTAGAATGTCGCGCTACCTCGCCCCCGCCACTGTCTGTCACCCCGCGGGACGGTCGCGCACGACGTTGACGGACTATAGTCTTGTCGTTTGACACTTACACGCATGACTTACATACCATTTCTCACAAGGCAATTGTAGTTTATTTGGTTGTTTTACTTTTATTTAATATTAAACTCTTATATATGTTTATTTTAATTTTATATAGTGTTACTCCATTATGCATGATGTGATGCCTTAAAATGTTGTGCATTAATCTCAATATAATGGATGCATGCTTTAGATTTTAGTAAATAATGTCACAACTACTGACTGTTGAATAACTAAATAATTAAATAAATGCTCCCGCCTTGTGTAAATGTGTATTGAAGTACATTTATTCAAATTATTATTAATAATTTATGTATTTATTACTAGTATTACACCTGCTATGTAAGCGAAGATTTTTTTCTATTGTTTACCAATACATGCTAACCAAATACCCTTCCTTCCTTCACCCATTTAGAGAGTCGGCTAACACTTTCTACAGCAAAATAGGGTTGCTTATGAGTAATAATAATGATGAATAATATTTTCGAATATATGACACACAACGCCATCTAGTTTCGAACAATACATTTACAATATTTTAGTACTTAACCTCGAAACATTCAAAATCCAAAATCTTTTTTCCTAGACTTTTTTCGCTAGTAATTTTTTTATGAGAATGTTCAAGAATAAATTCTCAAGGGTTAAAGGCATTTTTGATATTTAAACGCTGTCAATTCACTTCAAATAAAATTATGTATGGGGACCTGCCATTCTCCTTTGTAACATACCATGAAATCAAGAAAATGTAAGAACGTATTCCTATTTATCATTCAATAACCCTGACTTCATTCACTATTTAATACTTTACCGGTTTAGTTTAGCGCGATTCAAATAGGGGTAAGTAAAGGCTACTCAAGCACAGGACCGGTTGTTGTGGAGCGTCTTGGAGGACGTCTATGTCCAGCAGTCGACGTCTTTCGGCTGAGATGATGATGATGAAGGCTACTCAGACCTGCTGTACCAGCGTTAAGTTCGTAAGGTAACATAAGTATAGTGTATATTTAGACATACCTGCCCAAAAACGTCCTTCAGCATCAGGTTTTCCATCACTGATTACGTTATCTGGCAAACCCATATCCAACGTAGTGACCAATCGTAGGGCCTCATCACCAGTCATACCCCACTCGAGCAGGTATAATGCTGAACGTACGGAGACCAAAACTCTTTGCGAGCCACTTACTAGCGATACTACATTTACTTCACCGTATCCTGTAATTATAAACGTTTGTTTTTCTTTTGAAATGACAAGATGTTTTATTTATTTACAGAAGACTTAAAAAGAATCTTAGTTATAATGTCTACAACTTATAATTATCCAATTATATATCACTGACATTCACCCGCGGCTCTGCTTGTGTATTTGGTTTATCCCTCAGGAACAATACTTTTTCCTGGACGAAAGGTACCTTTTCAGTGCTTCTGAGAATAGGGTAGCCCGATGCGAATCGGATCAAAATAAGAAATAATTTAATATTAAGAATAACGCGTTGAAACAGAACGCAGGCGACTGGCGTTTTTCGACCCTCGCCCGCCCTGCACCTCGAGATCGGGTACCTACCAAGTCGGGTATTTGTGTGCGTTACAATTTTGGCGCTCATCTAAGGTACGTAGTTACTATTTTGTTGTCACTTTAAGGATTTGTATTTAAACTTTGAATTTTATGGCTTATATTGATTTCTTGTCTTATTTTGGCTTATATTAGTTCAAGATTCCTTAATAGTATTGCCGTTCAGATTATCCCTACTTAAATCTGATCACTTCGCCGTCATGCCACACTAATTATAATAAAATTCATAGGTAGTCAATACTATAAATAACTTACCGATGTACTTAGAGGTAATCTTGCCGGAGACATAATCGAGTTTATGCACTTTGTTATCGCGTGCATCGACAAAGTACAAACTCTGTAGCACCGGATCCCATACAGGACTTTTACCGTGAATAAAAAGGGCTGGACTACCGGGATTCTCATGTGATGAAACCTATTTGTAAGAATAAATAAATCATTATAATTTCTAGCCCAAAACTTAATTAAGCTAGCTTAACTGCCTGGACTAACATGTTATAAATATGAGACCTATTTTTTAGGTATAGTTTGTGTCAAGTTTTCCTTCTCTCTGCAGTGCTGGTGTTCTGCGTAGTTTTTCCCTTAGTCGGCTCTTACGACACCCATGGGATGAATAGGGGTGACACTTTGTATTATTAATCCGTCACCACACGGAACCTGAATTGGCATGTATGTTTATGGAAAACTTAAAAAGCTTAAACTTTCAATTCCAATGAGACACAATAAATAAAAATTCAATTTTAATTGTAGTGGGCAATTTGCGCTTGTAAGGCATGTGACAGTTTAAAACATTATTTATCTGGTCCCATGAAGTGATTATAGCATCATCTACTTACCATAGAAATTCTATAAAACTGTTGTGTTTCTTGATTGTCTTGAGGTTCCACTGACGCTATACATTTTGAATATTGACTTAAATAAACTAAACATATGAAAATGAACATTTTTCAAATAACAAATCACTTGGGGTCACTATAAAATATTTTTTATTGAAAATTTCACTAACCGTACTGTGCTGGTACGGTTATCTAGATAACTGTGGAGAAATCAAGTGTTTCCAAAACATATCAACAATAAAATGACTCTGTAAAGGATGCAAGTCGACTTAGTTTTATTTTTATAGCGAAAAGGTAAACCAAAAGCATAGTTGTTGATAACATGGCACAAAGGAAGAGTGAAACAACATTATCGATTAATTTCTTTTTATTTCATAACGTCACGTTATGGACCTACGTTTATAAACACTTAAATATCTAAGGCAGTTTGAACACAGCGGGTGGGACGAGCCGTCAGCGTACATAAATCTTTTACAATAAGTTCAATATGAACCGTTATATCTTCAATTGAAATATAAATGAGATTTTTAAATAACCATAGTTGATTTCCTTTATATAACTTAATATGAAAACATGTTTAATATGTCCATGAATGTTGTAATAATAGTGTATAATATAGTGGCTACGTCAATTTAAAATTTTAAGTGACATATGTTGACTATTAATTAAATTAAGAAAAATAAATGCTCTTGCTAAACTAGCTTAGTGTGTCAAGTATTGTTTTTGTATAATCAAAAGGCTTACAAGAGACTCGACAAAAGGTTAAGGAATAAAAATGTACGTTATTATTTATGCTGCTGATATTAGAATCCTTCTATTTTGTGTACAATTGTGTATTGGTGTGTTTTTACTCTATTTTAAAACGTCAAAGCCTGTTTGACATAACTGTGTAGCAGTATTTTACAAGTACTATAAAACTGGTTCTTGAACATACTACTAATTGTAATGAAGTTAATATACTCATATCAAGTGTTATGGATTGTTTTCGCGTACGGAACGTGTCGCCCGCTGTGTGCGCGCTGGTCAAGAATAAAGTTATATTAACTTAATACCATTAATACTACTTCCCTTCAGTAAGATCCCTTTGATACGATATATTTGTTAAAATAAGCTTAGAATGACAGTTCCTTATCTTCTTAGTTTACTTTACACATGATTAGGGAACAATAGGCTGTTATCGCAAAATCGCTCCGTTCACTCGCCCTCGCTATACATCGATACATTTGGGTGATTCCACTTTGATATGAAGTCGCCACCTCACCTTCGGTTTGCAACGTTAAAGAAATATTATCATTTTTTTAATTACCAAAAAGAATAAATTTATAATTCTTATAATAATTTTTTACCGGCCATAAATCACCAGCACTTATACTCTTTTTCTTTTCTGAAGTTTTTTTTTTTTTGAAGTATTCCTTTAGAGTTTTGTCTATTCAGTACACTTTTTTATATTTTGCTTTCTTTAACCGACTTCAAAAAGGAGGAGGTTCTCAATTCGATTGGTATATTTTTTTAATCATGTTTTCATTCCTTTATATTTTATATATAATGAATTAATTACACATATTTGTGTATGTAAAATAATACTCCTTGCAACGGTTGGTAGTAATTTTGGATTGGTCTTGTAAGTAAAAGTCATTCTAATCTTTCAAAATATATACAATTTAAAAAACAGTAAAGAAATGAATTTATATGGTGTGATGAAAATAAACAACTGCAACAAAGCTTTTTAAGTTCTAATGTATAAATTCGAAACTACTTTAATACTAATACAAAATCAGTGAGTTGACAGTGTGTTTCAATTTAAAAATAACTATTTAATTACATAGATCTATTGAGAGAAAGCCTTAAATAACATAAATGAAGAAAAGCTAATTACTTATTTATTTTATTATCCCTTGACAAAATTAGGACTTTTTATCCGTCAGTCACGTGATTGGAAACACCCATCACAACACCGTGGAAAACAATATTGATACAATTCCGATTTATGAATTAAATAAAATAAATTTAATATTACATTATGGGTATTTTTTAAACACATGAAGCCTTTATAACTATAATTGAAAAGCGTCAACTGTCTGATTATAGCTTGCATATTTGTTAATCGAATATTATGTACAAAAATGAAATAGATCGACACAAGAATTCTGTAGAAAACAATAAAGAGCGGCAACGTGGGTAAGATTAAAAACTCGCCTACAAAACTAAAATCTTCATGGGTACGGACAATACATCGGAGCTAAAAGCTACATTCATCGAAGACCACACGCCTAAAGGTCAATTAAACGATACGAAACTGGTCAACCGTGAAACGATATAAAATAGATAAACGGACAACAGGAATGGCGTTTAGGTTTAGGCAGGCTCACAGCCTGGTGCTGTCGGGCGAGGCGGCGAGGTCGTGCAGCGCGTGGGGCGCGTGGGGCGCGGGGTGCGCGTGCGGCGGGCGGCGCTAGGCGTGCGGCGGCGGCGCGTCGTGCGGCGCGTCGGGCGCCACGGCGGCCGCCACCGCCGGGGCCCCGCCCACGGCCGCGCCGCCCGCTCCGCCGCTGGCCGCCGCCGCCGCGCCCGCACCGCTCTCCGCTTGTAACCTGCGCGACGAGCTCTCTTGTGAATACGCACTCGCTCTGCCACCGAGGGCCACGACACGTCTTAAAGCGATTCGAGATTCGACGGCGAGGAGAACCGTCTCATACGGGGAAAAGTTGAGTGTCCAGCTGTATACTGAAAATAGAGGTCGCTGGCGTACGAAAAACAACGATATGAACATAGCTCTTGTAAACGGAACGAAGTGTGTTTAGCTAAAATATTATATCCTTTTTTTGTCTGAAAGCTATTGAACTTTTATTTATCGTCTGTAAAACTTATTCACTATAAATAGCATAGCAGTCTAGTAAACAGTGTCTAATTATTGTTTATCCTTGACTATCACCCCTATTGGACACGTTTTTACGAATACTTTTCATACACAGAGATGGTTCTCCTTGCCGCTACCCTCCTTAAATTTGACGTGATCGCTTTTATTGTTATTGAATTATTAATTAAAATTATAATACTTTATTAATTACCTTTGATGAGCTTGATGCCTGGCTCGGAACTCGGCCGCCTTGAGTTGTTCCAAGTGAAATTGTTGTCGTTCCTGAATTAATTGTTGTCTCTGGTACTCCAAACCTAATTAACATACGTATATTACGTGAACTACAATACTAAACACGTAAATTTTGTTGGTAACAAACCACCGTTTGATTAATAGCTAAGATCAATATTGCAAATACACATTACTTGATTTACATTTATATCACCATATAAAATCTTCAAAAATAAACTCGTCTGTAAGTCCCACAATTTAAAGATCACTCTATAATACTTTATAGAGAACCCCCCCCCCCCCCCCATGACATTAAAATCATTCATCACTTTAGCTCATCGAATCACCTAATAATACAATCGGCTCACCTTCTCGCTCCCTCTCCATAGTGGCCTCCAATTCTTCAAAGTGCCGTAGCTTAATCTCTAACTTCTTCATCTGCGTCTCGACGAGCAGGGCGACGAGCGACTTGATCTTGCGTTCCTCTACCCCCGCGAGGTGCTTCGCTTTGACGGCCGCCGCAGCGAGAGCCGCCGCCGCCGCCGACTGCAGTTTCGCGTCCACAGCTGCTGGGGCTTCTGGTTTTTCTACAGATAGAATAACTGTTAATATATTAAGAATTTTGTTTTTTTTTTATTTGTAATTCCCAGGACAATGTTTGTATGAAATAATTGTTTTGAAGAAAAGTTGAAATTTATTGTTTTGTATAGAGTACTTAGTATTGTCGTTTTGTTTTTTAATTTTGATATGGCATTTCATTACGTGAAATGGATCTTTTCAAACACACAAATCATTTAGTACATCTAAACCGTCGGCCTGATTCTGAGGAGGTTTCTCTTGCTTGCTTGTTTTCTACGCAAATTAATTTTTTTTAGCTTACAATAAAGAAATGTGTTCTTCATAATAAACTTAGTTTTTGTACGTGTTAGTGGTTGACTAGCTCCAAAACTGTTCGACCGATTTTAATAAAGATGGCGGTGCAACGGGATTTTAAGATTATCATTTAATTTTCCAACGATTTATTTTTTATTTTTGACTATGTCTGTCGATTCTTAAGTATACTCTCTCTGTGTAAAAAGTATCGGGAATATGTCAATAAAAAGACCCGCGTAAAATTATATATATATTGTTGAACAAAGAGTGTGCCTTAAATGTTGTGTTTCGAATGATATTTCTTGTGGTGAATCACTAAAAATGTTGCGAAATACCTACGGCGAATCGTGTATATCGAAAACAAGGGCTTATGAATGGTATAAGGCTTTTAAAGAAGGCCGAGAAGTAGTAGCAGACTTGCCTCGTTCTGGTAGACCTTCAACCGCTACGACCAAAGAAAACATCGACAGAATCAAGAAGCTAGTGCTCGAAAATCGACGTATGAGTCTGAGAGAGTTGGCTAGTGAGGTGAACATATCTTTTAAGTCCGTCCACAACATTCTCATTGACAATTTAGGCATGAAACGCGTCGCCGCTCGACTAGTTCCAAAAGAGCTTAATTTTGTTCAAAAAGCGGAGCGAAAGCATGTCGCTGAAGACATGGTTTCCCGAGCTTCTACGGATCCGACCTTTATGAAACGTATAATAACTGGCGACGAGACATGGGTTTATGAGTACGACATGCAAACAAGCCAACAGTCTTCAGAATGGCGTCTCGAAAACGAGCCGAAACAAAAAAAAAAAACCGCGGCAAAGTCGCTCCAAAATCAAGGTGATGTTGACAGTTTTTTTTGACTACCGTGGTGTGGTTCACTCCAAATTCCTTCCAGAGGGAGAAACAGTGAATAAGAATATTATTTAGGCGTCATGAAGCGTTTGCGTGAGAGTATCCGCCGAAAACGTCCAGATTTGTGGCAACACAACTCATGGATGCTGCACCATGATAATGCACCATCACACACAGCCATTATAGTGAAAGAGTTTTTAGCGAAAAATTCAACAACAGTTCTCGACCAAGCACCGTATTCACCTGATATGGCTCCGTCTGACTTTTTTTTATTTCCCAAGTTAAAATTACCACTTCGAGGAAAACGTTTTGAGTCGATAGAAGCCATAAAAGAAAATTCGCTGAATGAGCTAAAGGCCATACCGCAAATAGCCTATGAAAAATGTATGGAAGACTGGGTGAAGCGGTGGAGATGTTGTATTGCAAGCGATGGGGCCTACTTTGAAGGCGATAAAATAAATTTAGATGAATAATTTGTATTTTTTGTTTTATTGACAAATTCCCGATACTTAGTACACAGAATGTACAATTAATAGTAAGCGCAGTGACTGAGAACCGTAGAACCGAGATTCTAGAAACTTGATTTGTATTGTTTAATAGTAGTTAAATTAAATATGAAACAAAAAAAATATTTTCCGACGGCACAACGACAATAATAACTTTTTAATTTATCGATACAAGGCTTTTTGTTCAGCGAGACAGTACAGACAGTAAATTTTATTTTACCTTCTTTGTTAGCCTGCGTTGTTGATTCTTCTTTAGGTTCCTTATCTGTTTCGGCTGACGGGGACGTTTCCGTAGGTTCGTCTTTCACTTTAGCTTCACTTTCCTCGACCTCCATAGGTTCAGCTTTAATTTCCGATGAACCTTCTTTTTTGGTTTCTATAACAGATAATGATCAATATAAAACATACAATACATTCATACAATAATCAATTAAAACAGTTAGGATATTAGGTATTTATGTTCTTATCGAGTTAAGTAGTGTTAATGCTTTGGTTTTGTCATAAGGTAAATTGTAGCGAGAGATATAGGTTCTGATCGGGATGTTCGGTATAAGTATTTGTGTTTAGATTAAAACAGGATAAACCTTTGTAATTAGGTAAATGTATTTTTTTATAATTTCATTGTTAATTATCTACAATATACATGTATTTAGAAATATGTAAGTATTTATAAGCAGTTTTGTTAGCATAGTATAGGCTCTGGCTGGTTTGTGATCAGACGATGGTGAGGTTAACATATTATATTTTTAATATATTTATATATAAATCTTATACATTTACTATTACCATAGATACTTATGGTTTATTCGCGTTAAGAAAATAGTGACGCATCGAACAAGCCTCGCTCCCTGATCGTTCAGGGGGCGGGTCTCGATCGACGCGTGACTATAATGAGAGTGAAGTATAAAGCAGTAGCATTAGAGCGTGTATAGGGCCGGTGTCAGACCTGGCGGCGCGAGGTCGGGAGCGGTGCCGGCGATGCCGGTGGCGGCCAGCGCGGCCGCGGGTCCGTGCGCGCCCGCCGCCTTCACGTGCGCCTCCATCATGGCGGCCGGCACCTCGTCCTGCAACGGGGGAAACTCTCTTCAAAATTCTAACCGACATCAGGGGTCTAGTAGGTAGTTTATTTTACATTAATTCTATCGTCGACTGACAGCGGTGTGCGATTGACCCGCACTGAACTCTTCACCGATCGCAAAGCCGAACGCGGTCGCAGTCGACGATCGAGTCGATGTAGAATAAACTCGCACTGGGTCCCCAGGATTAAGGATGAAATATACAAAATGGATACGAGACACTGTGATCGAGTTGATGTTACTTACCAAGAATCTGACCACATTATAAGGTACAAACACAGTACAACTTATTATGAACACAAACAAACCTTGATCGCTGCGAATTCTTCCATAGCGGCTCTAGTAGCCTTTGAAGCGATGCGTGGATCGACGACTGACGCCAGGAAGGCTACAGTACTCATTACGGGGTTGCCGGTCTTGCTAAACGGTATAGGTTGGTACGCCAAAGGTCCCAGGACACCACCTATAATTTTCATTTATTTATATAATAAAATAATACTATTGATGAGCTTGGTCTCATAATAGTATTTGATACTAGGGTATCAAATACTTCGCCAGGGACTTCCTTTAAAAAAATATTCACCAGGGCCTTCCTCTCTAGGGTATACCTGGTTCCCCGGCTATTACTACCCAAGACGGCGTGCGGTTTTAGTCGGTTCGAGTCCGACATGCCACCGATAGGTGGTATCCGAGGGGATTTCCGCACGGAAAAAAAAGGGTATCAAATACTATAATCGGTAGGTTTATAACAGATTTTTTGTTTATTTAAATAATAATGTCTTCATAGTTCTTTATTTATTATTTTTGAAAGTTATATTTGTTTTATACTCAAATCAAAATACATTAAGTTAAAAAACGAATAATTCATACCAGCTGAAGTGTCATGCAGATACGGTTCCTCAATGGGCAGTCGCAGGAAGTGCAAGATACACTCGTCCTGTGTGCGCGTGCCTACGTGAGCCGCCACTCGGTTCCAATCGTCGCGGTGTAACTCCAAGGCTTCCAACAGCAGTAACGTCTCTTGCTCCGTCCATTCCCGGCCGCGAGCACCACCACGATACTGATAACAAAAATAGTACATTATTACACCTACCGGTATTGGTTAAACGTAACGGACCCATAAAGTAAACCAAGAAAGGCACTTTTATAAACACGTGTTAGTTTCCAAAGGGCTTTCAAAGTGTTGCAGAATTTTGTAACATTATTAATAGTAATTAACGTTTAATTTCAAAGTAATAACAATAATATAAACCGAGTAAGCAGTATTCGTAGGTCATCAATAAGTGAAAGCATGAGATACCTGATCAAGTTTAAGTCCCGGGGCTGTGGGCAGGTCGACGGCGGCAGGCTCGGGCTTGACGGGCGCCGCGGGCGGGGCGGCGGGCGCGCCCGCCTCTGCGCCGTTGGGCAGGCCCGGCTCCACCTTCGGCACGTTCTCCGCTGGATACGACGAACACAAGATATAGCAGTGTATACGCGACATATAAATAAACATTATCGACTGCCTTTAATAGTCTACTACTGGACATAGGCCTCTCTTTAGACAGGAGGTTTTTGCCTACTATACCTCGCTGACCAGGCGGGTTGGTATAGAGTTTGTGTCAAGTTTTCTTTTGCAGTGCTGTTGTCCTGCATAGTTTACTCCCTTAGTCCGCTCTTACAACACCCAGTGGATGATTAGGTGTGGTGACACTCCGTATTCATAATCCCTTAAAACAAATCCCTCAAACACGTGGTTGAACATGGTGAAAATTTTAATTGTGTTATTACGAAAGTATGTATTTGACACTCGATATAGAATAGTTTTACGCAAACAAAATAAAAGACGAAAAATAATTAAAAAGGGCATTTAGACTCCCAAACAATTTGATTTAAGCTTGACTGACATTCAAATATAAACTTTATTTGGTTTAAGCGCCCTGTCTCTTTTTTTGGTTCTCCCACATTTTGCGTATGCAAGTAAGTCAATATATCATTCATTAAGGAACGGGGTAGACGTTAAATGACGTTGATGATAATGCGTGTGTTATCTTCACTTTTATGTAAAATGACTTTGTAACTGAGAGTAGTTTTTAAACATGATGCGATATTATTAAATAATACTGGAGACAAAATAATATTAAAATTCGTTTTGTGGGAACTTTTCACAGAGAAAAAAATGATTTCGCAACAAATAATTGAATTGACTGACAAAATCTTTATTTATCCAAGTGGATTCGCAGATTAAAACTAATTAGTAATATTTTTTTTACAAGTATATCTAATTAGGAATGTAATCAAATGAATGCTAATAGCAAAAATTAATTCCCTATTATTATTATAACAACGAACACAACAAAAATTTGAACTATAACATATAAAGTCCTAGACGGCATCCTAAGACATTGCACAATTTCTTTTTAAAGTTTCAATTAAAAGGTGTTTAATACCTGGACGTGGTTGTGACGGCCTGGTGACTAATGGTTGTAACCCAGATGGTGTGTCGGACAGCACGTGGAAGTGAGATGTCGGTGGTGGTCCCATAGCTGTCGGACGAGATTCTGCCTCCAACTGTTCAAAGAAACACCACGAGTGAATTTCAACCTCTAGGAGAACACTAGTTTTCTTAAATACACTAATGCCGTGATCCGGCCGCTCTTTAGAGTGGGTAGACTGACCTGGTAGTTGATGAGCCCCCACTGCTCAAGGAAGCCGTGAACCCTCATGATAGCACACACGTCGCCGGCCAGGTTGCGGCGACTCGCCGTACTCGTCAGGTACTCCGTGGGGTTCAGCCGGTACGTGTCGATCATGAAGTTTCTGATTCATATTTGCATCACGTTAGTAATCACATCTAGGCTTATTAAGAATAAATTGGCAAATATTACTAATTTCTAAATTATAATGGTACGACTGCTGTAAATTTCAGAAAAATTTGCCTATTTTTCACAGAATCAATTTATAATTTCATTTTTTCATTTCACAGTAAAATAGGTTACTGTGCTTTTTTAAGCAAAACAACAATAAATATGTTCTCCACTCTTATAACTCAAACTGTTGATTGTTAATAATAACCACGAGAATCTTCAAAAAAGGGATATAATGTGGAATATAAGTGATTTGATTAATATATAATAGCAAACCTATAAGCGAGGTAAATCTCAGGTGTTTTAGATTTGTTCTTGCCGTTGAAGAACTCTGGAAGCGCCCGCTTCTCGATGGTGTGTATAGAGTTATAGTCGAACCAAGCTGAATACGACGGCACAACGATGTGATGTGTTTGATCCGTTACATTGTCTTCCAGTTCCTCTTTAGTTAGCATTTCCTAAGGAAACGAGAATTTACATTAAGATTTAAAGTAGTATGTGCAACGTAACGCCGTCTTATAGTTTTTGTCATAACATAAATTTACATATAATAAATGGGATTACTGAATAGTGGATTGACTTTGTCGCATTGATTTAGAAAATGAAATTCGTAAGGTAGTTTTAAATGCCATGCTTATATAAAAGTCAATGCCACAAGTCTATATTGGTTCGTACATTGAAGAGTTGTACAAAAATGCACGTATACTAGTAAGAACTGTATAAACAGCGCAAGGAAGTCCAATTATATGTTGGTCGTTATTTCGGATGCGATATTTAACTTTATCAAAATCGTTAAATACGGGCTGTACAAACAACGAATCATTCTTCGAGGGGGGGGCTTGAGCTCAAAAGCCACTGAACCATTATTTCTTATGTATGTTATTACAAAATACCTGTGTGTTTGAATCGCTATGTTTCCCCTGCGAGTCATCGTGTGTATCTAGTGGAGGTGCGGGGGTGGCTGGAGCTTCGGCAGCCGTTACAGTCTCCGTGGCCGGACCGCTGGACGTAGGCGGTGCTGCTGCTATTTGTATATTTACAATTGTTAGTTATTCGTCGACGCCATTGTCATGTAATAGTACATTGGACTGCTTATTTTTTACATAATTTACGTTTACTATTCAGCAATATAACTACTAATCACATAGTATGGACGCAGATGTGATCTCAGCATAATGGCAAGTTATAAAATGTATCTATCGGTCAGTGCACGATTATTATCGCACATAGATGACAAACGGATCTTAAAAATTCGTAAGTTTTAGATTAAAGATGTTTTTGTCATAAATTAATATCTGTTTTTATTTTTTTATTCGGTTCTGTATGTCATAGTTTTTGCATATAGTGTGATGTGACAAATAGTGTATAGCAGACGCTATATCAATCTTAATCTTTTTTTGTATAGTAACTTTTCTTGTAATTGTATGGATTGTAAACGTACTTACATTCCGTCGACAATGTTCTGTTTCTATACAATCAGGTAAGTTACATATAACTTTCATATAAAATTATGATGATTAAAAACGTCATCATGAGCAGTTACCGGTCGAATACTTTGTTACTAGTGTCACAGACACTATTATTAAGTAAGTGAAGTCGAAATACTAACGTTCGGCAGCTTTTTCGCTCTCAGGCGTAGGCACAGCATCAGTATTGTCCCTGGACGCATTGTCCTCTTCCTCGTCTACGTCGTTTTCTCGCCGCTTAGTTGTACGACTGTTGAATTACAACGTCATTAAAACTCAATCATTAAAAGATACCCCAGTTTAAACTTAAAAACAACTATAAATTTTACATACCCATTTAGTCTGAAAATAATTATAGTATCGCGCAAAGTTGTAATATTATACAGTTTTTTTTTTGTAATACTAATGAATGATAAGTAGTTACACATTGAACGTAATTGTTTTACAGTAGCTCTGATAAAAGAAACCGAAAATATTCGGTTTACCTATGTAAGTGACAACAAATTAGATGTTGAATAAACATGTTTAATGGAGACATCTCATAGTACGTCTCATTTATAGCAAAAATGACATTGAAAGGATTTCTATTTTTGCATATTAACTCGCTTTCGGGTATACCTATAAAATGAATGAATAAAATACCTCTTCCGTTTGCCATGCTTCTGCGGCGGCGGCGATGGAGATCGTTTCCTCTTGCTGCCTTTCTTTGACTTGCTCGAGGGCTCTGCGCCCGGGATCAGATCATCAACGGATAGCCGCAGCTTGTGAACCTATAAAACCAATCGCATCAATAGATCAATGAAGGAAAAAGGGACTTCAGACTTCAGAATTCTTAGTCCTATGTAATTAATATTTATTTAATTATAATTTATTTGCATGTTCATACATGCAAATAAAAATTCCGGCCATACAATTTACTACCTTACACATTCTTGAATAGATTTCTAGTTTTTAATGCATAATCTATGTAATAATTTTTGTTAATTTATTAAATTTTAATGACATAAATTGTATAAAATCACATATAATACATTACCTTTTTCTTCCCATTACTGTCGACCTCATAGTCCTCTTCGTTCATCCACTCATTGTACTGGGGAAGGTCTAGGGCCCAAGATGCAGAGACACGCCATTGTTCCGAACGATTACAGTCCCAGCTGACTGACTCTGGTACATCAACCTATGTCACATACATTTTGCTTGAGTTTCTTTGATTTATTATTATTATATATTATTTATAGAAGCTTAATTATAGAGGTAAATGTGTTTTGGTAATCATATAATTTGTTCTCCTTTATTCTGATTCAAACTTTTTCTTAATTTTCTACACCCCCACTGCTATGAGGTTTTGTACTTATAAAATAAAGCAGTAAATAAATTTTCCTTGAAAATCATAATATACTACATTAAAGGCTTTGAAAACAAAACAAATCCATTTGACTTCTTAGCAAAGAGAGAGATTAAAAACAAGTACATACGGGTAAATCAGCTTGTGCCCAGGTGTCATGGCTGTCAGGGAGATAATACCAGTGGACGAGAACGTGGTTGCCACGACGAAATACAGGGCGCGCGTACTCCTCCTCCAAAGGATCCACGGTCGGGTACACGATGTGTGTCGCGTCTTCTTCATCTTCTACATAAATAAATGGAAAAAATAACGAAACTATCTTTGTATTTATATGCAAGGTACATGTATTGCATGGTTCATGTTATATCTTACTTGTCACAATCTTCGATAGCAGTGCAACGTATGACTGTCAACGAATTATTTTGGCTTGTCAGCTAATTGACCTATATTGTTATTAGATGTATACTATGGATGGGACTTTAAAAAAAAAAAAACTTAAATAGTACAGGGATGTTAGGTGTGTCCTCAACACCTGGAGAATATTCAACCTGCCAAACAGATCGGCGGTAATGAACGATTAATTTACTGGAAACTTAAAGATCTCATAAATAACGTATTCTAAACATTTTTACCGCAAATTTCTCCTTGATGATTCACAACGATGTCTTTAACTTTGTTAGCAGTAGACTTGTCAACTTCCGGTCGAATGTAGACGCACGGTGTGCGGATGACTTCAGCACTGAGCAGAGACGAGTCAATCTCCATCATCATTTGCACATTCAGATCTTTACGCGAAGGATTCTGCAAATGCGGGAGTGGGGAGCAGGACCAGAAACGGTGATTAGTGTTAGTATATGATCTTAGAAAAACCCAGATAAATAAACTACGAAAAATAATCGAACAATTTGACGTCAGAAGTTAAATTCAAGAAAATTGTACGTTAAATAAACCATATACTGAATCAAAAACAAAGCTGCTTAAGCTTTAGATTCAATTATCAGTAATTAATTTATCACTTAGGTTTTAGGCCTCATTCTCACGAAATTTAAAATATGCTGTATAAACCAAAATTTGGCTCTTGCTAAGCCTTTTGCAATGTAGAGTTTGGATCATTAGAAATCAGTTGTATATGTTTTAAATTAGAAATAATAAGAATCTCTCGTGTCTAATGATCATAAGTTTTATCTGAGACACCAAAACACTTCTTAGAAAGTCTGTCAGTAATAGATTATGCTAACGTGCGAATGAGGTCTTATCAACTAGAGTGAAATAAAATTATTGTAGATAGTACTAGATATTAAGTAAACATAAAATTATTGATTGTAAAATAATAAACAAGAGATTGAGTTTCACCGATAAGAGTTATGTCAATATTCTGAACTATGTTAAGGACAACTAAAATATCTATAAGTACAATACTTCAAATTCATGGGAGATAAAAGGTTACGCATGCACAGATAGTAAAAGTGATATAAGAAAACCCACATTATATTAGTAATAAAAATGGTTACTTATCACACAAACACACAGTAGGTACAGTTTTAGTGAAAAAGATCCCCACAAACAATTTATACACAACAGAAATCCATTCTTCACAGGTTCTGAGTTTTAAATTATATAACTACCATATTATACAAATTGAGGACGGACAATGCTCCCCATGTGTTGTCTAAGTTTGTTTTTCTGTATTTTAGGCTACACTATAACCATAAGGTATAATAAAAAAAACCTGAATTGAAACGAAAGGCCACATTCATTATTTTATGATTTCTAATCGTATACTTGGCGCAGTGTTTTGCTACATAGCGGGATAATAACTGCAATGAATGGAGTCCTTTTTGGTGAGGTATCTAGTAGACTCGTTTAACGAATGTTTTAAGTAAATCTATTCAATATATTCTCACAAAACTACACTAACCGTTCTCAATAGTATAATTTATGTTTTATTTTTGGAGCCTTTTTTAAGAACAAACGGTATTTATACGATTTAAAACCCTTCCGTGAATACTCCAGAACGAGGAATCAAAACATAACGAACCCTTGCATGAAATGGGACGAGAATGAAGAGTTGGAACTGCTACCTCTAAGCAAGAGAAGAATCATCGAGTGTTAACAGATACCGTGTGTGTGATCTAAGAAAAATGTGATCAATAACAACACATCACTAATAATATAATATTTAAAAACAAAGTGCTAAAGTACAAAAAGGTTAAAATTAATGTAAATTACCGAGGTTTACTTAAGTTAAATAAACCATATGAAAACTACGTCTTAAAGGTATACAGGCCATTGTTTCATGAATTAACTAACATCAATTTCTTTGTACCTTTGTTAATATGGATACCCTGAATTCATTTCGTGCATTTGAACTAGCAACAACATGCGTCTGATGGAACTTTAATTTTTCATTAAATCTGTCTTTTACAGTTTACTCCATTACAGACTAAGGCTAAGGTCGAATAGTCTAAAACACTAATAGCTAAATACTCAAACGCTACATTATTACAAATATAAATTATTAATATTGTCGTTTTTATAATCTGATGAATTTGTACTGTATTTTATGCTGTGTTTATTTATTATAACCAGCAATGTTTGTGATTTTATAATATAATAACCATTTTCTGCCTATGTTCAAATGAAAAACAAAATTTATCTTCTACTTTTGTATTTTATTCCATAAAATATAGTGGTGCAAGAAGGGTATGTTTCTTTGCGGCGTATGGTTTTTAAAATTTAGATTTTTGTAACTACCAAAGAATATTTAATAAAAAACGGTGTTTTATATGAAATCAGAAAGTCAGCATAGACAAATTGAAAATTTGTAACTTAATGACAACTATGAATGAAATGTAAAATAAAAATTATTCAAGTTATAGCATGGTTCAACTTTTTGATTAGGTATATCCTACAAATGGTAGGTAATTCTCAAAGTAAAGTAAAATGTGTGAGGACATTTTTTATAGATAATGGCAATTTATACAATTTCTGCTTGACCTAGTCTTTTATAAAACACACCTTACATTCGACTAATAAATAAAAAACCCGTACTTGACTTGATCTTGGAGATGAATAATGATGTTCCCAAAATTCATATCAAATTCAGCTCTATGCAGATAAATGATTGTAACCTAAGTAATAATTTTTTTTAGCTAATTATATAATAAAAACCGGACTATTAAGATAATGCATAATATGTATACAATGCGTCGTGGTCTTATAACATGATAGCCAACATACCTTTCTCGATCCTGTCTTTTTGTAATTGGCAAGCTTATCCATAACACGAATTTCGCGATGTGGATGATATACAGTGACCAGAACGGAATGTGGAGGATATACAATGACCAAAACGCGTTATTTGGTAGGGTTTTTTTCGCTCAATCAGCTTTTCAGTTCTTTGAGCGTAACAATATAATTAGCATAGATCTCATTATTTAACGACAAATTACAATTGCATAGCGTTTGAGTATTTAGTTGTAACTCATAATATTCAGATAACTTATACTTACTACTCGTCATACTGGTACTTATTTTAGTACCGATCGCGAATCTGTGTTCAGTGATTTTGAATTCATTTATATTTTTTTTATAGAAACTGATAATCAGATTCGATGAATATAAAAGGAGAATTTTAGTTTGTTGAAAATTGAATTGTAAGTCCATATCGAATTATTGTTTTTTTTTTCATTCAAAATATGAATAACAAAGCGTGTACGGAAACTGTATTGAACAATCAGACGCATATAGTGGCAGTACAAGTGATGCATTGTTATAGAGCCGCGTGGTGGCGATCTGGCGGGGGCTGCGGGGTCTGCGGGGGCGGCGGTGAGCGAGGCGGGCGTGCGGGGGAGGTGCATACCTTACCGACCTGGAAGTCGAATTTGCGCCACCGTTGCTCCGACTTGAAGCGGAACATGGTAGCAAGCACCGTGCACAGCGATCCACCCGGTTTCATGTCCATAAACACTTTCATCTGTAACAGAAATGTGCAAAGTTAAATTGATTTTACAATTAAATATTGACAATGTATGAATTATTAATAATTACTACCACGATAAACAGTGATTCATTGATTAATAAATGATTAATCGTGAACATCAACTATATTTGATTGATAAAAAAATATACATTCAGTCAAAAAAGTATCGGCAATAGATGATTTGTTTATGGTTCCAAATTCAAATTTTGTTTTTTTTGTTGTTGTTAGATTGGCACAACTGTTTTCTATTTTGGAGCGGAGCTGCATCTGTTATTTATATTAAATACACTGCTGTTTTTAGTTATACAATTTCTACTGTGTATAGCGACTTTTATGATGGACAAAAACATCGAACAAAGAGTTTGTCTTAAATTTGCATCGCCAATAGAATTTCGTGTTCGGAGTCACTGAAAATGTTACAGAAGGCTTACGGTGAATCGAGTTTATCTTAAACACGTGCTTATTAGTAGTACAAAACGTTCAAAAGCGGTCGAGATGTGATGGAAGATTTGCCTCGCTATGGTAGGCCATCAACGTTAGCAACTGAAGTTAACATCGCAAAAGTGAAGGAAATAGTGACTGAAAATTCTCATTCAACTTTGAGAGAGATAGCCGCCGAACTTTCTGTATCTCACGTGTCGATCCGTACCATTTTAACTAATCATTTAGGTATGAAACATGTTACCGCTCGGCTAGTCCCAAAAGAACTGATTTTTTTCCAAAAACTCAATCGCATGAGAGTCGCTGAGGACATACTAGAACGAGTCAATTCCGACCCAACGTTCATGAAACGCATTGTTACTGGTGACGAGACGTGGGTTTACGAGTTTGACATGCAAACTAGTCAACAAGGTTCGGAGTGGAGTCTTCCAACTGAACCGAAACCGAAAAAACCACACCAAAATCGATCAAAAGTCAAAGTCATGTTGACTGTTTTCTTTGACTATCGCGGAACTCGGAATTCTTGCCGGTAAATAAAGAAAATTATTTGAGCGTTATGCGGCATCTGACGAAAAGGGCAGATTTGTGGTAAGAAAATTCTTGGATTTTGCACCACGATAATGCGACTTCGCACAAGGCCATCAATGTGAACGATTTTGACCAAACACTCAACAAAAACATTCGAGCAACCACCATATTCACCAGATATGGCTCCAGTCGACTTCTTTCTTTTTCCTAAACTCAAATTGCCACTTCAATCGGTAGAAGACCACACAAAAAATGTTTTGATGATTGGATTATTCGTTGGCGTAAGTGTATCGTTTCTGAAGGAGCATAATTTGAATGTGATAAAATACATTTGGACGAATAACAAACATTTCATGTATTATTGATCTTTTTCCGGTACTTTCTTAACAGAGTAGTACACCGTAAAATCGAAGTTGACGTCCAAATTTATTTTAGGCCGTATACTAAATCCATCGGTGCCTAACCGCCAAACAATTTTATCCGCAAATCAGAGGCTGTTAGACTACGGACATTTTAGAACCTCCATCACACGCAAGGGGTACTGCAAACTCAAGACTTGAAATAGAGGTCAAGAACAAATCTTCGACTTCTTTGAACGGGGTCCTCAATCAAGCATACAACGCTTCCGCGTAAGAAAATACGCAGTATGGAAGCTGATAAACACCGCTGGCCGGCACCCTTACCGTTATCAAAAAGTCCAAGATTTACAGGAAACAGATGCCTTACCTCGTCGACAATTCTGCGAGTGGCTTATCGCACACTCCGGTGCCAATATTTTGTAGACAGACGAGGCCTTGTTTACTCGTGTGGGTTTGTACAACCAACATCACGAACATTGGTGGTCATATCACAACCCACACGTCGTTAGACAAGATCTAGACTACATTTTGAATCTAGATATCTATAAGGGTACATTTTGAGCATTTATTAAAATTTATGTAAAACAGTAGTGGTAAGTTAACCTCTAATTTGTTTTTTTTATTAATTATTGTACATTTCACTAAAGATATGTGTATTTTTTACTTATTTCAAACGTACCCTTTAATTTAGCGAAGTTTTAGTATTTGGATGTTATGTTAGGTACTTTATTTATCAATGAAATGTAGCGAAGTATGCGATTCCAATGGAGAGGTCATTGACACTTGGGTGCCTACCGATTGCAGTGTGTCTACAAATTGCGAGTTTTTGGTACAACTTTGAGATGCTAATTACTCAATATTTTTATACCATGTGCTATTAAACTAAAATGCGGATATCTCATTAATTTTACTAAAGATCCTTCTGTGTAAGATAAGTAAGATTCTTGTGTGTTATTTTGTTATTAAATAAGTTTATTTTTCATTATGTACATAATGCATGTGTATATACATGTATTTCTGTATGTTGTATACATTAACCGAACGGGTTGTTAATTTTAATTGTCTTATGTAAATGAAAAATGACAAGGAAGGTCGCGTAACCGTAAATCGAATGGGCTGTTCCCGGAAAGTCAGAACCTCGAAACGAAATTATAAATAAACTATATAACGTGACCTCACAGCAGACACCTGTAGTGGGTACATACCTATTTATGACTATAAAGTACCAGGAACTTATCCTTTGATTGAACAACAAGTTCAAGGCATAAAGCATACTAATGTTGCTAACACTTTATTGCAGGCTGTATAAGGAAACAGGAGGTAATATGTTTTCAATGGGCCATTTGGCATTGCAAAATTACTACCATATGTATACATACATTATAAATAATTTCGTTGTGATTATAGTCGTATCATATATGTAGTCGTATCATCGAACTAGTGTTCGATATTAATATATTCGAGTCTGTCCTGTTTTATTGGGCATCAAACGTTACATTTCAGAAACAGCGAAGGATTAAATGTGGCCAGTCTCTGGGCATGGACTGACTAAAAATGTTGTTACTGCTCAAAAGAAAACCTCTATGAATGATACTTTTCTTTTCATTGGTTCAACTCTGACGTCGTGCTTTCGATGTCTTAATATATAGATTCTTATTTTATTGAATACTACGAGTACTCTGTATCTGATCTGCATTTTGTGATCTTGTACACAATACCAGTGCAATTAGTAATCAAACCTACAATCCTCTGCAACAGTTATAAATCTTACAGTTAAAACAATACTGTCTAATAACATACACCAATTCTGGATAACCATCAGTACTCCAAGAACATACAAGATTTTCTTGTTATAAATGTTTCCTGCGTTTAGTTCAAAGCAACTGATCTTTGTTATTGTGTTAATAGATAAGTTTTAAGGACGATCTGTGTTAATATTTTTTGTGATATTGCAGCAAGAAATTGAATTTACAAATTAAAAAAGAAACAGAATAATTCGGAAAGAAAGAAAAACGGTCAAACCAATTTCCTGCGACATTTGTCTGTATAATTGAAAAACTGCTACGAGGTCACGGCGCCGCAAATTCATGATATCCGTGACCAACTGACCGAACATAAGCCATTGGAGTGTGCAACTGTTTTATCTAATTAGCAATGTCAAACGACATAACAATCGCATCGTTGATTGTACGTTATGATTTATTAGATTTCCCGTCGATACAGCACATAAAAAGGAAACATTCTTTTTTAATTGACGGACAGACTTATTTACTCCTAAACATATTAATAATGAAAAAGGAAATAGGAATTCCCATTTTCATAACAAGTTATGTTTAAAACTCAACGACACTACTACGTATGTTACTCGAATTCCTAAATTAGAAGAAAGAGAACCTATGCAGGACAGTTCGCAGTCCTTTACAATAAAATCTAAGCCCCTGTTTAGGAACCATGTCACTTCTGTACATGGTCTTAGGTCTATAAATTGTGGTGGTTAAATTACGTAGACCTCTGCTATAATGACTTAAACAAATGTAAATCATCTATGCATCTTTTAATCATGTTGGTAAAATGACACAAAAACTCGATGAGATAATCAGCTAGTAATTATGTGCTCTATAATAGTTGCAGCGCCCAACTTAATACATTCAATAAGCCAAGAACAGCAGCGCAAGTAACCGGTTACTTTGTCAAGTACCGAGTGTACTGCAATAAAGGCACAAGACGCCAAAGAGGCCGGACGTCACACGGTGACAAGTGATCATGATTATGTTAAGAGAATTAGTTTTTACGTTTCTCATAGTGAAATGTTTAACTTTTAGGGCGACCACACCGCTTATTAAAAATGTAAGTCAGTTTAAATTTTATACATACTTGTATGTTTATCACAGATTTTATAATATTTTTGTGTAGTCAATATTTGAAAGTTTTAAAGAGATTGGTCAATCACGCTCGTACAAATTTGAGAAAAAATTAGCACACTTGTAGATTGCATCAAAACATACTCAAACGGCAATCAAGGACCACACGAGGACTGAAATGATAGCTGGTTTTAAAGAAATGCTGGTAACGTATAAAAATAAATTGTTAGGTCGGAACCGGTATAATGCTGTTGTCGAATGTTAAAAAATACAGACTCCTAAATGATAAAAAAACTGAGTTACTTAGCTAATATTGTGTATAAAGTGTATCTAAACTTTTCTAACGACAGCTCCAGACTAGGATATTTTCACCGAAATGAGGCAAAAAACTTTTAAAATATGCCTATTATTTTATTAACTATCACTACAATAAATATTAGCTCAACGTAAGAATCGAAAAATCTCTGAGGAATCAACGCGATGTGTGTTAGTTAGCTTAGCTGGGATGATTACTTTTTTCTGTAATAGTCAATATTATATAATAATCACAGAGAAAGTTATTTGAAGAAATTTTTATTTTAAATGCATGACTGAAATAATATCATCGTATCTAAAATGACGCTATTCAATAAACGTTTTGAATTTGCAGATCCAGCGAGGCGGCAGGCATTTCGAAGGTCCTCATTGGTCAACTACAGAGAACGCCTTATACTGGGTGGACATAGGCGGCCAGAAGGTATATAAATTGGATTCCCAAACAAATAATATCACCTCAAGGACAATCGGTATGTTACATCATAGTTATAGTTTGTTATTTATTCCGGTTAGGTTTTCGCTAGTCTAGCTAGTCACATCTGGGTAGCCCAGATGTGACTTGCGAAAACCTATTCTCCAATTTTCTGTCAATATGTTACAGAAACCAGGAAGGATTAAGGAAGAAACTTTATTAATATACGAATAGTGTGGTTTGTTTTGTTTGCTTGGTCGTGGTACAGAAATGTGCATCGCTAACCCTTTTAATCTAGCTATGCTGGGAGTGGTTAAAAGTAGTCACACGAACGTTACTGGGTAAAAAAAGCGTCTAATTGTTCTACTAAAATAAACGGTATCGTCATTGCTTTACTAATGGAAGAGCATAGCAATAGCAAGCATATTTAGATGGACGAAGCATAGAGTGCCAGTTTGGTTACAGCGAAGAATGGAGTAGTTTAAGAACGACTGGTTCTTTTAACGACGTTTTATTGATGCTAAATAGTGCAAAAATAAATAAGTATTTTTATGTAGGAAATGGGAAGTTATAAATATTGAATACGAACACAAATTATAAAACTTTATTTACAGGTTACGGACCAGTATCGCTGGTGGTGTCAGTAAAGGACAATCCCAATTTAATTCTAATTACGGTGAGGTCGGAGCTATATTTCCTGAACTGGGATGCACCAGAATGTGACAGCTCGCTGAGACTCCTCAGTGCAGTCGACTTAGGCCTGCCAGACAATAGATGCAATGACGGCAAGGTCGATGCTGCTGGAAGACTTTGGTTTGGTGTGTATAGTTTTAAATAGATAAGGACACGGTCGTTCTGATAAATTAGATGCACATTTTATGATTTAGGGCTACATAAGTATCAGATACGACTCACGTAGGCGTAGTGGTTTATGCGGTCGCCACGCCGCTTCCTACTGCGCTGAGTGTTGTGGGTTCGATCTCCACATGGAACACCACTTTGTGTGATCCATAAATGGTTGTTCTGAGTCTGGGTGTTCTTTGTGTCCGTTTTATGTATGTTTCTAGAGGAATAATACCTATATAGTTTCTGAAGAGTTAATAACTTAATTATAATGTTATCGGCCTGATATGTAAGTACTCAATGAAACAGCATTGTCTAGCATGACGTTTCTTGAAATTAAAGAAGAGTGCACGCTCTTCAACTCTCTCAAATTTAATAATGAATTAAAATATGAATGGATAAGATTAATTGTCTGTGTGCTGACGCTTTAAGAATACTGAGTGTCACCACCCCTATTCATCCACACACACGCGCGCACGTGTGTGTGTGTGTGTGTGTGTGTGTGGGTGTGGGTGTATGTGTGTGCGTGCGAGTTTAACATATTGGGCCGGGTAGGAGATATGTTTTTTCATGTAAAGCCTTATGCGAGGATCAATATTTTCTAAATATTCTTCTTTCCTTGATAAGGTACCATGGGAAAAGAGGTAAAAGAGACAGTTCAACCGGATCAAGGAACATTGTACATGATGGATTCCAGCAACTACGTTGATCCCGTACCTAAGGTACGACCGGTGACTACGTCAAATGGAATCGCATGGACCTCAGATAGCAAGTTTATGTTCTACATTGACACACCCACTAGAAACATAGACGTATTTGACTTTGACATTACAAATGGATCCCTCCGTGAGTAAAATTTCATAAGTGAAAATCTCATCATAGTCGTGGAATAGTGTCGGATCTGACATTTATTGAACTTTACAGGGCAGCCATTTCTAATAATTATGGTATTTTCTTGACATAACTTTGTAAATTCTAAATCTAACAAGCAGAACACTTCAGTTACATGAGAAAATGCTTACGAAATGACAGGAGACTTAATATCTTCTATATTTATATTGCAGGTAACAGAAGGACACTTTTCAGCTTCAAAGCAAACAATGTAACAGGATATCCTGATGGAATGACTATTGATAGTGATGGAAACTTGTGGGTAGCTTGCTTTAATGGATGGAAGGTAACAGTACTGAGATAATAACACTACACCTTTTTTTTCCGTGCGGAAATCCCCTCGGATACCACCTATCGGTGGCATGTCGGACTCGAACCGACTAACTTCGGACTCGCCCATGAAGGGTTCCGTAGCAGCAAGTAACATAATATAAAAGTTCTTGAACTTGCCCCCCGCGCGAATTATAATTATCATTTACTTAGAAACCTCAATATCATATTTGAAGACCTATCCATAGATACTACCCCATATGTATGGGTTTGATGAAAAAAAATTTTTGAGTTTCAGTTCTAAGTATGGGGAACCCCCAAAATTTATTGTTTTGTTTTTCTATTTTTGTGTTAAAATCTTAATGCGGTTCACAGAATACATATATATGCTTACCAAGTTTCAACATTATAGTTCTTATTATTTCGGAAAAAAGTGGCTGTGACATACGGTCGGACAGACAGACAGATATGACGAATCTATAAGGGTTCCGTTTTTTGCCATTTGGCTACGGAACCCTAAAAACAGGCGAGCGAAGCCGCGGGCATTAGCTAATAATAAAATAAAGTTTATTTATTTGATTGTTTGATTGATCAAGCTAATCTCAGGAACTTCTAATTGGATTCCGAAAAATATTTTTCTTTTGTGTGAAATTGGATGGATACAAATGCAAGTGTCAAAAGTCGATCAAATGTCCTCTTTAAAGAACATTGACGTAGACAGACAGCAATTAAATAAATTAATTAACAACTAATAAGTTGTTTTCTTGAAGCAGACAATTATTTAGAAACACGTTTTTTATGAGATTAGAAGTATTTTAAGGTCGCAATAAATTTGGCTACTTTTAATACCGTTGAGCATTAAAAGTTTACAGCTTAGGATAAGAACAATATAGTTCGATGCAAACTTAATGGCGACTCGGAACATCGTGCGTTTCGATGCGCAGAACACAATTATAGACAGTAGCGGGACGTAAAGGTGCGCGGGCGCAGGGCGACACACAACACGCACGCCTTTTAGTGTGTGAGTTACATCCGTACACTGCACATGCGCGCACAGTCGAGTCAACTTGACTGTAGGTACTTGCGCAAACCGCAGTGTGCGCAGCTAATTTCGCCGCTATTAAGTTTGCATCGGACTATACTTAACTGTAGGTCTGATTGAAAGAAAACAAGAAAAGACCTTTATTTTTTGGTTTGTACTTTTAGGTTACCTGCGCAATTTCGTTTGCGTTTTTCAAAAAGATTAATTTTTCTCCATTTTTGCTTCTATTTATCGTTGCGTGATGTTATATTTATAGACTTTCTCACTAAATGGGCTATCAATTACAAAAAATTTATTTGGACTAGATTTTCCTGAGAGTTCAACCAAAGAAATGAACTCTTCAGCTTTATAATATCAGTATAGATTCAGTAATTATATTTATTAATTACAGGTTATCAAAATAGACTCCAGGGCGGGCAAGTTGTTGGAAGAACATAAGCTACCAGTTGCAAAAGTAACATCGGTCATGTGGGGTGGGCATGACTTATCTACATTATTTGTGACAACAAGTCGGGAAGGTTTGTCGCAGGCTGAACTTAACATACAACTTGAAGCAGGATCGCTATATGCTATAGAGGGCACAGGAGCTAAGGGACTCCCAGAAAACCAGTTTATTTTTCATGATGCAGCAAATTACTAACATGTTTGAATAATTTATTACTGTTAATAAAATATCTTTTTCTTTGTATCCATTATGTTTATCAGAAATGTAATCTTTTATAAATGAATATACCTATTTGAGTTGGCAATTTTCTTTTAAAATAATCTGAACAGGGCCCTGATTAATACATGGTTAAAATGTGGTAAAACCACATGTACAACCTGTAATGGAATAAAAACACATAGTGGTTATACTCTCATTAGTATTTTCACAAAAACTAAGTTTTGAAAAACAATTGTTTAACAGTGATCATCAGTATCCGTCCCTGCATATTTAGGCAATAAATAATAATATTAACCATTTATTGCAGGTACCCATAGAAATAACATATTTTTTTTAACATTTACACACCATGTTACAGAAATTACTTAGTAATAATAATGTAATTTATTAATAATATGAAAATAATCAATCAATATTCTCATGCAAGTAAATTATAATATTAGGCAATCATTAGGCAATAAGGAGTTAGTCTCCAGTTACCTCATTCACTCTGTTAAAAACAAGAAAAAAAATTCATGACAGTGGTTTTCTGTGGCAACCTAAATATGCTGAGGCATGGTTCTCCTATGGTTAAGGCATTGAGAACATTATACAACTACATCTCAGTAATCAACTCTCAAATATGTTGGCATATTTTTAGCTAGTGGCAAACACATTTTATGTTCTATATACTCAAGCAGTATAACCAATATAAAATAAATAAAGCTCTCTCTAAATCAATACAAATGATGCTGTATTTTTAGACCAAAAATATGTTTTTCATTGCAAAAATACATTTACTTTAATCTATATATATAAAAGAAAGTCGTGTTAGTTACACTATTTATAACTCAAGAACGGCTTTACCGATATGGCTGAAAATTGGTGGCGAGGTAGCTTAGAGCCAGGAGACGGACATAGGATACTATTTATTCCGTTCGACAGTGTTTTTTTTTTTGTTTTTTTACGAACATCCATGTTTTTCCCATGGTCAATTATATGTGGCATGTTCACGGGTCGGAAGACTATCTGCGTTGTTTGTTTTTGCGCCTGATAAGAAAACAAAAAATGTCGTGTATCACAAGGTACTTTAGTGAAGAGCAACCTATGTACTGCAGAAACAATAATAAATGAGTAATGTACTTCATTTTTTTTTCTAAGAAAAAAATTAACTTACTAAATTCGAAAATCGGCTTATTTATTGCCTTTAAGGCGGAACAGAGTTCGCCGGGTCAGCTAGTATGATATAAAAGTGAGATCTTGCTTCTTAAATGTTTTAGTGCCAAAGTGCCTTGTATTAGTTTAAAAGGTTTTAAATAATCAATAAAACTTTCAAAATTTATGTTAAAGCATTTACATCAAGGGGCAGATAATATGCAATCAAGAAACATGTAATGCACAGCTTTTGTGCTTCAATAATAGGTCAAATATTTTACATACCGGAAGCCTCAAGAAGGGTGGATCAGAAGCATTTTTCCCAAGTTTGTTTTCTTGATACTGGATAAGTTGTATGACCAGTTGAGCCAAACCCTCTTTTGTTGGAGGATCAGTTTGAACATGCTGGAATGTTTTCATAAAAGTCCATTAGTAACTAATGATACAATAGTGTAAACATCCTAAATAACACTCTGTTGTTATTTCTAATGTTACATTGAATGACACTGAGACAACCTACATACTATTACAACATAATTTAATAGTACTTAGTATGATGGCATATTCTAATTTTAAATAGTTAGAGCCCAAACCTTTTCAAGAAATAAGACATCACACATGTTATCATGTTTAATGCAATTAGAGTATCTAAAACTGGCCTCCAGCTTAAAGGCACCTAGTTTAGTCTATGGCAGAGTATACACCATTTTAATGACTATATCATTAAAATTTGCTCAAACAATATCACACAGCAATACCATACAACTAAAATTTTATATATCATAATCTATCTATACTATATATCATATCATGTACCTAAAATATGGATCAATTTCAATATTTACAGGCAAGTTTTTGTATTTACTAACTGTACAGGTGTAAACCAGTATCTATTAACTTTTGATATCACAATTTAGGTTTAATAGTGGCTGTGAATATTAAAATTGTACTAATTTAACTAACCTTTTTGCAGTTTTTTTGCAACCAAACACGAATTTGGTCAAACTGTGATAGTGAATCTGATGACTGAAAATAATCGACATTCGGCCCCCCATCCTTCTTGGGACCTATAGTAGCCATTTTAATACACTGAACTTTTCGATGCACTACAACAGTTTGTCTTTTGATATGAATTTACAAAGATATCCTCAAATTGTAAAACAAAATTACACGGCGTCGCCGTAAACAAATGACACTAACGCTTTAGTGTTGCTAGCCCGTACTTTTTTAAAAGAAAGTCAAAGACAATCAAGAAATTTGCAATGTTTATGTTACTTTTGTCAATGCAGTAATAAAGTTAGATATTAAAATGAAAGATCTTTATGAAATCAACAATATTTTTTTGGTAGTCTTCAAAATGGAGATAACGTTGTTTGTTCGTCTTGTTTTTGTAATTCCTGAGGGTAAAGGAGACCTGTTCCAGGGCATGAAATACCGTTGACAATGTGGTGTCGCTACCTTCCCTAAATGTTTGTAGTAATCATTAAAAATGTTAGTTATTTAGTTATTATTAGAAAATTTCAATATTAAATTTATATTAAAATATCAAATAAATGTTAAAATAGACGTTAACATCGGGTAACACTAACTGTCAATAACCTTAATATCTATTTCTTTATCTTAGTTTATATCATAGAGATATAACCTAGAGGTACCAAACAATTCTCATGAAGAGAGAGGTACCAATAAACCCTTTTAAAGCCTTATTAAAGCATTAAAAATAATAATATAATTGGAGATGTTCAACATGTTTTGCGCAGCATGAAGACTGTTGCAGCTGCCGCGCTACATTCTACCATGCCTATCAAGCACCTATTTGGCTTGGCACCGACTTCAAACAGACTAGAAGGGACTATTGGTATTAAAATGTTACCTGTTACATTGAGGGTACTTATTATAGATTTTTACTTAGATTTGTAATTATTTTTTAATTTTTAGTGCTCTTTGTCGGTGTTGTTTGAAGTCGGTTCAACTTTTTTTTTAAAAGGGCTTATTTTACCATTTTTAGTGTAGGATATGTTTGTAATGAGTAGATAAGTACGATATTTAAAACACTACGTACCGTAATGTACTCGTATAGTAACAAACTGTAGTTTGTTAGATTATATTAAATATTATATTAAATTACTGCTGGACATAGGCCTCTCCTTAGAAAGTTGACCCACACAAAAATTAAGAGTTTTTCCCAGAACTATTTTATTAAATTAAGTATAAAATTACTTACAAACGAAATGCGATGCCATCTATAGCAACAAAACGTCTATCCGAATTATTTTAACAAGATAGAATACAAAATTTCAACCTTTTCTTCTTAATACAACGACAATTGCTGTGGGGACATAAATACTGCAAGTTCTCTGCGCATCACATCGCGCAGTCTCTGACGGTTGCCATGGTTTGTTTGGCTAAAGAAATACTCGTAGCTAAAACATGTCGGGGCTGTCAAATTCCCAATAATTGTGAGGGTTTCCCTCGATTTCTCTAGGATTCCATCATCAGATCCTGAAGTGGTGGTAATGGGACCAATTCGGGAGCATACCCTTTCGATTACAAAAAGAATTGAAAATCGGTCCACAATTGACGGAGAAATCGCGGAACAAATATACATGAAAAAAAAAAAAAATACAGACGAATTGAGAACCTCCTCTTTTGTGTTTTGGAAGTCGGTTAAAAAGAAGTCCTACCTAACGAATTGGTAGGAATAAGTAAAATTGTCACATGTTTTCGATGCTCTACCAATCTCAAGAAACGTAAAGTGCCTTCACAAGCGTATTGGAACAAAATGGACGTTACACATATACCAACAGAACTAGCTTGTTTGTCAGATGTCGAACAACGTTTATTTACACGAATGATCCCTTTAATAAAATTATTAAAGTGCAAAATAGGTTCAGCCAGAATTGGAGTAAAAAGTGGTTTTATTTCCACAAGATGTTGTCGAAATTGCTGAGCAATTACCGTTACCTCTTACTAGTGCAAGATTGGTTATTGTTGTAGAAAAAAGAGAGAATTTGCAACAAAAAAGACAGTCCTATTAAAATTTGTTATTTGGCGACATCATGCAGTTACCACCAGTTAAAGGGCATTGGTGCTTCAAACAACCGCCGTGGTCGCGAGAGGTAGCAACCTACGGAAAACGACCACCTTCAAACGTTATTCCTGCTGATGCGAACAACTGTGGTGGTTTGATGCACATATTAAAACTGGGCATAGGCGCTCGAGTTATGTTGAGACGCAACATATCTGTAAGTGAGGGTCTGGTCAATGGGGCAGTGGGGATCGTGTCCAAGTTTAGATGGCCTGCCCTTCGCCGTGATCAAATGGAATCAGGCGAGTTACCCGATTCAGTTCTTATGAAATTTGATGACAGCACTATTGCCACTAAAGCAAAAGACACTGACGGGCTAGTTGCCATAGCCCCTGTATCAACAACGTATCAGGCAACTAAAGGCTACGGGGATGTGGAACGGAGAATGCTACCGCTAATCCTCAGTTGGGCAGTAACGGTGCATAAACTTCAGGGCACTACCCTAAACGAAGCCGTGATTAATTTAGGCAAAAAAGATTTTGCCACAGGCCAAGTTTATGTTGCACTAAGTCACGTTAAGACAATAGATGGTGTTGCTCTCTGCGACTTTGAGCCCAAAAAATTAATTAAGAAACCGCACGATGAAAAAGCATTGCGCGAAATGCAACGATTAAGACTAATGTAAATAAAATATTTAAATTTGAACAATAAGACAAGCTCGTTGTATAGTGTATGTGGCTATTCTAACCCTCAATTTTACATGTGTTTTCCCACAGAATACAGGTTTCTATATCAGCAACTTAATGTATCAATCATCTAACTCCTGACGGTTGTGGATATTTTTTATTTAACTTCCATTATTCGCTCACCTGAATAATTTGAAAGAATACAATGAAAGGTCTATACGTGCATATGATATTTAAAGAATCTTCCTCCAACTCCTAACCGTTAAGGAGTTGTACCTTCCATTATCAACTCACCTGAATAACTTGAAAGAATACAACTAAGGGTCTATAAGTGCATATGATATTTAAAGAATCTTAAGGAGTTGTACCTTCCATCACCAGCTCATCAACACGAGATAATGACTACTAGACGCAAATACTAGAATATCTTCAGAAATTATATGAAACACATAATACATGCCTATAAAATTTGATGGATGCCCTCGATTTTCCTGGGATCCTATCATCAGATCCTGACTTCGTGACAATGGGACCACCTCAAGATTATGCTCTTTCTAACAAAAAAAGAATTTTGAAAATCGGTTCACAATTGACGAAGTAATCGATGAACATACATAAAAAAAAAAAAAAATACATACAGTGGAACATAGAACCTCCTCCTCCTCTTGCGATATGCGCCACGAGAGAGATAGACAAAATATAGCCCCCTCTACCTTTTCTAGTCCAGCTCTGGGGTTGGCTGGAGAATATGAGCGTTATTAAGTAGTCCATCTTACCCATCTCTGTCTCGTTGCCTATATCCATTCCACTCCACTTACAGGGAGCTGTACACCGTGTTCTCTCTATGATGATTTAATAAGTAAACATGGGACAAAATCACAGTTACCTGTGATTTTTCATTCGATTTTTGCGGACGTAGGTTAGGGTTGCTAGGTCGGTGAAATAAATAATTACTATATTTATTGGTAAATAGGCGAAATAGGGTCTTTATGCATCGTCTGAAAACAGCTTATTGGCAACAAAGCGTAATAACCCTAACCTAAGTACGAAAAAATCGAATGATAAACCACCGTTCATTCAGTTTACTGTGATTTTGTCCCATTTCTAGTCCCTTGGTGGGCTAATTGATTGAGGTTACCAGAGTCTAAATTGCCCTTGTTTCTGGGGAGAGGGAGGGAGACTTAAAGGGTGGCAACGCACTGTCTCTGTGTCCATGTATGTGCTCGTTTGCCTCCCTATATTATAAAAAAAGGTGACTACTTTTAGTTTGGGTTTTAAATAGGAATTTAAAACACATTGGCATAGGGTTGATACATTTAATAAACAAGCTATTTCAGCAACAAAGCGTGTGTGAAACAGTAACCTTCTTAAACTGTGTTCCAACCAATGAAGTCCGCGTTCGAAAGCAAATTTCATTCAATATAAAGATTTAAAGATTGAGACCAGACGAACTTTGAGAACTACTTTTTGCATAACTAGTTCATCCAGTAAAGATATTTGAGGCTCTCCAGTCATCTTGCGGGTTTCGGGTTTGTCGAAATTTCTATACTAATAACACCATTTTTGATCAAAAACATCTATTCAAATAGGTATTTAATGTAATTGACAGTACATTAATAACATTTAATAACAACACTACATATTCACAAGTTATTGTCATGTAACATATATATATATATATATTACCTATATATTAAAATCTGGTTTTAGTGAAGGGACTAGATTCAACTATCTAACTTGAACTATCCAGGATTATACGGAGTTCATGCGTTGGGAGACTAACATAATATCTAAAACTGCAACCACCTTATTACAAGTACAAGTACACTTAGAAATAGTTTTGAATCAATATTATTATTGAAATTGTCTTCTAGTAAAGTATTTTAATTTGTTCTGTAATATTTTGGAATAAGGGGCCGAATTTTTAAATTTCAACTTTAAAGTCAGATGCATTATTATTCTAAACAACTATGAAATAAATAATTTTATTATGTATTCTAAAATAATATCATAGTAATATACGCAGTTAGAGATTTAGGAACAACACAATAGTCAAAAACACTTCATGCACGAAACATTGATATCTAAAATACTTATCGCTATTTATGAATTATGATAAATTTATATTGTGATGGTGCGACAGTCAAATCTATTTACGAAAAAAGAAATTATTTTTAATGCCATCTTGCTTCAACAAATTTGGAGTTTAAGTCCTTTCTCCGGTTTTGATTGACAATTACGCCTATGATCATAGTGATGGCACTAAAAAAATAATTTTCTTTATCTAATTTTTAACACGATGATGATGATGATGATATCTTTCCATTTTAGCATCAGATATGAAGCATACCTGTGAAATGTCTATTACAAAACACTTTTAAATTTCTAGTCACACTTAGTGCACCTAATTATTGTCTTTTATAGCTTGTTTAAGGAAGTACATGTTTTAGGAGTTGGAATAATTAAATATACATGCGAAGCTTTTTTAATGAACACAAATACTTACTTGTTTTCATTGAAAAAGCAATACAACGTAAAAATACATAAAATACTATTACGAATGTAGATGATTTTCTACCAAAAGGAACCACGTGCAGAAGAATTTTTAACTTTATCAGGTTAAAGTAAGCACATCATTAGGTAGGTATAATTACAAAAAAAGTCTTCACATCGAGATTGTACCTAGATTTGAATGATTATAGTCCCTGTGGTAAAACTTTGTAAAAACGTGTGTCTCGCAATTAATATAATATTAGATATTAAATAGAGACATGCATGTTTGTTCGATATAATTTATTTGGTTGCCATTGGCATTGACAGTACTTACTTTTGCTATCGCAGATCAAGTCTTTTCAACATACGACTTTTTTGGTATTCAAGACAACACAAGAACACATTATGCGTTTACAAAAAAAAGGTGTTACAAAACGATATGTAACTAGATATTGGTTATTTGGTAAGAATATATACAACCACGACGATTATATGCAGAATTTTACTCGATCATAATAAATTCACTCCCTAAGCACTCCAACCATAATTTTAAATTATAATAAGAATGAAGAACAAATTATACAGATTATATTAAAAATAAAGTTAAAATATAGCTTATCAAAAAACATAAAAGAATACAAAAATAAAATAACAACGCATTAAAACAAAAAATAAATGTAATAATATCACTTCATACACTTCCAAAATACATGTAAATCAATAATTGAGCTATTTTGAAGCAGATTTAACATATTATCTACAATCTGGAAATAGTATCTTATAGATTATTTAAACTAGCTGAACAATATAATAAATATCTCACTTAACTCCTTATATCCGAACCTTTTCAGTGTACCTATAAAATAAATTAAGTTAAAATTGTTAAATTATATGAACTCTCTTAGGATTAGGCCAAGCTCTACAAAAAAAATTATTCGGTATACCTTTATTACAAACAACAGATCTGCAAACAAAAAGATCAACATTCCGAAAGATCTGAATTCCGAACAATCAACACCACCTTAGAATTATGTGTACTAAGTAAAAGTAATTTAATAGTCTCCCCATCCAATATCGAAAAATAATGTTAAATTATGGTTTACAATACCGTCCACATGTGTTTGTGTATGTAGAAGGAGGAGAAGAATTTAACGATGGCACGTAATAATCTAATGATCTAGTATAATGTCTTAGCACAATCACATCGCCTCCAATGGCAAATGTGGTTTTGATGTGTGTTTTTTGCAATACATAGTTCCGACCAGTATGTCTGGTGATTTTATTGTTGGGGTTTTTAAGTTAATGTTCTAAACTTGCTACTATCGAAGCTGATCATTCGGGATTTCAAATACTAAGTACAAAATCATAATGGAGAATATGATATGATGAAGTATGGTTTCATTAAGTTTAGAAAATATTCAAAAACTGTGTACACTGAATGTCACGAATAAACAAATAAGCGTTTTTCAAAGAGTAAATTAATGTCTAAAAATATATCGAAAATAATGTACATATAATACAAGTTACATTCTATTTTCTGTCATTTTTTATAACACAGACTATAATATCACTCCAGTGATTATTTTTAAAGTAAATATAAAATTTGAATACTTAAAGTTCATTAAGCACGTGCACGTAATAAAGTTTATAGGGATATCCTACAAAATTGTTTTTATAGAATATCCCACACTAGAAATTTAAAAGTAATAGATTTTGTTTGTCTTCATTTAAAAAAAAATGTAGTGCAGTTAATACAATATATTATTTCATAAACATAGCAATTATCAATGGTATCATCTCGGAAAACATTACATTATATTCAGGCAATAGCCAATATTATTTTAGCTATCATATAGTTGACTTCGAGATAAATAAATGATTCGTGTGTGTGTTTGGCAGGAGGTTGAGATTTAGAGACCAAACAAGCGTTCAGCGATGCCGAGGTAGTAGACAGTTTGTGCTATGCCGAATAGCGGAGCAATGACTATCATACGACATGCACCTCCCTTGAAAAATGCTGTAACTCCTTCATGTTTCCACGTAGACCTGTTGACAAGCATTAATAATATCATTAAGTCATATATATAGCATGTAATAAAAATAATAATAAAATAGTAATAAAAAAGCATATATTTACTTACATGATACAATCGAGAATGGAATTGTAGTGTAGTTCTCCAGTGCCCTTCGTGATGGTTTGCATGCGAGTCTTAACTACGTCAAAAGGGTTAACAAACAGTGCTGCTGTAGAGCCGGCCATACAACCCGACAGGAACGACCACCTGAGAATACAAATGACTATCAAATATGTTGCATGTTGAAAAATAGATGATGACAATACAGACAGATAGTTCTTTATGTGTAAAAACAAGTGCAATGTAAAAAATCTGTAAAACATAATGTTGTTGCAAGTCAAATAACACTACTGAACGTTACAATTTATTAAGAAAATCAAAACTGACTCCTGAGTCAAGCCTAAGTCAACTCAAAGAAATTAAATTCAAAAAAATATTACATGTTCCAATGCAAATAATAAGCTTCTACGATTTAAAGGCTGTTTTATTTTTAGTGTCCGACCGAAATAAGTTTTCCAGTCGAAACCGAACTTTTAGTCCTTGATCGAACTTATGACTAATATTTTAAAATTTCGAAATTACTAAAATATAGTAGGTATATTTTTTTGCCATTTATCTGCTTATACCCACATACCACCTTTAACCACTATAAGGTAGACACACACACGGCACTCATATCAAATAAGAGAAAATGTATTTAGGCAGGTAGATACTAGTACTAGGTAGGTATTAGAAACGGGATAGACGGGATAAGACGAGTCGAGGTGGCTGACTAGGTAATTTGAACTGGCTATACGAGTTCTCACATAGTTAAAGTTAAGCAACTTAAGTTCACACGTAGTATAAGCTTTTTGGGCGGTTAATAATTAATGTTAAAATAGAGGTACAGAATGTTTTTTTTCAACTACAATTAGGTATCTACAAACAACCAAATCTAAGTAATGTTACGTGTTAGGGTTCGTTGATTTGGGAAAATAAACCTTCTTGCGAATGAAGAGACTTTATAACTAACACACTTAAGAACGTTTAAACAGCTAATAACAAACTAATATTCAGTATATTAAATCAAAAAATCAAAAAAATCGATCTAAGTGGCGTGCAATGGGAGAGGCCTATGTCCAGCAGTGGACTGCGATAGGCTGATGATGATTCAGTATATATAGTTATAGAACTTATTGTTCCGTGCCAACCTGTATTATTATTAGAACTTTCTGGAATTGCACAGTTAAACGAATTGCATTTTTCTTTATTTACTCGATATTTCGTGACAGTAATATCTAAATCGAATATAATATATTTTACGTGTTACACTCATTTATAAAAAAACTCAACAAAACGAAGCTGTGTATCTAATTATAGCCTTTAAGATAAAACAATGTTAGGTACAAGTAAAAACAAAACAAATACTCACATATTATTTATTTTATTATATAGTATTATATATATGTTATGTTATATATAATATTTATTCACAACTAACAGAGGAGTTAGCTGTGGGAGAGCCATGCTTCGGGCCATATGGGCCACGCTCGATCCGAGTGATACCACGGCCTCATAGTGATGTGTGATGTGATATAAAATAATAGGAACGTTGTCTATACGTACGTTAAGTATTGTACGAATGGAAATACTTTTTAGTCATATAATCCGTAGTATAATCTTGAATGTCAAAAGGATTTTTTGGAACACTGACAAATAAAAATAGTGAAATATATTTACCAGAAAGGCGGTGTCGCGCCAGGTATTGGCTCTTTGATACCGAGTTCGGCGAGTGTAGCAAAAAGCGGGAAGTAAATAACGCTGAACGAGACGTCACGTGCAGCAGTTGCACCGATTCCTTTATACAATCCAAGTATGCCACGTTCGGCATATAGTTGCCTAGTTAGTGCCAGCGCGGTCAATCTTTTTATTGCTCCGTCTTCTGTAAATTTTAAGTTAACATTTATCTTTTATCTCGTTTATCTTGAGCAATATAACATAATTGGTTATTGCTCGCGGTTTCGTTCGCGTGATTATTTCTTATTTAATTTCGACGGGTTTGTTGGTCTAGTGGTTAGTAACGCTGACTGCTACGCCAGAGGTCGTGGGTTCGATTCCCACCCAGGACAAATAATTCTGTGATGAGCACGGTCATTTCTTCTGTGTCTAGGTGTAATTTATCTATAATATGTATGTATTTAGAAATATATAAGTATGTTTATCAGCAGTCTGGTTACCATAGCACAGGTTCTGCCTAGTTTGGGATCAGACGGCCTTGTGTGGAATGTGTGAAAGTATTAATATTACAGTCCGAATTTGAAAAAGTAATAGTTGTTGGGCGCTATTTTTAGTGTCTTATTATTACGATTTCTGTGCATACAACCGTTCATTTTACTCCCTTAGGGGTGATTTATCATATTTCCAAAAAACCTTAGCCTACAACAGAACAAGTTTCAGATGCCAAAATTTTAAGTTTGTAGCTCCAGCGGTTTAGGCTCTGCGTTAATGAATCCGTGTCAGTCAGGGTAAGGAATTTTATATAGCAGATACTACGATGTAGGTACGATGACTATTAGGAGCGTGCTGTCAAATATTGAGGGGTACTCACAAAATTAAGAATTTAAGGAGAATTCCTAATCGCCTGTCCTCTCTGCCATGTCTTTAGTGAGAGAAGAGAGGATGGTATGAATAACCTAAGTCGCACATAAAAATGTAGTTATTAGCGTTTTTTCGTGCCTATAAGGTACTGAAGATAGTTACTGAAGACTTTAAAGCTGTTGGCTCGTAGCAGTTCTCGCTATTTAAGGTAAAAAAGAAACTAGAAAGACCTTTCTCGTTCCGTCCCGCCGATCGTCTAAGGGGCAGAAGGGCTTACCGGCTTTGGCCTGACTTGCAATTCTACCCTGGTCCTGCATTTGAATTTTGAGCAGCTCCATGGGTGTAGTTATTACGATCTGACACGCACCGGCTAAACCACCGGCTATCATTTGACGCACGATGGGTAAAGACCTAGAATATATATTTATATGTTTGAGTACATATTTATGTAGGATCGTCTTGCAGTTGAATTTCAATCATTTTGAATATCTTGCTTTATTTCTTTTACTGGTATGACTTGGACTCTCACTGTTTGACTTTTGTACTATGATAGGTCAAAATTAAAACTGGTCACTTAGTTTAAATCTTTATGGCAATAATTGTGTGAAAATATAGCTCTCAGGTCTTTATTATCATATTTACTATCGTCATATTTCTTTGAAAAAGGGTGCATTCAAAGAATTTTCTTCACGTATACGTATAATGATATTCTGTGTGCCTGATTATTCAATTAGTTACAAATAAAACTGCTGGGTTGTCTAACTGTTATTAGGTGGTGGCATACCCGTCTTTTTCTGTCAAGTAGAACCGAAACATGTCGTTGGCAGTTAACTTAATAGCCTTTTCAGGTGTGACAAGAAAAATGTTGACAGCGGAACCGCGGTACATTCCAAAGTAGCCTTCTGCCGCAAATGTCTTCTTAAAACAGTCAAGCCTTAAAAAAAAGGAAATGTAACGTGTGAATCCCAGAATCCATTTTGATTTACGTCTATAGATAAAACAATACACAGGTGAAATGTTATTAAACACACACTTAACTGTAATATTGATACTTTCATTGGTTTGTTTGAACATTTTGAATACTAAATGTTATATTATTACAAACGCTATGTAAAAACAAAAGTTGCTATCTGTTACGAGAGCTGTATAATTGTCTATCTTCGGCGAATTTAAAAGAGTTTCCGTAAATAGTTTCTACATCACGCAACTGTATCTGTTTGGTTTAATTATTAAGTGGTTTTAAAAAAGTAGATACTTACATGCTTGTGTACTGTTTTACACCAGATGGAGAAATTATTTGGTTTTGTAATCTGGTCTTAACTAAGTCAAGCGGAAAAACCACTGACACGCCAATAATGCCCGCGATGCCGCCATTAACGACCTTTGGCAGTAAACTGAAAAATAAGCAGATTATAATGAATACAACTTTTGTTAGAATTAAATTGTGTTGTTTAATTAATAACAATAATATTTCGGACATCTGTGACACAACTCTATCTAGTTTCAAACTAAGCAGAGCTTGAACTGTGAAAACTAGACTAATTGATAGAATACTTATATACTTTTTATGTAAATACATACATATTACATATAGAAAACACACGAACTCCGAAACAAATATGTGCAGATCATACAAACATTTGGTCCGACCCGGGAATCGAACCCGACACCTCAGCATAGCATTCGCATACGCTACCACTGCGCCACCAAGGCAGTCAATCAAATAACAGCTTGTACGTCCATCTTAGATATAGAGATTACTGGGAGAGCAGGCCAATTACGGTCCGCTCGGCGGTTCGCGGCCCAATAGCGAACTATAGCAATGTTGTTGAAAAGTTTCATCTATCATTATACAGGTTATAATGATACAGATTTATAAAGTTCCTGGGAGACTTTTCATTACGCGATACAGGGTTATTAGTTAGTTTAGATCGGTTGTTTCCGCCAGACGGGGCTGATTGGTAACTTGAAAGTTAAGGAGGTTTATATGATTCATAATTTTATACAGCTTTTTACAAGAGAAGAAATTCTATATTTAGAACTAAGACTATATTTACAATCGCTAAGACGATTTTTTCCAAATGGGTATTTTATAGGATTATAATACCAGGATAGATTATACTACAGAAACCGGATTAAGGAGGTCTAAGGGACCTTTTTCATAACAAGAAAAAACAGGTATTTGGCCTTAACCAAACAGCTACATCGCCTTAAACTTTATATATCTGTTTAAATTAAATAATTTATTGAATGTTTTTATGAAAAACAGCGTAAACGACCGATCTAGGATTTATTGAGCTTTGTCCCATTTTTCATCATCGAACTGACAATGACTTTCAATAAATGCAAGAATCAATCCGCGTGGTGACGACTGTCGGATCAAGAAAACGGACTCACCGCCCCTTTTCGTCCTGTTGGTGTCACTGAAGGCGACTAAGGGAGCTAACTACGCAAGCCAACAGCACTGCAAAGAGAAGGAAAACTTGACACAGACCCTATACCAACCCGTTTGACCAGTGGTCAGGGCTGTATATTAGGCCAAAACCTCTTTTCAAAGAAGTGGCTTAGGTATGTCCAGCAGTGGACTATTAAAGGCTGTTAATGTGATGATGTGATGACAATGCTAAAATAACTTTATAATTTTTATAAGGTATAATGATATTTTAAAATAAGAAAGGTACTACATAATGATCAAGTTGGGTCACTAATATACATACATTTAACATTGGATTATCGTATCGGTGTTCTACTCGTATTGTTGTTATACACATGATACATATTCCGATATGATAAAAGTTGTAAAACATTCTTAACGCTACGCCAGAAATACTGATCTTGTTATCAATGTCAATCGTGTAAATCGAATGTCAATGCCTTCGCATCGTACGAGGCAAAAACATACCAAATTTAAATTGAATTGCGAGCGTTAATCTTATAGCCAAGGCATTATTAACAAGTGCCTTAGATGGCTTTTACAAACACAGATAAAGGCGGTAGATTAGGGTGATTTTAAGGTCGCGTTTTATATGCCTACTGAGGGGGTACACAACATAAATACGAAAAACTTTATTCCCTCAGTCACACATACGAATTTCAAAATACCGATTTTCGTAATTCCAAATGATTCAAAATTCTTAAAATAACATCTTCGACTGATCATTCATTCTATTTTTATAATTCAAAAATTTCAATATTCCTAACGTTTATAATTACTATGCCAAAAATACTGAGTTTCAATAGATCGAAGAACAAAAAGCCCGACTTAATAATAATTCGAAATATCAAAAATTCAAATTCTTTCTGTTTTCTTTCGAATAAAAATATTTTCACAGTTCTAAGCTAACTTAACTCAAATTATTCATCAACAGCTGCCGCGGCATGCTTGCGCGCTTTATTGGTCACAGTTCTTACCTAACATAACCCAAGAAATTCAATAATAGTAGATGGTACCCGACGCAGGTCTATATAAAAAAGAAAACACATGTTTTTTTTATTAATACACTAATATTAATGACAAAGTAGACGTTTTTTAAGGACAAGAACAGTGTGACAGATATACATACATACTGAAATAACACGTACATATATACTTGGTGAGTTACATATATATATATATATATATATATATATATGTGTGTAATTCATACGGAGGTATGATTGGGGTATAACAGAAGTGGATTGTTTGAGGAACGGAGGGTTTTGTTGTGATTGGAACGTAGAAATTGAAATGATGATATCAGGTAGGAAAGGGAAATAGGTGAGTTGAGTATGGAATAGAGGGTGGTGAGGGCGTGCAGCTGACGGCGCTGACAAATCGTGAGCCAGTTCAATTCGCGACGAAAGGAGGAAACATGATCGTTTTGGCGAAGGTTAAAAAAGAATCGAATGATGTTATTCAGAAGGCCGTTATATTTATTGAGGAGATCTGCATTCAGGTCATAATAGCATACATCACCATAATTTGAAAACTTGGTAGGAAGGAAGTTTTTAAGCTGATAGCCTGTAGTTGTACCTATGAATCTCTGGCTGACTCTGGTAACCTGGGTTTTCCAGCTAAGCTTGGAGTCGATAAGTAGGCCTAGGTTCTTAACGGTGGGACTGAAGGGAATGACTACGCCGTTATAAGTAATGGGTGGCAGTTTGCCTTAATCCATCCTTCCAGTCATGAGCTGACTGCCTATATGATGATGGCTTGGCACTTCGCTGGATTCACTGCCAAACCAAACCCATCAGTACAACAGCGTGCAAGTCATTGTTAACCATAAAAATGGCCTCATTTATTTCGTCTGTCGAGGCTTGATAACAGAGTTGCAAGTCATCAGCATACAGATGGTACGCACATTGATGATTCAGGGTGATGAGATTGATAAATATTGAGAATAATTGAGTAGAGAGATGGCATTCTCGAGGGACACCACAGTCAAGCTCACGCCAACTTGAAGAGACTTCATCGTCGCGGACAGACTGTTGGCGACCCTGAAGATATGAGGAGGACCATTCCAGTGTATCAGGCGCAATCATAAGATAGGAAAGGATAGATAGAAGGATATCGTGACTGACGGTGTTGAATGCATTTCAGAAATCAGAGTTTATTCGAAGTTTTGAAAATCGGCATGTCGCTTTTCGGACCGAGAACCTATCGAGCATTTAATTCTTCGAAAGTGTAAAAATCGGCAAACAAACAAATCTCGTTTACGACTTTCGGTAAAATAAATTTCGTGAATTTTAATAATAGACCATGGACGTTTAACAAAAGTCGGGCGGAACTCTCGCTAAGACAAATTTCCTCTAATTTCGAGATGTGGTGAAACCGAAAAATTTAATTTATAATTTCATTTTATTATTTATTATATATACTTTTGCGCGTGGTGACGGATTAAGAATACAAATTGTCACCACCCCAATTCATCCCGTGAGTGTCGTAAGAGCCGACTAAGGGAGCAAATTAAGCAGGACAATAGCACTGCAAAGAGAAGGAAAACTTGAAACAAACCCTATACCAACCCGTCTGGCCAGCGTGGTATAGTAGGCCAAAACCTCCTTTGAGAGGCCTCAGCAGTGGACTAGTATAGGCTGTTGATGATGATGATGATGATGACTTTTGAAATTATGTTAAGTTTAAAAAACGCTTTCATTGGCAACCAACTTTTCTAGAATTTTTGTGAGAATATATTTGTGTTGTCTTTCACTTTCACCATTACCATTTCTAATTATTTAAATCCAATAATTTCTCCATACTCCATTTTTCTTGTAAAAGGAATATGAAATAAAATACCTAGTAGTAACTAATAAATAAATAACCTTAATAAATTGATTGATTGATTGATTTTGAATCGCGTGTGACGTACATTTTTGGTTTATAATTAATAAACCAAAAATTACCTATTTTTCGGGTAATTTGCACACCTAAAAATTGGCAATACTGGGCTTATAATAAATTCTTTTATTCTAGCGAATACTCTTTATATAAAAAAATATTTTAATGTACAAAATCTGGCAATAAGGGATTGAATTACTCATTTGCCTACGAAACGTGATTCCTTGATTATTTTTGTTTCGGTACTGTTTTTACAGCATTTCACCACGCAAAACATGTTGTATATTTATATTTTTTCGCCCGTATTGCGTCTCGCAGTCTCGATGTGTGTATGTGTGCGTGCTAACCTGTGCGTACAGCGAGCTGGCCGACTATGAGTTACAGTTTTTTGTTAGCGAGACTATGTCCGACTTTTTTATACGTCCATGTAATAAACATTATAATTCTTAGGTATTATGAAATTCGGACGTTTGACAATTGGAACATCGAAATTCGGAATAAAATATTTCGGAGTATTTGGGTGTTCCGCTGCACCTGCACCTAGGTACCTGCGCAGACCTGCGTGCGCAGCTAACTTCAGAGCCGCCATTAGGTTCGCTTCGGACTACACCTAGTCACCAATCGCAACGCTAAATGCAGAGGCCGAAGTTTATCGACTCTATCGTCACGGTGACCGCGTTCGACGTTGTGATTGGTGACTTGGTGCTTCCGGTATGTTAGGACAGGTGTATAAGAAACTGTCTTAACGGAAGCTGAAAGTTTTAAATAATTTTGACAAAAAAATATCTCACCATGTAGCTATAAACCAAAGTAACCAAAGCTAAACAAAGGTAAATACTGTAAAGGTAACTACTTGACAGCAACTTCGGGTACCGTACATTTAACACTTTCGTAGTTGTACTCCGTAAAATTATTATCATTCGAAGTGGAAATAAGTCGTTTTAATAACCATATATAGTCATATTGTATAGGATAGATCTTGTTACCATCGAACAAAACAGTGAATAAACATTTGAACAGTGAGTTTTTCTATAATTCAACTAAAACATTTGAAGTGAACAGTAAGCCACCGACATT